CTGTGATCTAAATCTTCAATTTGGATGAGAAATAAAGAATAAAGAATGTCGAATTGAATGAGACTATAGTGTTTTGGAGATGGGTCAACCCATAAAAATTAGCATATGTTACTCCAACAGCAGTTTATCACATCAACATCACAAATCCCAATGAGCAACAAGTCAAGGTGATGGACAGGTATCGTATTAAATATTATTAAAATAAGATCTGGGGCATTGTCATCAGAGAATCCAGTGTAAATCATAGGATATGGATTGGAGGGAAATGAAAAATGGTGTGCATTATATGGTATTTCAACTCCAGATGGAGGTAGAACAATTAATGGTCACATTCAATTATTTTTGATTGAATAGGCAAAGTAATAAATCTTAGAAGGACATTGTTGCTGTTTTGGAGATGCCTTGATTCACACAGATGACTATAAAAGCAGTTTATTCTGTTTTGTGGAGAGAAAGTCTGGTGAAACAACGAGCAGATTACACATCTCAGAAATTGGAGTACCACCCAATGGATTCTAAAAATACAAAAGATAAGTTGAAGTTTAAACTGATCCAAATTATCCAACAGACTTCCCAGTCTTAATGCATGTTAATTAAAGATATGGATTGATCTATGTAATAAGCAAATTTTCATTTTTGACTGTCTATGAATTAAGTACAGCCAGTTTGATATTCAGAGAGGTATGATATTATATTTTATAATCCACTAGAGAATCTGCAACGAGAATGTCTTTGTAGGTGCCCCAAACATTAATTAAGGATAATATCATATTATTGGTAAGGAAGGTATTGTCTACACAATATCTGTCAACGATGACTAATTGGTGTCTTTCTTAATCAACACTTGCAGACATATTCCAGATGTTATTCAATTGGGATTCCGTTTGGCCAGTAGATACAAGCTTCCTGGAGCAGATAATATGTTTGTTGATTAATTCAATAAGGCTATTTTATCTGGAGATGCTTTGAGTGCTGCTAAAATTGCTGCCAGTGCTCCTGGAACAGTTCTTAGAAACCCAGAAAGTATTGCTAAATTCAAATAAATGCAATAATAACCAGGATAACCATAACCACTCATCATCTATTTCTAAACATTGTTAGAGAAGGGAACATTGAATAAATTTGAAGCTATTGAATTGTGCGGGCCAATCTTATAACAAGGAAGAAAACAATTCGTTGAATAATGGATTGCATAAAATAAATTAGAACCATCTGATGAATTGGGAGATCTCCTAAAAAGATATGATGTCAATTTAGCTATTTAAATCTACAAATTATCTAAGTCATATTAGAAATTAGCATAATGCTATATGGAAACTGGATAGATCGAATTGGCTATGCAATTATAATAACAATTTGGAGTATCTACAGATTACATGGCTATGTTGAGAAATCTGTTGATGCAATCTCCAGAACAAGCCTTAGCTATGGCCAAATCTTTGTATCAAAGAGACCAAAGCATCAATGTTCATCAAATTGCTGAATTATTTGAATAGTTCTAGAGATTACCTGAAATGACAGCCTTCTTGGTTGAATGCATGAAAAACAACAGAGCTGAAGATGGCCCACTCTAAACTAAAGTCTTATGCTTGAACTTATAGGCTGCTGCATAAGTTGCTGATGCCATCTTATAAATGAACATCTGGACCCAATTTGATAGAATTAGAGTAGCCCAATTATGTGAGTAAAAAGGACTGTATCAAAGAGCACTTGAAAATTATTCAGATCCCAAGGATGTTAAAAGAGTTATTCTTAATACTCATGCTCTCCCTCCTGAGTTCATCATCAATTTCTTATCCAGAGTTGATCCTGCATTGACATTATAATGCCTTTAAGATTTATTAAGACACAATAGATAGAATCTATAAGTGGTTGTTAATGTTGCTGTTTAAAATAATTAAAGATTAACAATCCCAGCTTGCATTAAGGTGTTTGAATCTGTTAGTGCATTTGAAGGAGTCTACCTATTTTTAGGATCTTTGATTAACACAACATCTGATAAGGATATCTATTATAAGTATATTGAAGCTGCTGCTAAATGCAATTAAATCAAAGAATTAGAAAGAGTTATTACAGAAAAAGGAGATTGTTATGATGCTGACAAAGTTAAGAATTACTTGAAGGAATAAAAATTATCTGATCCAAGACCATTGATATTCTTATGTGATATGAATGGATTTGTTGATGAATTGACTAGATATCTTCATAAGAATGGATTCACTAGATATATTGAAATCTATATCTTCAAAGTTAATCCTAATGCTGCTCCTGGTGTATTTGGTACATTAATTGATTTGGAATGCGATGAAGTTTACTTGAAATAATTGTTGTATAACATTCGTGGAATGTGTCCAATTGAACCAACTGTCGAGGAATTCGAAAAAAGAAATAAGCTTAGAGTCTTGGAATAATGGCTTGAAGCTAGAGTTACAGAAGGCAACCAAATTCCAGCCATTCACAATGCATTAGCTAAAATCAAGATTGATACATCATAAGATCCTGATGGTTTCTTGATCAATAATCAATTTTATGATGCTAAGGCTGTCGGTAAATTCTGTGAGGAAAGAGATCCTTAATTGGCAGTTCTAGCTTATAAGAGAGCTTGGGGACAATGCGATTAAGAATTAATTAATTTAACAAACAAAAATGAAATGTACAGAGTCCAAGCCAAATATCTCGTAGAAAGATAGGATGTTGATTTATGGGCTGGAGTATTATAAGAGACAAATCCACACAGAAAAAATTTAATTGACTATGTCATTTAAGCATTATAAGACTCAAAGAATGTTGATGAGGTTCAAGCAGCTGTCAAAGCATTTGTTTTGGCCAAGATTCCTTATGAATTATTGGGTTTGTTGGAGAAATTGGTCTTACATAACCCTGAATTTATGTAATACAAATAATTACAGAATTTGTTAATCATTACAGCTATTCAAAGTGACACAACCAAAGTTTTGGATTACATCAATAGATTGGATAAATTCGATCCATAAATTATTGCTTAACATTGTTTGAACGAAGAATATAATTTGTTTGAAGAGGCTTATGCTGTCTTTAAGAAGTTTAATTTGCACATTGATGCTGTTAATGTCTTACTCAGAAATTTGGGTAGCATTCCAAGAGCTCATGAGTATGCTTAATATGCTAGTTCCCCAGAGGTTTGGTCATTGCTGGCTGAAGCTTACTTGAATTAAGGATAGACAAATGAATCAATTGATTGCTACATTAAGGCTAATGATTCAAGTGCATTCTTGAATATTATTAATGTTGCTGAATAAGAAGAGAAGTATGAATTGTTAGTCAAATATCTCTTAATGTGCAGACAAACAGTCAAGGATGTCAATATTGACAACTCATTAATCTATTGTTATGCTAAGTTGGATAAGAACTTAGATATCGAATCTCTGATTTAATCAAGCAACTCAGCAGATGTAATTAAAGTGGGAGAGAGATGCTACGATCAATAATTATATGAAGCAGCCAAGATCTTGTTCACTGCCCTTAAAAATAATGCAAGAATAGCATCTTGTTTGGTTAGATTAAAATAATTTAATAAAGCTATTGAAGCAGCCTAAAAGGCTAATACTTCCAAGACATGGAAAGAATTATGCTTTGCTTGTGTTGAGGCATCAGAATTTAAGTATGCTTCCATTGCTGCTTAGAATATTATCATTGTGCCCGATATGTTGGAGTCATTGATCAAATAATACGAAGAATACAATGCATAAGAGGAAATGATGATTTTATTGGAAAATGCCTTAGGTATGTAAAGAGCACATGTTGGTATCTTCACAGAATTAGCAGTTCTTTATTGCCATTACAAATAGAAGAAAGTCATGGAACACTGCAGATAATACTTCTAAAAGATGAACATTTTGAAAGTCTTAAGAACTTGCGAAAAGATGTGTCTCTGGAGTGAGGCTGTCTACTTACATTAACACTATGATTAACCAGATAATGCTATCAATATTATGATTGAACATTCACCAACAGCCTTCTCGCATGATGTTCTAGTCATGTTACTCTAAAAGATTACCAATACAGATTTGTATTACAAATGTATTCTCTTTTACCTTGAAGAACAACCAGAATAAATTAATGATTTATTGAGAAGCATCCAATCTAAGATTGACTTGAGCAAGTTCGTTAAATTAATGAAGAACACTGGCTATTTGGCTTTGACATTACCATTTTTATAACAAATTCAAAATGCTAATAACAAAGATGTTAACGATGCCTTGAATCAACTCTATTTAGATATTGAGGATTATGAAAATCTTAGAGAATCAGTCAAGAACTATGAAAACTTTGACTAATTGGCTTTGGCATAAAAGACTTAATCCCATGAATTAGTTGAATTCAGAAGAATCGCTGCTTATTTATATAGAAAGATTTAGAAATATGATTTATCAATGAACTTGAGCAAATAAGACTAAATGTACAGAGATGCCATCGAAACTGCTTAAGAATCTTAGAATGTTAAGTTAGTTTATGAATTATTGGAATTCTTCATATAAAACAAGGAGAGTGAGTTCTTCACTGTATGTCTTTACACATGCTATGATTTGTTGAAACCAGACTAGGTTATGGAATTGACTTGGAGATCAGGCCTTATGGAATTTGCTATGCCATACTTCATCTAAATCACTTGGGAATTGACTCACAAGATAGAGTATGTATAAAAGAAGCATGAGGACAGAGAAAAGAAGGTACAAATTTGTATTTATTAAAATAGGAAATTCAAACAGCTTAATAATAATAATCATAAGCCTTACCAATAGCTTAAGATTTCCTATTGAACTAAGGCTAATTAATGTTGGGTCCACCCAGCTAGATGAGTAGTAGCAATTTAGGTTTTGGATAGCCTTCAGGTTTTACAAATTCCTAAATGAATTAAGCTCCTATGGGTTATGGAGGATAACAATTTGGATCATACTAGCCACCAGGTTTTTGACCAAATTAAACATATTAAAATAAACATATATAAAATTTTATTTCCTATGATTATCGATTTTCTGGGTGGCACAAATTCATTTGATGTAAAAAATGATTTAGTTGCTTTTGAATAAGGAAACAGTTTACTATTGCTTGATACTACAAATAATTCTAAAGTTTAAATGCATGGCCATGTTAATTAGATTGTAGCGATCTGTTTTTGTGGATAGAATCTTATTGCATCTGTAAGTATGGGATTTAAGAATCATCTATAAATATCAGAATTTGACTCCTTTAATCGAACTTTCGATGACTATTTACCTGACACTGATAAGAAAACAGTCAACATATTTATGGAGAATATTAATAATTAATTGATTCTCATTGAAGTTAATACAGGTCATCGAATACTTGTTTATGACATCCAACAATACAAGCTAGTTTTCATTACTGATTTAGATAATCTGAACCCTTGCTATGGGTTTTCTTATTTGCCCACAAAACCAAAAACTAAATTGTGTTTCATGTGTAATGGATAGGTAACACTTTGGAACTTAGTATCGAATAGTGTTCAAATAACAAATAGAATCACTTTAAAGAATATCAAACATATAGACACCAACAAATCTTTGAATTTAATCATTCTTATATTGGTAACAGGAGATTTATACATTCTGAATTCAGATGGAGATCTGATTTCTTAATTAAAAGCTCCAGATTAAGAATTTACTGCCTCCACAAGCTTCGAATAATATTTATATCTATCCACAAGGAGTGGTAAAATATTTATATATGAAATATCTACCCTTAAATTTGTAACAGAGATTCACGCAAATGATACTTGCTATTGTGTATAATTAAAGCACTCTAATCAAATTCTAGTTTTCTCCTTGAATGATTCTACCTTGGTCACTATGGATATCAATAAAAGAATAATATTAAATTAATAAAATGGGCATGGAGGGAGAATCAATCAAGTTTCTTGGGATCCTGTGCAAAGCAATTAATTTTATTCATGTTCAAATGATGGCTCTTTTGGAGTCTCTAATTCTCGTGGAGATAAATTCTCAATGAGTAAATATTACATTGGGTAATTTCAGACTAAAATTAAGTGTTGTGTCATTGACAATTATAGAGATGATATCTATTTAGGAGACAATAAAGGATAGTTATTTGTTTTCTCTTTAAACAATGTGTAATTCCGTAGACAAATTGCTTTAACTTAAAATCTAGGAATTAAAGAAATGCAGTTCAGTCCCGCATATCAGTATTTGGGAGTAGCCTTTAAAAACGGATTTACAATTATATTAGATTGTGAAAATTAACTCAAGCCTGTACTGAAGTTGGAAGATAGACTTGAAAACATATCCTTTGTGGGAATCAAGCTATTTTAATTAGAATTTGACATCGTTAAAGTTAACACTCAAGCATATTCAACATCCTATATTCCAAGGAATGACAAATCATTCAATTCATTGACAATTTATAATCATAATTCTGTGAGGAGACATCAAATTGATAAAGGAAATTCTTAGTTATCAGCTTTAGCTCTAAGCATATATACAATTGAAGGTACAATATTTGGATTTGATTTACACCCTTCAAAAGATTACATTCTAATTCTATCAAGTTATGGATTTGTTTATATATACAAAATCTAAAGCTCAGAGAGGAGAGCCAAAATAACAGTTCCTCCTTTTTCAAGACATCTAAAGATAGATAAATCTGGGTTATACTTTGCTGTTGCTCATTTACCGTTAGTTAATGCATCAGATAAATAATTTATAGAGATTCCTTCAATAGAATATTTGACTAAAAATGCAAAGATAAATAAAAAGATGCTTCCAACAAATATAAGAATATATGAATGTGGAACAGGTTTAGTGGCTGAATAAATTAATAGAATATTCAGTATAGTTTCATTAGACTTCTCAAATGATGGATAATATTTGTTGGTTGGAGGCAAGAAAGGCAAGATTTCCTTATGGGGATTAAGTTAAGATTTGATTTAAAGTGCAGAGGATGTCATCAAAGATATGAAACTGAATCCGTTCTTTTGGAGAGACTTCTAGATCTATATTGATGAGGAGGAAATCTAAGAATAAGATATTTTAGATTTGGATTTATTAGCTAAGAAGTTGCCAAATAAGCCAATTGTGTAAAGTTAAAAATATCAACAGATTGTTAATCCGCATACAATGTATATCAATTTCATAATATTAGATTGTAAAATCCAGGAAGTACAAGTTCAAGATATGAATTATAGTGATGATAATTTAACACTCATTTTTATAGATAATTATTATTATAAAAAATGATTAAATTGGGGCACATGCTTGCTTAAGAGTAAGCGAAACTAAAATCAGAACTGAAGGCCGCCTAGAAGTAAAGAACCACTAGAAATACAACATCATCCACATTGTAATAAGCACACTAACAATAAGTTATCCCAACATATCCAAAACGTCCACTTTGTTGTAAAAGTCACAAGTGAGTCCCTCTATTAACACAGACTTCATTAGTGAGAATTGCTCTCCAATTAACTCGCCCAAATTGCTTACTCATCCTTCTGATCCAGATCCTTCATTTAGATATAACAAATATATTCATCCATCATATAGGAGCAAACTTGAAACAGTTTAATTGCCACCCAACAAACCTCCTTTGAGAAGAGTCAATAAAATAACAAATTTAAGAAACTTAAATAATAATAGTATCAGCTAGTCAAATCCACTTAAAGGTGAGGAATCAAAAGAAAAATTATTATAGTAGACTCACTTTTTATGTGCAATTATGTAATAATCTCATAGTGCTACTGGCAAAATAGTCGCTAGCTTTCTAAATGGATAGTTAGAAAAAAATAGTTACGAATCAATTATATAAATGGAAAAGTCAGCATAAGCACTTTAGCAGTCTGCCAAAGAAATGTCAAAGGCCTTATTTATATCTGACGATGAAGGGGAATTCGAAAACCTTTAAAATAAATTCATAGATCAGATTAGGTTCTCTAAATATAGGAAACCAAATTAAGAAAAAAACATTGTTTTTAAAAGAAATTATGGTCAAAAACATGAGATGATGATAGATTAAGTAGCTTCTTCGAGATAGAAGACTGATGAGAACTAGGATTTTGATGTATTTATTCCTAAATCCCAAATGGACTAATTTTTTTAGTAATAATCCATAAATAACTTAGAATAATTCAAGATAAAATAGATGGAAGAATGAAGGAATAGACTGAATAATTAATAAAGGATGAGTAAAAATTAATAAATGGAATGATTGCAAATGTGAAAAAGTTTAGAGAAGACATCAGAGAAGTTAAGTACACGATGAATCACGTTAGAAAGAATAAGAAGGCCTTGCAACCATCCCAATAATAACCATCTGCTTATCGAACACTAAAGACTCTGAGAACACTAAAGTCTCAATCGTCAGCAAGGCTTTAGAGTCCAAAAACTCAAAGATTAGATGAAGAAGCTAAGGCTGATCTTAGGCTGAGAGTGATGAAAGCCCTTAGAAATTTTATGGATAAATTAAAGAGATTCAATATAACTTTAAATGATGTTGTGAATAATTAAGTGTTCCCCTCTTAAGCATATGAAAGACCTAATAGTGTTGAATTTTTTAGGTAAGTAAAAGCAGACAACTTAAGAGAAATTGAAAGTATGTTAAGAGATTGTCGTTTTCATGTTTATGATCGTGATAATTAATAAAAAACTCCCTTACATCATGCTGTTAGCAATAATTCAATAGAAGTTATTAAAATATTAGTTGAAAATGGTGCAGATCTAGATGCTAGAGATATGAGTATATATTATAGTATTAAATTAGTGGGTAGAACTCCTTTACATATAGCTGCCAAAAATAATAATTGTGATACCGTTAGAGTGTTACTCGTTTATTAAGCAAATCCTTCAATTAAAACGGTTGCAGGAAAAACTGCCCAGGATCTTACAGAAATGCCAGTCATTAAAGCTTTAGTGAAAAATGCCAAAAAGGTAACATTACACTTATTTTAGCTCCATTTTATGATGAATTTGTAACCATCTAAGAAGAAAAAAGATTTCTGGGTTGAGAAAGCAATAGTTTACTTCTAAGAAGACGATCCAGAAAAAATACTGAAATTGTAGCTTTATAAGAATTAAGCAAAATTATTTTTATCGTGATTATATATATGTTTCTAATTTACTTTTTAATCATAATATTATGGAAGAAATTAATACTCAGAAAATAGAAGATTCTCCAGCTCCCTCTAGATGTTACCTTTGGAATAACGATAAGTGCTAGGTTGGAATCCCAATTGACAATTAAAGATAACCCGAGGAGGATATTGAATTGCAAATCATTTTCACTAAAATGAATTCAACAATTGATGAAACTCCATTTCACGAAACCAAATGCTAAAAACAAAAATAGGACTTGTCTTACAAGGCTGAGTTCAATATGAAACACTTTGCTTAATATTATACGTATCAGTTGGTATTTAAATTAACTATTTAGTTATTTTATATCTTTGGTCCCTTCACATGCCTTTTTTTCTTTAATAAACCAATGCTCATGTATAATTTAGGGTTTTGGTCTTGTAGATAAGATGTTGTATTTCACTACTTACAATGGGGAGGACATATTTTTTCACTTGTTATGTACTTTTATTTTGAACTAATCTCATCTCTAGAAATGGGGTTACTTTGGTTTTCTTTGTTAACACGTTCTATAATAATAGCAGCAAAATTCTCTACTTTGAATGAGGATAGAATTTAACTATATGAATAATCTCGTTTATCAGAAAAAACTATCAAATTCGACACAGTCTTATTTGATTGGGCAGCTTAAACAAAAAAGTTGAAGTATTTAGAAATAGCAAGAAGTGCTAAGAGACATGATTTTGATACACAGTTTTTTTACTTCGACTTCATCGTTGAGCCTATGTAGGAAACTTAAAAAGCACTTGCTCAAGAATAGAATATAGAAATTGACGAAGCGAAGAATGGAAAATATAGTGGAATCAATTTGATTTCTTATTTCATAGAATCTTTTTAATAGTTGAATACTAGAAAATACATTCTTATGACATCACTATTAATAGGTCTAATCATAGTAGCAACACCAAAGGCTATTTATTGTTACAACCACTTTTATTCGCCGTTGGAAGTATTTCTTAATGTTGTTTGTGGTATATTTTAAACAATCTAATTTAATTGCATTTTTATGTATTTATTAATTGCACTTGATGATATGAAAAGAAAAATATTCCTTTTAGATCAAGTGTTTTATTTAATCAGCACAAAAAGAGTCAAATGTTGTGAATTTAAATTAGCTCCAACTATTGATATTAATTGTCCCAGAACTATTGAAGCTTGGAGTATGCTGAGATCCATCACTTTTGATTACGGTGCTTCCTATCACATAAGAAATTAAGTGTATTTTACTATTTTAATACTATTTTGCATTGTCAGCATAATTTTTGTACTTCAGATAATTTTAGATTATTTTATAATTGATTATTACTATTTGATTACTCTAGGTATTATATTCTGCATATACTTTATTTTCGTTTCTTGCTATTTAATGAGTGCAGCTAAAATTAATGAATATTTCGAAGAGTTTAAGACTCAAATTGAAAATTTAAAATTTATTTGCTAAGATGTTAAAAGAATGAAATAGTATTATTTTGAAGACTGCCTATCAGAACCATAAAACTTTATTCATAAATCCTTTGTTAATCATTTAAAATAATAGCATGGAAAAGATACCCTAGTTATCTATTAGAGGATAGATTGCTTAATTGAATCTTTAGAAAATGCATAGAAACATATAGAATATGATTGTAGAAACTACCCATTAAGATTATATGGGATAAAAATTAGTTTTGAGATTCTTCAAAACTTTGTAGTAGGCTTATTCACTGTCATAAGCTTTGTGATTTAACAGAGATTTTCATCTTGATTAATTAATTTATACAATTATCATTTATTTCAAATTCTCTATTGAAACAAGATGCAACCATTAATCTAGAGATAAGACCCTTACCTTTAATAGTCACTTAAAATTTTTTAAATCTGATTATATTTCAACCGTACGCTACTCATTGCTATTTCTGGGATACCTATTTCATAATTGAAATCATATTTTTTATTTATAGGGATATAGACTATTTAAATTGCCTAATAAATAGGAATAGAAATTATCTTCAAAATTTATTTACATTTTGTTAATTTTAAAGATTAATAAAAGGAAACAGAAAAATTTAAGTTATACAAACTTTCTCAGAAAAATTGAAAAATTAATTAAGTCATATAAGAATTATCTCTAAAAAATTTTGAAATGATATATTTTCAATGGTTACCGTACTATTCCTATTATAAAAAGATAAAATTATAAATAAGAAAATTATGAAATTTTGTGAGATATATTATGAAAACAAAAATCAAGGTGCTACTCTATTTAAAGTATCAATATTATATTATACTAAAGAATGGATATTTATAAGAATTTTCTTCTAAATTTTGGTAAACATTTAAATTTAACTGAAAAATCAATTTTTTATTAATGCATAAATATATTTTGGCTGAATTCAACAATAAATCATATACAAATACTGGATGATCACAATTTATTGGAAAGTATTTTTTAAACATCTTCTCTTCCTATTAAATTTTAAAGACGCATAACATATTCCTTAAAATCTTCATCAGAAACGGCAGAAAAATATTCGATAGCCTAATTGAAATAATGCTTACTTATTAATAAGAGTTCATAAGAGAATTCAGAATCTAGGGGGTTAATTCTTGTTCAAGTTATTTTTCGTAATAACTGACTTGGTCAAGAAGTTTTTAAATTTCAAAGTTTTCAAACTTTTATAATGTTACTTCCTCTTCTTAAATTTTTTTCCCTGAAGATCCAGTTTTATAGAGAAGAATAGAATCCATAAATTGATCTATATTTTAAAGGGTTAATGTTTATGATCTAAAATTATCATCAGATTTCCATGTTAATACGGCACTATTATCTATTTTTTCAACTTTTACTAAATCTTTTGTAGGCTAAATGCTTTATAGATTCAACACTTTATTTTAGGATTCTAACATCAAAATATGACTATTGCTTAATTATATTATTTTTTAATAAGATCTTCCATTTATTATTTCTTTGCATTAAAAGAATTCAACATCCTCCAAACCTAGTTATCCTTCATATTCCTAATCTTAATTGTATTTGCCTAAAGACAGTAATTGATCTCTGTTATCTTTGTGATGCCTAACTTAATCCTAATTTATAGATGATTCATGGATTTACGAGAAATTTGGGAAACTTTTGAATGATTTCATTTAATAAAATAGATGGGCTCCATTATTAGTGTAATACATCTTCGATATAGTCTCTTCCATCAGCTAAAGTTGGTTTAGTTAACTAGTTAAGATATTTTCATTTGTACATGACTAAGTACATGAACTTTTGGAAATACAAAAGGGAATTTATTATCAAGATATAAGCAAAATTTAATAGGTTTTCCTTAGTTTAATTAAACGACTGGTTGCATTTCAACCTAAATTTTGATAAATGACTACAATGATTTGTAAATTATTAGATAATTGTTTCAAGGTTATTTTGAATTCTTTCTTATCCAGAATTTCTAACTATTTCAATTCTAGGCATATGATTAAGCAATACCCTTCCGAATTCGTTTTATTTAGATTTCATTTTTGAAAATATTCACAATTTAGTTATCTAGATTGTCCATTATTAAATAAATAAATAATATAATTAAGAAGTAATCATTTTAAATGAAAAGTTGAAAGTTCTCTAATTTCAGATTTGATTCTTTAGCGATAAATTCTAATTCTCATTAATTGTGTATTAAAACTCCACATAGCTATTTATTCAAAGAATATTTTTTTAAATTAGAAATGCACCTACCTACTCTTTTTAATCTATTAAATTTTTATCATTTTTTATTAGTAGAATATTGGATTTCTTGGAATATTGGCGATTACAAAAATAAAATAAAATTGGCGGTAATATTTATTAAGATTTCTATTTCTGAAAACTAATGTAAACAGATCTTTATAATGGTTGAAAACAGCCTAACAAATGATTACATCCGAAGCAGACTTGTTTTCAAATTTTAAATTAGTTTAGTGAATGTTAAAACTAAATCAAAATTAATATGGATAAATTTGTATAATAATATTTTCTTAGAATATATTTCTAACCTTATTTTGAAAAACTATAATAAGTCAAACAAAAAATAGACTCTTTGAGATAAAAAGTTAGCAATGAAACTCCAAAAACAAAAAAAAGGAAGAATTTCAGAGCTTCAGAATTTTTAAGTAGTGTTTCTTTTAGAATTTATGATTACATACCAAATAAAATCAATAAAATATATTCTAACTATTTCTTCCTTAAGAGTCTACTGTCATAAAGTGGCTCAATATTTCATTATAATTACTCTAGAAGTCATTCCAAATAAGAAATGAATAAAAATATTCATAATAATATTAGAAATATATGTCCCAAATGCTAATTAATATTTGAATTAAAATCTTTTATTTAATAATAAACAAATGGTTGTCAAATCACTTGCTCATAAGAGAATTGTGCATAAGAGAACAAAGAGATTTGTTAGATTTGAATCAGAGGACTACCCTCATAAATTAAGACCAAGTTGGAGAAGACCAAGAGGTATTGATAATAGAGTCAGAAGAAGATTTAGAGGAAATAGACCTATGCCTAAAGCAGGTTATAGAGGTGATAAGAAGACAAGGTATTAAACAATATGCTTATTATAGATATTTGGATTAAACAGGTTTTAGAAAATTGCTCATCACCAATGAAAAAGATCTTGAACTATTACTAACAAATAATAGAACATTTGCAGGTGAATTAGCTCACAACCTTTCTGCCAGAAAAAGAGCAACTCTTGTTAGAAGAGCAGCTGAACTTAATGTTAGATTAACAAATGGAAAAGGTAAAATTAGAGCAGAAGAAAAAAAAGAATGATCAATTTAATTGGTTAAACAACTAAATCCATCTATATATCTGCATTCATTTGCTATTAAGTTTCTCTAGCCTACTATTTCTTAATCTTTGATAATATTTCTTACAGATTGAATTAAAACATAATTTTCAAGATAAGAACAATTATTAAGCTATTAAATTATTAGTTGTTTTGAGATTGAAGCTTTCTTTCCTTCTAAATTCGGTTTTTTTTGGTATAATCTTAATTATAATTATTTAATATTGAGATGGAAAGTAAGTTAAACTTAATCAAAACTCTACTTAATTCTATAGTCACGAGATGGAAGTTGCTAGAAAAGCTAGATATGAGTGCAAAAGGAATATTTGAAGATTTAATTAATATGCAAGATTAATTGATGTATATTTTACTATCAAACTAGGGCAATAAAAAAGTAAAAATATGATGATAATGTATATTTTGCAGAAATAGATGATTTAGCTTCATTAAAAATATCAATAGAAAAAGAATTGTTACTACTATAATTGTGTAAAAATAACAATGAATACGTATACCATAAATGAAAAATTAGTTTGAAATTATTGAAAAAATTTAAGAAACATTTTAAAATTTGAATAAAATCTTATAGGATTAAAAAATTCCAAGCTCAAAAGCAGGTCAGTTATGCTTAATTTAAGATAGAATGTAAGTTATCAATATATCAAAAGCTAAATTTTAATTAGCCAACTAAAATAAAACCATAAAATTAGATCAACGATCAAGGATCACAATAACTATAGATATGCCTTATTACATTACTTATATAAACCATGTGTTGATGATTTTTCTCCAATCCTTGACATTCTAGTATAGTTTTGAAATTAAATTAGAAATATTAATAAATCACATCTTAATTTTTTACTATTTTTAATTAATTTAATATAAGTCTCTCTTTAGATATGTTATTTGTAGATAAAATATGGAATATTCCAAATCATGCTCGATAAGTAATTTATTATTAAAACTTTAAAGAGCAATTTATATCATCGGACACTCATCAAATTAACTAGTAATATTATTATATTAATGCCATTATGTTATATATAAATTTATAAGATATTCAAATAATCTTATCTAAAATTTTTATTAAGAGAATGCAAAAAAATATTCTAAGTAGTGGCTTTATCACATTAACCAAATTTTTTTCGATACCATTTGTAACTTAATCAACTAAATTATTTTGGAAGAATTCATGATATTGGAATTTCGCTTTAATCCTTCAAATTAAAATTAAGTTACAAATATCATTTTTATAAGTATTTTTTACAGATTTTAATTTTTCTTTACTATTTGATTTGGTTATTTAAAGATGACATCTTAATAGCAATCATGTGAACCAAATGCATCACCAAACTTATATTCTTTAGCTAGAAAAATAAATAAATATAATTTAAAATTTGTTTAAAATTAAAAATTTATATTGTTAAAACAAAAAAGACTTAATTAAAACTAAATATGAATCAAATTTAAAAACTTTGTTCAATATATGTTTTTGATTCCGATTCAATTATTGGGTGTTTTAATTTACTGTGGAGATTTAAGGATGCCTCTGACCCATATGATTTTTCACACTAAGAACATTTATATATTTTAGAAATTTCATTTGCTTTTCTTCTCTATTTCTTTTAAGGTTGAATTAATTGTTGTTCCAATGAACTATTTTGATCTTTGAAATTCTGAATTTTTTATTGTAAGACTTAATTAAATAAAAATATTTTTCTTGATTCTAAAAGATAATTCACCTTTTTATCGTAGCTAGGGCATTCTATCATAGATACAAAAATATACAAGAGACGGCATTGCCTAATAAAGAGAAAATTGGATTGGGATTTTGATCGTTCAATTAATTCATACCCGGAATAAATATTTAAAATTTTAATTTTATTTATGCAATATAAATTAATGAATAGTGATTAATCAATTTTAGAATACATTTTTTTTTTAATGAGAAAAAATTATATTGTTATTGATGATCGGGAAAGATCTCGTTCTAAAGAGAAACCTGTTAAACAAATCTAAGTAATAGATTTAGAGGAATCCTGCTATTCTTTAGACAAAGGTGACATAATAGGAGGAAAGTATAAATATTTGGAGAGGATCAACGAAGGAACCTTTGGCAGAGTAATTAAAGTGAGAGACGTTTAATCAAATAACTAGCGGGCATTGAAAGTAAGTCTGATTTTAAAAATAGATCATTAAAAACTCATTTCATAATTACGAAAAGGAATACTAAGCAGTATAATTTTTAAATTTATTCCCTAAATTAATTGACCATCCTGGTAGACATCATATAGTAAAAGTATATGATTTTTTTTATCACAAAAAATGTCAATGCATTCTTATGGAGGCCTTAGGACCCTCTCTATATGAATCCTTAGTAAAAAAAAAATTTACTCAATAATAAATCAAATCCATCATTTAGCAGTTGTTAAATGCAATTGACTATATGCATGAACTATAATATCTTCACACCGATATTAAATTAGAAAATATTCTTTTCAAATCCTAATTCGATGAGGTTAATGTGAAAATAATTGACTTTGGAAATGTTGTATATGGCAGATAGTTCTATAAAGGACTGGTCAATACGGAAGAATATAGAGCACCTGAAGTAATATTGGGACTTGAATGGAATTCAAAGTAAGATATTTGGTGCCTCGGATGCTTAATGCATGAAATGTATTTCCAAAAAGAACTGTTTGGCAAACTGAAAAATAACAACCAAAAACATTTATTAATGATTGAGTATTTAAATGGTCCATTCCCATAATGGATGATATAAGATTCTAAATTCTTTTCTAAAGGAAGAGTAATTTCAGATTAGCAACTTAGACAAGGAATTTCATTTTCTCATCTTTCAGATATAAATATTCACTCTTCATTCATTGAATTATTGAGGTGGATGTTAAAAACTGATCCTAAAGAAAGACCTTCTGCCAAGGAATTACTGAGACATAATTTTTTTAAAATATGAAACTATTTGATTAAAAAAATACTGAATAAATCAATATAAATCTAAAATATTCAAATATTCAATAATATAACTGTTACTAGAGGTTTTTTCTTATTTAAAATTATAAAATGTATATCTAACTGAATTTTCATATATTTGAGAAAAGATAAATTTAGGAGTAATTTCAAATTTATTGATTCATTATAAACAAAAATAAATCAAAGTATCGTTAATCATATGATAAGTTGTTTTATCAAAAAAATATATAATAAACAATTCAATCATCTTTAATATTTATGTAATTCTTCTTTTAGTTTATCTTCAAGCCATTTTGACCACTAAAAATATTATAAATAATACTTTATGAAAAGGTACACCTTAACTTACAACTTCGGAGTAATATGATTTTAGTTTAACATCGAAAGCATTCTAATGATTTGAATTCATCTGAACTGATTGAGAGGTCTAACTTAAAATATATAATTACTAAGTGAAAGAACTATTCATATATCAAAGTTTTATTTTAAGATGAAATTGATGAAGATCGAGTAGATGGTTATTATACTTTATCTAGTTCAATGCATAATTCATCTATTTTATCTTACATTTTAAGTAATTCATCTTATAGTATTTTTTCAATTTATTTTAATTAAGAACAAATTGATCTATTTATACAAATAAATATTACTGAAGTTTGTCTTTATCTTAAGTTAAAGAGATTATTTAATTTGATTGACTAAGATTAGTTTGTTTTAATTTTTCAATTTGGTTAATCAATATCTATTCATAAACTTTTTAATTATCATCTTATTATTCGATTTATTATTTTAAAGTTTTAATTTCTTGTACTAATTAAGAAATGGCCTGTTCTTAACTTTAAATATAAGTATTATTAAGTAACTATTGCAATGTTACATTCTGTTATTCTATTTGTTATTAAAATTGTAAAATGGATTAATTTTATTCAGATAAAAGCTATTACTTTTCAGTTAGCGAAAGATTTAATTATAACAATTAATTTTAACTGGATTCTTAAGTATGGGATAATTCAGATTATAATTAAAGAACTTGTAGTTCTAAATTGGTAATTGTTTCTTTTTATAAATCTATAAATGAAGTATTTTCTAGTAAATGATTGACCCCTTTTTCTATCTCTAATTTAATAATTTCAATTTCTTGTAATTTTTATGCCTCTTTTTCCTTAATTTCCTCTTGAAGGACATGAATCTTTTACTCTAATTCTTAAATAGTCGCTGATTATTATTCAATTTATTGATTTTTCTCAACCAAATGATTGACCCCTTTTTCTATCTCTAATTTAATAATTTCAATTTCTTGTAATTTTTATGCCTCTTTTTCCTTAATTTCCTCTTGAAGGACATGAATCTTTTACTCTAATTCTTAAATAGTCGCTGATTATTATTCAATTTATTGATTTTTCTCAACCAAATGATTGACCCCTTTTTCTATCTCTAATTTAATAATTTCAATTTCTTGTAATTTTTATGCCTCTTTTTCCTTAATTTCCTCTTGAAGGACATGAATCTTTTACTCTAATTCTTAAATAGTCGCTGATTATTATTCAATTTATTGATTTTTCTCAACCAAATGATTGACCCCTTTTTCTATCTCTAATTTAATAATTTCAATTTCTTGTAATTTTTATGCCTCTTTTTCCTTAATTTCCTCTTGAAGGACATGAATCTTTTACTCTAATTCTTAAATAGTCGCTGATTATTATTCAATTTATTGATTTTTCTCAACCAAATGATTGACCCCTTTTTCTATCTCTAATTTAATAATTTCAATTTCTTGTAATTTTTATGCCTCTTTTTCCTTAATTTCCTCTTGAAGGACATGAATCTTTTACTCTAATTCTTAAATAGTCGCTGACTATTATTCAATTTATTGATTTTTCTCGATCAAATGATGCACACCTTTTTCAATCTCTAATTTAATAATTTCTATTTCTTTCAATTTTTATGCTTCTTTTTCTTATAGTTCTGATTATAATTAATGAGTTTTCTATTCTAATTCTTTAATAGTCGCTGACTATTATTCAATTTATTGATTTTTCTCGACCAAATGATGCACACCTTTTTCAATCTCTAATTTAATAATTTCTATTTCTTTTAATTTTTATACTTCTTTTTCTTATAGTTCTGATTATAATTAATGATTTTTCTATTCTAATTCTTTAATAGTCGCTGATTATTATTCGATTTATTGATTTTTCTCGACCAAATGATGCACACCTTTTTCAATCTCTAATTTAATAATTTCTATTTCTTTTAATTTTTATACTTCTTTTTCTTATAGTTCTGATTATAATTAATGATTTTTCTATTCTAATTCTTTAATAGTCGCTGATTATTATTCAATTTATTGATTTTTCTCAACCAAATGATGCACACCTTTTTCAATCTCTAATTTAATAATTTCTATTTCTTTTAATTTTTATACTTCTTTTTCTTATAGTTCTGATTATAATTAATGATTTTTCTATTCTAATTCTTTAATAGTCGCTGATTATTATTCAATTTATTGATTTTTCTCAACCAAATGATGCACACCTTTTTCAATCTCTAATTTAATAATTTCTATTTCTTTTAATTTTTATACTTCTTTTTCTTATAGTTCTGATTATAATTAATGATTTTTCTATTCTAATTCTTTAATAGTCGCTGATTATTATTCAATTTATTGATTTTTCTCAACCAAATGATGCACACCTTTTTCAATCTCTAATTTAATAATTTCTATTTCTTTTAATTTTTATACTTCTTTTTCTTATAGTTCTGATTATAATTAATGATTTTTCTATTCTAATTCTTTAATAGTCGCTGATTATTATTCAATTTATTGATTTTTCTCAACCAAATGATGCACACCTTTTTCAATCTCTAATTTAATAATTTCTATTTCTTTTAATTTTTATACTTCTTTTTCTTATAGTTCTGATTATAATTAATGATTTTTCTATTCTAATTCTTTAATAGTCGCTGATTATTATTCAATTTATTGATTTTTCTCAACCAAATGATGCACACCTTTTTCAATCTCTAAATTAATAATTTCAATTTGTTTTAATTATTATGCCTCCTTTTCTTATAATTCTGTTTATAATTGATCATTTTTTTATTCTAATTATCGAATCATTTCAATTTATTTTTTCTTATCAAATTATTCTTTAACCTCATTTATAATTTATCCATCATCTTTTTTTTCACTTATCTCAACCAAACCATTTATTATTTTCTCAACCTATGTCTCACTTAAACCGTTTTTTTTTGTATCATTATTATTCTTAAAATTTTCAACACTTATTTGACTTATTCCTTACTCAAAAATGATTTTGCTTTGAATTAAACTAACTATTCATATTTTAATATTTTACTTTGTTTTTATGAAATCAAATCATATTCCATAAGTTCTAGCTACTTTTCTAATTTTAAAATCTCTTCAATATCGTCTTTTATACTAATTAATTTATAATGTTTACTTAATTATTTTTAATTTATATCTTTTAATTATTCATTAATTTTATTGTTTTCTTCTATAAGTTCCTCGTTTAAAAAACTATATAAATTTTTGTTATTACTGCAAATCCATATTTTACTTTTACATTTCCATAATCATATCATCGTATTCTTTTTTTATTTTCATGAGGTCTTTATCCTTCTCTTATTAAGTTTCCACTTTTCCTAGATTTAATGATAATCGTTTTTTCTAATTAAATTAAAATTTACTAATTAATCATTTTCAGAAGTCATTAATTTCATTTTTTATTGGTGTTTATTTTCGATTTCTTACATTCTCGTTTCCAATTACTCTTATTCAGTTTAAAATTTATTTTTTTCTATAATAGATCTAGGTTTTACCAGATTACAATTCTGTCAATTTTTTTTCCTATTACTTTTACTATAGAGTCATTTTTTTCTCTTTTATCTTGAACACATTAATCTCAGACGATAATGCTATTATTTATGCTTCACATTATTTCTTTTCATTCTCAACAATCTGCAATTGATTTGATTATGTTTCAAGTTTACTCTTTAATTCAATAACCAATTTTTCAAGCTCCTATTGCTCATCATTTTCCTATTTTAATGTCTTTTTATCAGTTTAATCATCTTCGCTTTCAGAATTTTAAGATTTAACTGATGCAGCGCATTACTCTTTAAATTATTCAAGATCAAATTAACCAATATAATGACTTTAACTTCTTGAGTGTAAAGTTTCTGATCTTAAAAGAACTGTATTGCTCTTATTTCTTGTCATATAATTAATAGTTCTTTTTTTTTCCTTTTTTATGGAATCGTGTTAAGCTTATTATTATTCAAAAGGTGTGTATTGCTGCTTATCATTTTCTTTAATAAAATCTAATTTATATTATAAAAATATACTTTTAATTTCTTAATCCTTTAATTATATTTTATCATCTTAATCCTTTATTTTAGCTATCAATTTCCCGATTTGAGCATCCTTCTAATGAATTTCATTTTTCTACCGATTAATTTATTCCTCTAAATCTTAATTTTTTTTTCTCATCTAATTATTAATTTACTCATTATTTTAGAATGATGTAATGCATTCCTAAAGGTTGGTAAATCATTACTTTCAATTATGCATTCTTTTTTTCAAGTTCATTCTCTATTTGTTTGTATTTTAATCTTCCATTAGATAACTCATCTTCGATACGTTAAATTTAATCAAAAAGCTTTTCGTTTTGTTCGTTCTAGTTTTAATTTACATTCTAAAGATATATAAATTATTACTTCTAATTCTTTAATATGAGACAAACATTATTCATACTCTTAATTCATTACCATAATCTTATGTTCATATTACGAGATTTAATCTTCATTCTCAACTTTCATTGAATTTAATCTAGAGAATAAAATATCTTGTTAAATTGAATATATACTGATCAAGTGTATAACTTCTTTTATCACCTCTTCCTTTTCTTATATTCCAATCATCAAGATTTAATTAACTACTTTAGTTATATGATATACTGTTATTTCCGTCAAACTTTGGATGGTCTTCTACCGTATTTAAAAAACTATCAGACTACTCTTCACTAATTTTTAGTATAATCTTGTAAATCTAATCTTCTGTCCATTCCTCCATTAATAATAAATTTAATATTATAATAATATTTCAAGCAATATGGCTTATTACAATAAGAAAAAAAATAAAATGAATAATATTGAGTGAAAATAGTTATACAAAGATGAGACACTCGAATTTTAACATGATATAGATTATAGATTATTGCATATTATAATTTTTAAATTCAAGCTTATTTTAAATGGCTACTATATTTAGGTTTATTTGTTTTACTCTATTCAATAAATATCCACTTAATTAATTGTTTTAAGATTTTTAAGCTAATTTTCTACATATTTAAAGTATATGGAAACTAAAATAAAGCAGTCATCTGAGAACATAGATTCATTTCGATTAGATAAGCATCGTTATTAATCTTTTTTGGGCATTCTTATTATAAATATGCAGAATTTTAAGAAAAAAAGTAAAGGAAACATTTATATTTTTCTTTCAAATATATAATATTTTTTTTTATTAATATTTTTAAATTTAAAGATTAATGACTTTATTTTTTATGAGATATTTATTTTATTAATAGTTCATCATTTTACTAATTATTAAGTTTGAATTAGATAAAGATTTGCTTTTAAAACAGAATCTGAATTTTCTTTTTTGTCATACTCATTTTATTCATATTTTTCAATAATTATTAATGTTGGGTTTTTAGCTTTCAATGAGAAAATAACGAAGGTAGTTTATATTATTAATTATGTGAGAATTTTAAATTTATGGAATTTTAAAGAATAATTTTTATCAAGAAGTTCTATGATTTAGGTTTAAAGATTCTAAATTAAATTTTTATTGCTATTTAATAATAAAATAAAGTTTAATCAAACTATGCAATAGGAATTAGCAGAGCTGAAAGGTTTGATTATGCAGACTTTGGAAGCTAATGGTTAATTGGCAAAAATTAGGGCATCGATTAGAGCTTCAGTTTTTAATGTAGTTGATTCCACAGACAATAATGAAAAAATCTCTCCATTTTTTAGCGAAAATAGAAAAGTTCAGTCAATAAAAGAATTAGAAACAGGTAGGGAATTGCTTGAACTTATAAAAGAATTTCTTAATTTTTACGAAATGAGTTACACAAATTCTATTTTCTCAAGGTATTGATCTATAATCAAATTTAGCGAAGCTAATCTTAGGGAAGAAATTAATAGAGATGCTATTTCCAAAAGATTACAAATAAATATCGAGGACAAAAATAAACCTCTGCTTCATTTTGTATTGGTTTAAGCCTAAAAAAATTAAAAGTTGCAATAATCATAAAGCACAAAAACATTTGGAAGTATTTTTTCAAGTTAAGAAATGTTATCCCCTTAAAAAAGTATTTCCTCTTAAATATCCAAAAATAAACCTTAGATTGGTGCTTCATAATAGGAATTTCTGAAGAAACAAAAGGAGCAATTCAATTTATTATAGGAGTAAGAAAATAAGAAGAGATAAAAAGAGTTTTAGAAGAAATAAAGAGAGGAACTCTAACAACAAGAGGAAATTAAGCTTTAAAAATTAAATAGAGAAAAAGAGGAGAATCAATTGTAAGAGGAAAAGCTCAAACTTGAAAAGTAAAAATTGGAATAGATTAAAATGAATTAAGAATTACAATAAAAGAGTTTAGAAATTGAACTTTAAAGATAAGCACAATTAAACTAGGAATCTGAATTAAAGTAATAACAATTAGACTTGCAAAAAAAATTAATTGAATAATAACAACTAGCCTAAGAAATTTAGGACAATAAATAAATATAATAGTTTGAAGAAAAACAACAGGAAGAATAATAAAAATTAATAGGTATACAGCAAAACGTTAAAGAAACTGAATTAAAATTGAATACGATTCTTTAGGAGAAAACTAAAATAGCTGATGAACTTCGATTAATTAAAGAATAAATTTTGGTAGAAAACAATAAGCTATTTTAATTAACAGAATAAATATAATTAGAAGAAAGTAATTTATAAAAACTATAGTAACAAATAATTGTTCAATAAGAAAATAAATAGAAATTCGAAAACGAATAGAATGTTATCAAGTAAGAGGTAATAAAATTTTAGGATGAAAAAAAGACAATTTAAGATTAAATTGATCAATTAAGACAATAGTTAACCGAAGAAGAATAAAACTTAGAAAGTTTTAAATAAAATAAAGTATAAGAAGTTCAAGGTTTAGAAGAAAAGTTCAAATAGTTTTAATTTGATAATAATGAATTAGATAAAAAGTTAGCTTAATTAAATATCCAAAAAAAGGAGTTGTAGTCTTAAATTGAACAATAATGTAAATTATAAATAGAAATTTCAGGGGAATAAGAAAAATTTGAAATTGAAAAAGTAGAAATATCAAAATAAATTTAAGAATTACAAAAGGAAAATAAAGATTTAATTGAAGGGAGAAATTTTTTGTTAAATTAAATAGATGAGCTTAATAATTAATTGAATAATGCAAAAAATGAAATAGATGAATACAAGAATTAATTGCTAATAGGATAACTAGTGCCAGATGAAGTGGAAGTTGTTTCTTCTAAAATAAACTAAGTAATGATTTTTTTTATTATCTTAGAAAGGTAGCGAAGTAGATGCAAAAGCAACAATAGACCCGTATTTAGAAACTGAGTTAGTGCATACTCAGTATTAAGATAATGATGATTTTGATTATGACGATCATCTTTCGTTTTGATAATATTTCAGTTAACTATTGTTATTAATAAATGATATTACTCTATTTTTAGAGGAGTTTGATAAAAATTATCAAAAGTTTATTATATAAATTATAATCAAATAATGTCATAAATTGCATTAAAGTGGGAGATTCAGCGTTTATAAGGAACATTACCAAATAAAATTACAAATCCATGCACATTTTATGAGGATAATTTATATTTAATAGTAGATAATTACAAATAGAATGATTTGTATAGTTTAAGTCTAATTGATTTTAAATGGCGGAGATTATACAATGGAATTCCATTTAAGGCTAGGTGACAATTGAATATGAACAATAGATATAATAGTTAATTTGTAATGAATTAAGGAAAAATATATTGTTATGGCGGAAGCATAGATATCGAGGGGACGATTTTGCTTGATGAATTTTTGGAAATTGATGTTGTACAATTGAAATTCCGTTAAATAAAAAGTGCTCCAACAGGAAGAGTCGAACACAGTATGTGCATGTATAGAGGTTAAATATTAATAATTGGGGGAAGGACTCAGAAAAAGATTTTTAATGATTGTAAAACGTACTCAATAGGAAGTGATAAGTAAAAATAGAGTGTATTGCATTAGATGGAATTAAATAGAATTTGAACCTGCCCATAGATTTGGCCATTAATGCACAGTTTACGAAGACACTATAATTGTAACTGGAGGAAGTGATGGATAACTAATATTAGACGATGTCTGGCTGTTAGTTGATTTAAGAACCTGGATAAGATTAGAAATAAAAAACCCCTTGCCAATATTTAGACATTAAGCAGCATTAGCCATGAAAGAGTATTTAATAATATTTGGAGGCTGCACATTCGATGGATAAAGATGCAACGATAATTTCTATGCTCTAAATATTGTCACATTGAAATGGATTGAACTGCCTAAAGTAAGTAGACATCCATATCCTCGTGTGCAACATACTATGCTCTGTTTGTTAAATTAATCTCGAGAGGATATTCTAGTTATTGGAGGTTTAAACTATCAGGATCTCTCAATTCTTAATTTTTCTCAAGTAAATATTAAGTTTTAGATTAAGTTAAGATGGCCAACTTGGTCGATCTATAACCTCAATCATCATTAATGAGTTATCGTAGTCATACAGTAGAGAGAGAAGAATTTTTGTAAGATATTCCATTAGAAGTTCAAAATTTAGAAGAAGGAACCTCATTTTTGGAATTAGGAAAATATTATGAGTGGAAGATTGAATCTAACCAAGAAATGTAAAAATATAAATGAAAATTAGGAAGTTTACTCCTAGAACAGGTCATTCAGTAGTATAATGCTAAGAAAACCTGTTTTTATTTTGTGGATCTGATGAAACCACTATAGTAAATGATATGCATTGTTACAATATATTCAAGAAGTAATGGGAATAAATACCTCCCAAAGGAATACTTCCCTCCCCAAGATCAGGATGTAAAGGAGTTGCTCATTAACATGACATTTATTATTTTGGTGGATATACTAATAGAAGAGGAGAATACTTTAATGATTTATACGTTTTCGATACAAAATTAAGATAATGGAATTAGATTAGAACAACTAGAGAAATTTAACCAAGAGTTGATATGTCACTTGTTATAAATAATGAAAAATTATATGTATTTGGAGGAGCAGATAGCAGTAATAGATTTAATGACTTGCATTGCTTTGATATCCAAAATAATTAGTGGGTTAAACTGCAAACTCATGGATAAATCCCATCCCCTAGATTTGGCCATACTGCAGAAGTATATAAAAACTAAATGTATGTTTTTGGCGGGTGGGATGGCTTTAAGACTTTAGATGAACTTGTACAATAATTATTTATATAAAGTACACCTATTCATTTGCATCCAACTATTGGTATTTGGAAAAAGTTAGGAATAAACCCCCTTCTCGGTATAGGCATAGCAGCACAATAATTGGATACAGTATTTACATATTTGGCGGAGTTGATGCAGCCATGACTCGATACAACGATCTCTATGAATTTAATTGTGAATTAAAAGAATGGAAATTTATAGAAACAGCTGGTAACACTCCTTCTGCAAGAACATTTCATCAGTTATGTTCATATGAAACTAACATTTACTTAATTGGTGGGAATGATGGTACTAAAAAAAATAATGATATGTAATTTTAATATTCTTTATCATAAAAGGTACTCAATTTAAGTATTTGATCATAGATTTAGTGATTTATCTAGCATTTCACAATTAGAAATTTAATCAACAATTGTTCCAAAAGAAAATGGTTTAATTAGTATTTTGAAAAATTAGGTGAATGAATTAGGCTAAAGATTAAGAGAGGAGTAAGAATTCAATTTGTGTTAAATTTGTTAATCTAAAGATATTAATTCTGTATTTATGTGATTAATATTAGGTCTTTTTGGAATGCGGCCATAGATTTTGTTGTTATGAGTGTTCAAACAAACTAGAGCTTTGTAAAATATGCTTAAAAAAGCCGAGCCGGATCATTAAAATATTTGTAGTTTGACTTTTAGCAGTATTTATATTCTTCATAAAACAGTTTATTTTTATATTATTATTTTTATCGGTAATATCTATTAAATTAAATAAATGAAGAAAATGATTTTGATAAATAAAATAAATTATATCCTAATGAATATCCAATAGAAGATTGCCTAATATTATGAAACCGTCTTATCTAAAACTCTTTTAAGACCCTCTCTTACAATATGATGAGAAAAAGGAGCAGCAGTAAACCTAATTTGATGAAATTATTGGATTGTTCTCTTGAAAAGTAGGTACTGAGTTGATAGCATAATTTCAATAAATATTTGATAAAACATCAATTGTTAATAATAAGGAGGCCAATTTGAATTTCAATGAATTATAGCAGTATTACACACATTTTTAAGAAGACTTGAAATTTATAAGGTACAGTAGATGGGCAAAATTTTATGTCAGATAATTAATATATATTAAATAGAGTCAAAACATTTACAGAGTCTACGAGATCTAGAACATTTTTGATAAACTAAAAAGGAGTTGCTAAATGAAGTTGTTATTGAGATTGGGGGAAATTTTCGGGAAAGAAATTAATTATGAAAAAAATTAAGTATCCATCATAAAGGATAATGAGTTTAAAAAGGAGATAATTAAGATTTTTGGCCAAAGTAGATAGTTGAAACAATTAAGTCCTTACTAGGCTTTAATGTGGAAGAGACTTTTTTGTGATAAAGATAAAGGCATTTATGAGTGCAGAATAAATACTGAATGTCAAAGTATGCCGATATTGGATTCTTAGAATAATAAAAATTTTTGGGTCACGAAAATGAAAATGTCTTAATAATTAAGAAAAGGAAATATTAAAATCTCTTTTAAAAGATGAATTCACAAATTTACCTAACATACAACTTTGGAATTAATGAATATAGAATAACTTGGTTATGTTTATATTGTTTAAATCTTACATGAGGCTCATCCTATAGATTAGCACATTGTAAGTGAGAAATTAGTAAGAAATAAACTTACTCTCAATTTACGATTGTTGGAATGAAATAAAATAAGAAAATAAATATTTAAAGATTAACTATTATATTAATAACAAGCTTTGGCTTTGATTCTTGATTCCTAATGATTAAAAGATTCCCTACTCATGTCCAGTTGATAAGGAATAGTAGCAGTACTGTTTATTCTATAAAAATGAGTGATATTTTGAACTTGCTTCTACTTTTATTTTCGTCTGGGAACAATTCTCAATATTCCTTTTCTTATTGATTCATTAAGGATTGCAAGTTATACCTGATGAACATATAGAGCCTGCCAAATCTTAAGCTTGGGTTAGAGAAGGTTCTTGAAAAAAAATGTAAGATCTGTTTTGTTAAAAAATGTTGACAATCATAAAATCGAGATTGTACAAGATTAATAGCAATAGCTAAATTAAATTGTATTAGCCCCTAGACAGCAATCTAAGGTAAATAACGATTACAATAAATAATCATTCATATAAAAAATAAGGATTTTAATTACTCTTAATATTTCAATTAAAAAATCTATCTATTTTGAATAAATTTCCATTTCTTTTTTATGCTTTATCTTAATTTACAATACTAATTAATCTTTGAAAATTTCTAATAGTCTTATGCTAAATTAATTATTTTATTCATAAATACTATGTTTTTGTTGTGATTACATATTGATTATAAATAGATAAAAATGATAATTATTAATATTGATTTAACCTTTGAATGGGATACCTATTGATTGATGTCTTAAGTGAAATTGCTTTTTACAAAAGTCCTTCATAGTTATCAGATAGATATTTTAAAGTTCAACTTTTAATTTGTTCATTATAATTTTTAGCGCTATTATTTCCAAATGATGGGTGGAATTATTGGAATTATGATTAAGATCCAGTATTTAAATACTTTAAATAAGTGATTAATTGCTTATTAATTCTGCCTATTTAGCATGAAGAAAAAATCATCCATTCAATAATTGCGAGTGCTTTTTTTGCATTTCAGTCAGCAATTATTATATTTATTTCTATATTAACAATATTTAGAAAGATATCATCAAATACCGAATTTACTAATGGTATATTACACTTTATGTTAAGAGTTGTAAATTTTTATTTTCTTCACATAAATTTTTCAATTGGTAATTTATTCCTTTTGTATTATGGAAATGCGATATTTTGTGCAAAGTTCAATTCATTTTCAGATGGAAAATGTTCCTAACATTCATTATTTTTTATTGGACTAGCTGGATCGATGTTGACGATATTTTCATAATACATTGGTGTTTATCTTTTTAGATCCTTCTCATTTAGACCATTTTCAATACTGCAGAGCAAATATTCATTTAATTAAATGCTTTTTGTCTTAATAAGAGCAATAATGTTTGCAGTTTATTTACTTGAAACGACTAGTTTTAATGTGTACCTGTTTTTTATTCTCATAAATTGTTTAATCTTACTATAAATGATTGAGAACTTTTTCCTAAATGCCTATTATCCTCCGAATAATGAATTTAATTTCAAATTATACTTTATACTATTTTCAGTATCAATCCTAATCACATTGAATGTTTTATCAGAGAATACAATATTGCAATAAAATATGATACTTGAAAGCGTGATGTTAGCGGCATCCTTTTCATATTATTTTTCTGAAGTTCTTTTTGAAAGGAAAATATATCATCAATCTCATTTTAAGCTTCTCTCCTCAAGTAGAACAATCGATGTCATCTAAAGAATTTATGAATTATCCCAAGATATCAAAAAGACTGTGAGGTAGAAAAAATTATTTTATTATTATGCCTACATAGTAAATCACATATAAGGCGACAAACACATAGATAATAGCTTTTTCTAGGATATGTCATCAAGAAAATTTATTATATAATTTTTATAAAGACAATTAAAACTATCCAAATAAAATGGTAAAGTGTCTTTTGAAGATATGCAATTAATATACACTAACTTTTTGTCTCATTATTGCAAGAAACCATTACTGAGTTTAGTTGAGTTTAGAAAGTACGATATTTTTTATTAACAACAACAATCCTACTACTTTAAATTTATGAAGAAGCAAATCAATAATAATTTACAGCAGACTGTTCAAAAGCAGTAATAAGCAAACTTTTTTTAGTCTCAAAATAGAGAATAAGAAAAATAGTCCTTGGATATTGTTCATATAAGTAAATCAATAGTTTTTGAAGAACTTTACATTCCTAATATTATTAAGTTAATGGATGCTAAAATCTATTTTTGGGAATAATTAATCAAGGGATACAATACAATTTAAGAATTTTAGAATGAAGCAATTAATTTAAGTAAGAAGGTTTAATCACTTTAAAGAGAGCTATTGTCCAAATTATCCTTTGATATTGAAAACATAGGGCATTTAGGAACTAATTGTAATGTGTTAGAATTAAAAATTGCGTCGATTTTTTATAGTTCGATAATGAACGACTATTACAACTCAGCCTAATGTGAATTTTTAATATAAGAAATATTTAATATTGAACATACATTATCTTCGGATGTTATCACAAATTTTACATTAGTTGAAGATAAAGTTGCATTAATAATGTTAAGTTTAGTCAGGAATTTAGGTTAAATTATTAATTAGGATAAAAGAGGTTTATCTCAATATTTTGGTTATGATGATAAAGAATTTTAACAAATATAATATATTAATTAGTTAATGCCTCCATTTTTATCTGTAATACATGACAATTTATTAGAAGATTATTTGCAATAAGCAAAGTCAAAGCTATTTTAATCTTATAATGTAGTATTTAGTTCTGACAAATTTGGCTATTTGGTCGCATAACAATTAAAAATAGACAATAATTTTCTAATTTAAGATGATTATGTTATAATGGGTTGTTTGTCTTAAGTTAAAAGAGGAATAGATTTTGTAATTTTTGGAGATGATGGTAAAATATGGGGTAGCACCTAAAATTTCTTTTAAACTTACTTTTAAAATTAAAATGAAAAATTTACTTTATAAAGATTAACTAATCAATGCTATATTTATATGTATTTTCCACAATTAATTAAAATCATTGATTCGTATAAAAATTAACTAGTTAAATCAGATTATGAAGGGTTATTAATTGAGGATTCTTGTATATTTATGGTTAGAGATAATATAATAGAATTAATTTAGCATTTTTAATCACAAAGTATTAATATGCCAAAAAGCAGTCATTTTGAAAAATCTATCATTCAAAAAAAGGCTTAATTGTCTGAAGGATCATTATCAAAAAAGATCGGAACCATCTCTATTTAATAAAATGATTTATAAGAAAAAGAATAAGATCATCTAGTTTAAATAGAATCAAATAGAAAATAATCAGAGGAATCTATTAAGCCAGGTTAATATAATGGCATACCTTTATTAAATAAATAATATTAAAACGAAATCCAATAATATTTAGAGAGCATAGAAGTATGTATATATATATATGTATAAGGAAAAACCTGCCGAGAAATTCCTGATCAAGTTTTCTCTTAATTTAAAAAATATTGGTAAAGAGGACTATCACAGGTCTTATTTTATATTGGAGATCATAGATGTAAGGAAGAAAGATCTGATAGGAAAATCAATTTCTGAGAATTAAAATCAATAAACTAATGATAGTAAATTCTATTCACTTTAAAATAATAATCATAGTAAACATATATTAAATACTAGACACGACATAGGAGGAAGAACAAACTAAAGCTAATGTTTCTGGATTTGTGTAATCGGAATAACCATATTCTGAGATTGTGCCTGTAAATAAAGACATTGGCTGCGGGGTGACTGATCTCTTGGAAAGAATGGGACCCTCGAAAAAGCAAAAATAAGATCAAGATTTTGGTTTATTCAATTTAGATTCAGCTAGAGATAGCATGAGTTATGGTCCATTATCATAAAGAGCTCATTTCATTAATCCTAATTAAAAGGAGGGAGAATTAGAAGAAATTGTGAAATTGGATTAGGATTTTAATGTCTTAGGAATTTAATTAAATAGTGCTAGTGCTATTATGTAAAAGGAAAAAAACATATAATATGAACCTGAGGAGGAATTTGATATTGAAGAATCGCTTAAATAATAAAAATAATAAATTGGTAAATCAAGTAGTGATCATGAGAAGGATAAAAAAAATGATATATTAGAAATTATGAAGAAGAATAAATTAAAGGGAAAGAACCATGAAGAAGAAGATGTGGATGCTTTAAAATCTAAATCAAGTATGACTTCAGCAACTTCTGGGAACTCAGCTATCTAAATTATCAAAAAGTTTTAAAGCACTACTCATCTTACTTAAGGACTTAAATTTATATCTATTTCTAGCTTAACAGTTTTTATTATCATAATCATCTTGATAACAGTCCATCTAGTACTCATAACCATAAGTAATTAAGATACGTCATTGACTATTAATGATATTAATGGACCATTTATATTAAACAGAAGTTATTTAGAAGTTATTTCATTTACATGGAGTTTAATTGTGGGAACTTTAGATATTATTGAGACCAGCTAATTTATAAAGGAATAAACATTTAGTGATTTATTTAACACTACAAGCGAATTATATGATGAAATAAATAATATGTATTTGGGATTTATCGAAGTAGAGGAAAAAGGGATGTTATCCTTACAAAAGTTTACTTTCTTAAAAGGAAATACTGAAGAAGTAAAGTTCCCTTATTTTATTAATTTGATTGAGGGAACCTTGGATAGAGTTGTAAAAATCGTCTCAATCGAAATTGCAGATTTTCCTACATTGTTGACAAGGGAATATTTGGATTAATTATTTTTATTAAGATATAATCTAAATTAAATCTACTTGATGTCATCAGAGTTAATTGACTCTTTGAATGTTGTTTTTTTGTCTTAAACTAATGATAGGGTTGGTGAGATGCAGACCTAGGTTATTATTGAAATAATTTGCATAGGTGTCATTTTATTAGTTGAGCTTTATTTTTGGAAACAAATATAAAATTATAGCTAGTAATTAATGCTATTGACTGGAAGACTTTAAGAGAGCGATGCAAATGAATCTATAGCACGAGCTTCTTTGGTCAAGGAAACATTAACACAGTAAAGCGGAAAATATAGTTGGAAGAAATAAAACTATTATGCCTTAAATTATTAATCTCTTAACACATTAAACTTTGAATTATTGAATCAATAGTCTAGAATTATCAAAGACTTAGCTTTAAAAAATCATTTTGATGTAAATTAAAATAAGAATCATCAATAAGAGAATAATAATAAAAAGTAATAATCCTAAAAGAGAAACATTAATGTTGTCTTAAGTTCAAGAATATATAACACTCAAATAAGCTTGATATCTTATACTATTATGCTGCTTATAGTATTTATAATAATTGCGCTAATGTTTTTTGGAGGATTTCTGCTGTTTTCCCAATAAATTTCAGATTTGGGTCCCTCATAGGCCCTAACTGGGAATTATATTAAATTTACTTAGAAGTTAGACACCCTAATGGCATGTGCCTTAATATTAAAGACTTAGCATCTAGTCTATGATGCATTAATAGAGATGAAAGTATATGATAGCTCAACTATAAATTCATTCTTACAAACAAATGATATAGTTGAATTGTTCAGTGATTTAAGTAAGATTTATTCTGAAAATTTAACCTCTATTTATGAGAGTATTTTATAATCAAATAAAATCAAGGATGAGGATAAACAATTATTATTTACACTCTATCAAGATGATTTTTGCCAAGAACTTAGTGATGAAATTCCTATGTGCAATATAGAAGAATTTGGAATCGATAAGTTCACTTAAACTTTCGGATCACCAATTCTGCCATAGGATGATAATAAGGAGTATGTTAATAAAGGTATTGTTGGAGTAATAAGCAGACTGGATACGTTATTCAGTTAATTTTTTGATTATGAAATAGAGTATAAGTAATTTTAGCCGGATACTGAATTGTGTAAAGAATAAATAGACATGAAAGAGTTCAGAAATGCAGTATTTGCTCATTTTTTAGATACTAATGATGGTACGAACACATTTTTGGATATCATTTACATTAGTATTTATGGGATATTGGATGAGAATCTGAGTTATATATATCTGTATTATGGTGTAGTTGGAGTTTTAGTTGGTCTGTCATATGCAATATATTATATTGTTATAATAATTAAAACCAATAATAAGTTAATCAGGACAAGATTGGCTTTGATTACACTACCCATTTCAATTTTAACAGAGTAACACACAATATCGATGTTAAAAAGATTAAATTGAATATTTATGTATTTATTTATTAACTGTTTAACCATGCTCTTACATCCAATTACAAAATTTAATTATTTATATAAAAAATTAAATAAACATTAAAAATGCTTGCTAGCAACGAATTAGTGTTGGGAGATTAGTAAACTTAAATTATGATGTAGACCTAAATAAATTAAGTGTCCTTTTTGCTCAAATTCAACAGTTTCAACTGTTACTTTTAAGAATGGCTATATAAGCTATATTACGTGTTTTTTAGTTTTGCTGATTTTTGGACTTATGCCAAGTCTTTTACTAATACCAGTCATTATGATAATCACAAGAACCTTAATTCATAAGTAATTATGATAAAATGAGCTTAGATGTTCTGCATGCAATGAAGAAATTGGTGGAGATGGAAAAGTGTTTCATGTACTAGGTGTGAAGGATTCAGTATGAGTATTAATATATTCTTAAAGATGATGTCATTCAAAATTGGAGAGTTCGGAGTTATTTTGACTAAAAGAATAGTTATTGGCACTTTGTTATTAATCTTAACATTAGGAGTTTTGTGGTATAGAATAATTGAAATGCCAACTTCATAATGGATGGATTATCATCAACATTACAATCCAAATATCACTATTTCTGACACTTGGACTGATTATTTAGAGAAATGTACAAAGGAGAAAATATTTCAAAATCTGTAAAATTAATAAATTTGTTATTAAAAATATATCGACAGAACAATAGTAGATTGGAAAGGTAAAATTAAATATTAAGTACATTTAGGATACGCAATAAGAGTTGAGGATAACCAATAATCTTTAATGAAGTTCTTGCATCACTCTGTTAATATTTTGGTGAAAATGGATCCTGCCGAAAGTGAATTTCATCCTGATTTGTTGTTGACTGCAGATAGTGAAATAGCAACTGAATTGTGTAATTTGATTATAGATTCTTTTAGCTTCTGAGATTGAGAAATTGGAAAGAGGTAGTGAGTTTAGTTTCACTGCTATAATTAAGTCGATTGGGGATTACTAAAACATAAGACATTTTCATCTCCTCAACATAACTAAATTAGAAGGTTACATTGAAATTCCACCTCATCTTCATTAATAAAGTAGATATGGAAATTCTTAACAATTTCTTGCTTAATCAACTGATTGAATATATGAGTAATAATAATATCAAATAAAGTCTATACATATAATTATATTTTTAAAGATACTGATATATACTTATATTTAATTTAATATAACCTAATCAATCAGGACTTGCTTTGATTCTTTCCATTTTGAAATAATTTTTATTATTACCTCATAAATGACCAAATTATTATTATTACAAAATTTTTGATTTGTTAAAATGATGTCATTGTTAAAAGTTCCATTTTTTACTCATAACATTGATGAGTATAAAACTAAAATAAAAAAATGATTAACCCAGTCATCTTATCCATTCTATTTATAACCAATCCATTATTGGTAATCCAAAGATTTTTGATTATCGTGAGAATAGACCATAGTATTCATGTACAAAATACTTATGAACTGAATAACACTATTTTTTCAATGTATAAATTTAAACTTTTTACAAAATAAATAAGTGTAATTGATTACTAAGCTAATGTAACTTATGTTTAATCATTTCAGCTCTATAAATTCATACATATAAACTAACACTGATTAGCCGAATCATAACATTATATTTTTTTATACCAAAATTTATAATTAGGTTGTATTATAATTGAAAATAATACTCTTAATATTCCAAATTTATTATCTAATATGCTTTAATTGTATCCATAAACGTGACATCTTATGAATTATATAAAAGTCACATATAATTGATTAAAAAATATCTATTTTTTATGTTTACAAAACTTTTCAGCACATTTCGACATTATAATATCTTTCGAAATCATGGCAAATAGTTGATGCTAGTTGGATTATTATCGACAATTTGTTATCGATAGAAGCTAAGCTTATAAGTAAACCCAAACATCAAACAATATGGCGATAACTTGAATCGAGCATTCAAAAGAGCATTAGAACCCGAAGATGATTTTTAGTATAAATAGTCACATTAAACTTAGTAAACATACTATCATCTTGTCCGGAAACTCTAATAAAGAGTTAGCTGAAGGTAAATATCCGTATAATTGAATAATAGAGATTGCTGAATATTTGAATATTAAATTAGGCAGTGTCACAATTGGAAGATTTGCAGATGGAGAATGTCAAATTTAAGTATACACTATATATGACACAGGTTCTTGATAATATTAGAGGAAAGGATGTTTTTATAATACAATCGACATCTCCTCCCGTTAATGATAATTTGATGGAATTATTGTTATTAGTCTCTGCTTTAAGAAGAGCTTCAGCCAGAAAAATTATAGTGGTAGTTCCATATTATGGATATGCAAGACAAGTATTTATAATTTCATTTGTTTCAGGATAGGAAATGTGCACCAAGAGTCCCGATATCAGCAGCAGATGTAGCTAGACTCTTAGAAACAGTTGGAGTTGATAGACTAATATCAGTTGACTTGCATTGTGGATAAATTCAAGGGTTCTTTGGACCTAGAGTACCAGTAGATAATCTTGAGGCAAATTTGGTTGCTCAGAATTACTTATCACTCTAGAAGAAATATGAATTCAAGGATGTTGCAATTGTCTCACCAGATGCAGGTGGTGTTTACAGAGCAAAGAAATTTTAAGAATAATTTGACTAGCATCATCCAGGAATGCAATCTCATTTAGCTATGATTATTAAGTAAAGAGAAGGGCCAGGAAAAATAGCATCCATGAACTTAGTTGGTTAAGTTAAGGGAAAGGATTGTATTATAGTGGATGATATAATTGATACTGCAGTAAATTTAAATGTCATTCTTTAAGGGTACACTTTCTGAGGCTGCCAGAGTACTCAAAGAACAAGGGGCAAAAAGAGTGTTTGCATTTGCAACTCATGCATTATTCTCAGGTAAAGCATTCACGCATCTCGCTGCTCCTTCTCTAGATTAGATCATAGTTACTAACACAATTCCTTCAAAACCATAGGAAGAGGTCTTGGGAGACAAAATATGTAGATTATCCGTTGGTAATTGATGTAACTATTAGTTAGCTCCTTTATTGGCTGAAGCTATTTATAGGGTCTAAAAAAAAGAAAGCGTTTCAACTTTATTTGATATCAAACAATGATTTTATTATCGAAGTTTAGAAGTTCATTTTTATTTTAATATTTTTAAACAGTCAAAATAATTTAGTTTAAGGTTTGAGGAATACCTACCACTAAATAAATAAGATCCCATTTTCTTCATTCGTTTGTGCATAACTGAATAGAATTTCTGGATAATTGAATTATTGGATAATCCAATGAATAAAAAATAATCAAACAATTAAGCCTGCATTTGATAAAAATTATTTTAAATTTACTCATAAATAAATTTATGTAGACATAGCCTTAACCAATTGGAGTAATCACGTATTATTCTGATCAATATGAACCACAATGCCCATATTGTTAATCAGGAGAACATTCCATTTAATCTGATGCTTGCACGTTTTAATAAACTCATCATATCAATGAGTAAGCAGTAAGGGGAAGAGGTATCAATTGAAGATAACTTAGTTGTGTACGTATCACCTGAGAGGATAGTTTCAAGAAAAATCATAGAAACAACTACTATATCTCCTTCCATGTCATAATTGGTGACTCCATCAATAATTTCAACAGCTACACCAAAATTAATAACATCCTAAAATCCACTGACCCAAGTTTCCCCAGTTCTGAATTAAAAGTAGTTTATCTCTAAGCAATAATCTCCAATTCTTGTACATCAATAATATGTGATTCCACAACAATCTTTCATTTAGCAACAAATTCCTATTGTCTAGCAATCTTCCTATGACTTGAACATGAGTAGGGAGCTGTAGTAATCTTAGCTAATTTAATAAGATTTACAATTAAAGGAAAAAGAGTTAGCAGAAAAATTACAAAATTAAACTGAAGAAATTCAGTAATCTAATTTGGCTTATAATCAATTACAATAGGCTCTATATGAGAAAAAGGACGAGTATGAATAACTAAAAAAGGCCTATGCATATTAAACATAATATTCTCCAAATTCATTGATTCCTAAATCTTTACAAGAGATATACAATAAGTCATAGGTAAAGGAGAAGAAACCAGTTTTATCATAGGAGGAATTAGAATTATATTGGAAACATAGAGTATATGAATTGGAAGAATATTTATATGAATTATGGGGTAAGATAGCCTAAATGCAGCAGTAAAAAGTAGAATAAAAAAAGGATGATAGCATTAAAGTATAAATATAATTTACTAATATTTGAGATAGAATTATTGTAGAGAGAAGTTTGTTAATTAGAACATATTGTAAGACTAAAATCAAATTCAGTTGTGATTTTAAAAAATAAGTTGAATAATCTAATGTATCAGTATGATCCAGCTACTGAGGTTACAAAATAATAGGATTAACAACTTTAATCTGTAAGACAATAAGTCATGAATTTAAATTCGAAGTATTAACAAATACAAGAGGAGATTCAAGATTTGGAGGCCTAAAATTAGAAGAGCAAAGTGGGGATTAACGATAACGATGCTATTCCAATTAACTAGGATTCTTTTTAGTATTGAATGATTTTTTATAGGATTAGATAATGAGTTTTAAGTATATTAATTAACTTAAATAAAGTATATTTTATATAAAAATTTAAAAATTAATGCAAGGATTTAAAGTTGAAACAATAACTCCAGGGGATGGAAAATCATTTCCTTAAAAAGGGTAAAGAGTTGAGTAAAATTTAGCCAAAAAGTTCACGTGCATTATGTAGGAACCTTGCTTGATGGATCTGTATTTGACTCATCAAGAAATAGAGGAAAGCCTTTTGTCTTTACCCTTGGTGCAGGATAAGTTATTAAGGGATGGGATGAAGGTGTTGCAAAGTTGTCAAAAGGAGAGAAAGCTATCATCACTTGTCCACCTAATTATGCTTATGGCGCATAAGGATACCCACCAGTGATCCCCTAAAATGCCACATTGAAATTTGAAGTGGAGTTGCTTAATTTTGCATGACATATTCATACAATAAAATAAGTTAATTTCAAAACAGATATTTATAAACATCTTTAGATTTATATCAATAGGCAATCATCAGCTCAATTTAATTTAATACTAATTAATATAAAATTAAAAATATTAAAAAAAACATGATCACGGCCAGTCTCGAACTGGCGGCCTCGTCCTTGTTAGGGACGCGTGATAACCCCTACACCACGCGATCAATGGATAACAATTATCAATAATTACATATAATAAAAACCCTTTGGATTTCCAGCATTTGATGGCAGCTAATAGATTTAAGGAATTAAGAATAAAATTAATTATAAACCTTTAGCATTTCTGATTAGTTTGGAAGTTGAGATCCAACATCATATTTAGTAGGGTCTAAAGTAATATGGAATGGAGAGAATAATGAAATAAAAATAGATGGTAATTACCAAATTTATTGTATGTTGATTAATATTTGAGCGATTTAATCCTAATCTTCTATTATTATAAATTTTATTATCAAATGTCTTAAACGTTAAAGGAGGAAGAATACAGTGTAATAAGCAAAATAGGATGTGGATTTTCGGCAGAGTATTGCTTTTGTTGAGAATTTAGTGTCCAATTAGTTTCAAGATCTGGAGAATTGATGGCACTGAAAGTGTATAAGGCCAAACAAGATTAACTATATGAGAATGAAATTCGTATTATGAACAAGTTGAGTCACATTTCTGGGGTTATTAGAATAAGAGAAAGTCAACTTAGAGGGTGCATAATGATGGATTATGCGAAGTATGGAAACTTACTCCAATACTTATAATAATCACGATTTGAAGAGAGCATAGCCAGAAGTTTCTTTAAATAGATGATATTCAGTAATAGTTCGAAAATACTATTAATAGTAATTGATAAGATTCACAAGATGGGTGTTGCTCATAGAGATCTAAAATTAGAAAACATATTATTAGACGATCAATACAAGTTAAAGATTTGCGACTTTGGATTTGCTGTTCAATATTTGGATGAGTAAGGAAGGAGAATAAAAGTGAATGAGTAATTTAGTATTTGATTATTTGTAGTTATGTTGGAACGCCTTAGACTGCAGCTCCAGAGATATATCTTCGATAGCCATATCATCCCGTGGAGGCAGATTTGTTTTAGTTAGGAGTTATCTTATTTTAAATTTGTGCTGGATCGAGTCCATTTCACAATGCCAATATAAAGAGTGATCCAAATTATTAGTTGATATACAGGTAATACATAGTTAATAATGAAGACAACAAATAGGGAAGTTTTGGGAGAAGCATTAGTTTGAATTTTCAGCTGAATTGAAGGATATCATCGTCAAACTTTTGGCTTTTAATCCAAATCGGAGATTATCAGTAATTAATAAATTAATATTTTATTAAAGATTCCTGAAATTCAGTCTCATCCTTGGATGCTAGGTGAAGAAGCTGATTAATCCTAAATTATTGATGAAATGGAATACAGATTCTCATTACTCTCTCTATAAATCTGATTATAATATACTATAACTAAGATTCATATTTAATCATTTCTAAAAATATTATACCCAAATGGCAATTTCTATAAATAAATCTCCGAGCAAAATGAAACTAATTAGAATTTTATTGAAATTAATATAAATGCTATATAATATTATCATTATAAAATGGAATCAATTTTAATCAATTAAGTATTTTAAAGATTCCTATCTTCCAAAAACTGATTGTCTTCTTTAAATCTTTAATGAATCCTCATCTTCTATATCCTTCAACTCTTCCTCTGAAACTCTATATTGAGTAGTGAAAATGTCTAAAAATTCCAAAAACTCACAATATTGGTATTTTCGATTGTAGACTTCAGCTAACTTTTTTGTATTGACAGTATTCTTATATAAGGCTATAAAAGCAATTCCTCTTTTTAATTGATCGACACTTATAAATAATGTAGGGTATTTGACATCTTTTATTCTAGTTGTTGTATCAGAATCCATTAATGCCTTAAAAAGAGATAAATAATAGTAGATGTCTTATCTCGATAAGTTCTTCTCTAATATAATCTTTTCAATATTAATTAACTGTGTAATCTCTTTAAATTTTTCATTATCCTTGGTTTGGAAGGATTAAAAAGGGTCTTCTATAGGAATATTCTATTTCTATTTTTTTTTGAAAATATGTGTAGTCTATGGCATAATCTGATCAAAGGCTTCTTCTTGTATTTCTTAAATAGACTTTTCATCTTCTAACATTAATCTCTGCTAAATTAGTTCTTCCTCTTTATAACCTAAATATTTTTTCTAAACTTAATGATTATGTTTACTGCTTGAAGTTTAACTTGAATTGAATATCTTTTCCTTGCTTTTATCTTCTCCAATCTCTATCTCATCATTTCTTCTAAATTCCTTAATTTACTGGAATATTTTGATTTATTTGATTGGATGTATTACTACAGCAATTTTAAGTATGTATCCTATTCTTGTTCACTCATTTAAATTATTGATTATTCAAACATCTACTCATCTGGTTCTCTGAGGTCGTTTTCAATTTCTATTAAATATTATGATGGAATTGAAGTCTAACTCTCTTGCTGTTAATGACGAAAATAAAAGGGTAGTAAATTTTCTCTCTTTTTGAAGAATCTTGAAACTTCTTCTTTGGATTTTAAATCAAATAATTTTATGGCTAATTTTGGGTATTTGTCTAATTAAAATTCACCTGAAAGATTCAGTTGTTACTTCAATTGAATCCATAAATCAAATTATCCCTAGTATTAAGTATTTCTTTACTTATAGTTGAATATACAAAAATTTATCATATTAAGGCAATTAATTTAATTGAGTTATTTCAACACTATCTAAAGAGAATACTTTTGTCTAACTCAAGTGATTTCTAAAGTGTAGAATGTCTAAAAAATAGGAAATCCATTATCTAAAATTATCCGTCAATTCTTTCTCATTTATTATTTTCTCATAAATAGGAATAAAAAAAGGGAAAATGCTTAATTCTAAGTTATTAGTTCTATAAATTAAAATTAAGTTACATTTATTTAACTTCAGTTTAAGAACTTTTCAGATGAAGACTTTAATGTGGTAGAAAAATCAGAATAAAAATCTATTTCAAACCTTTCTTTGTATTCAAACCAATTTGAACTATCTTCTACTGTAAAATTTGCTGAATTTCATCAGTTTTCCAGCAAGTTTTGAACCTTTCTAAGTGATGAATTTCCTTTTGAATTTCATATGCCTTATTAATTCTATTCACCTTGTTATTCTTCTACCAAAGTTACCCTTCGATTTCAGGACTTAAACTTCGAAATTTGAATGAACTCGTTCTTTCAGAAACACTGAAATTATCTTTAATTAAAGTAGTAAGCTATGTTATAATTGGTTTTTGGGTAGGACTCTTTGTAAATTAGGTATGCATTTTAGAATTCGATTTATCCTTTTCTTTGGATCTGATTTTTAATTCTGCTAACTTTTTACGATCCCTTTAAGTTGTTATTTTATCAGGATCCAACTATAACTGTTCAGAATGTCTATATCTGATTATATCTAACTTTGTTCTAGAGAGGATATTTGGAAACACGGTTGCCTTAACACAATAAGGGATTGTATTCTAAATAGATGTAGATCTGGAACTATTTATATGAAAGCTGATCTTAGGAGATTTAGTTTCTTATTCTTTCACCTGGAGAATATAAATACTCCTTACCATATACTTTTCTTCGACTGCTTCCAAATTTGCTTCTCTTTTGCTTAAGTGATCTTTGGACAATACGATTGGAATATATTCTTTTAATGTTTACATGTTTATGTATATATTTAAATAATTTGGTTTATATATTATAATCACTCCCAATCTTCAATAATTTCTGCCTTTTTTCTCCAAATATGAATTCTAAATAATATCATAATTTCCTGAAATATCAGATGTAAGTAGTATTGGTTAATTTTATGAAGATTTATTTTTTAACTTCCTTTTTAAATTAGTAATAGTGGTTAGATTCTCGTATTCGATTCAATTCTTTTACATCTTAAACAAATACTGCTTTGTTCTATTATTATGAATTAAATAATCTTATAGTTCTGACTTGAAATTCAGATTAAGCCATTTTTTGGAAATCTTGTTGAATCCATATAACATTTGATGCTAACACAATCTAAATGCATATTAAGAAAGATGCTGAATTATAACTTTGTATATTGCTAATAATCTGCAAGGAATGTTTAATATGTAGAAATTTGTAAAGTTCTGAGAACAATATATGTGCGTATAAGGTTGTTTCAATATACGCAATATCTTATGGATCTTCTTCATGCACATCCATCATTGGACAATTTAAATAATGCTCAATGCTATACTATAATTTCCTAAATCATTTATAAATGAAATATATAATTTAAGTAATGAGATGATGGTGATTGATATTGTATACAACTTAGTTTAAAATTATTGAACTATATATTAGATTTAATTTAAGTAATTGAGCTTACTCCTTCCTTGCATTTATATTTATATTAAAATGTAAAAAAATATTGATGACGAAGATGTTGACCCATGCTAATTTATAAAAAATTTAGATACAGGAGATACGTATAGTGTTAACAATTTTGGTGAATTAGATATTGAAATTAAGCAATACAAGCCTTTAAATTAGAAAAAAGAAAGGTGGAAAACCTTTTGGAACAGAATGGAAGAAATAAATGAAAAATTGTATGATGCTTGTGAAAAAGGAGAGGAAGAAGTTGTTTCTAATTTACTTAAAGATTAAATTGAGTTAAAATAATAAGTTTAATAATAAAATCGGTCATACAATTCCAGTTTGATTGGAGAGGATTATTAGGATTTTATTGGATTAATAAATATTGATTGTAAAGGCTTGGATGATTGGACAGCTTTACATCATGCTGTGAATAATAGAAGAGTGGGAATAGTTAAACTATTGCTAGATTCTAAAGCTAATCCTAATTTATGTACGTTAATGAAGAGGACTCCATTACATCTAGCATGTTTGAGAAGAAGTCTAGAAATCGTAAAACTTCTAGTGCAATATAAAGTGGATTTGAATTGCCAAGATTCTGATTTAAATACTCCTTTGCACATAAGTTCCGAAATAGGATTTATACAAATTGTGGAATTTTTGTTAATTAACGGGGCAGATGGTACAATTTCATACTGATAATTCACATTAGCCACTTTGAAGAATTGCCAATAAAAGTCTCCTTATGATGTGACTATGTCCCCAGAGGTTAGGAAGCTTCTTGAAAAGTATGTTCCTAATACTGAAGGCTACCAATCGAGATCTTTGATTGGAGGACAAGTAGTTAGAAACTCGAGAGCCGATCATATTGAAAGACTACTAGGTAAAGTCAACGAGTTGTCGAAAATGGAAATCTTGAAACAGTAACAACAATAATAGTAGATGAATTAAAAGGATAAATAACTAAGCACTCCATAGCCGATCTCCTTATTTGTGGATGTTAGTGTGAATGTATCTATTTATACTCTAAATTACTAGGCTTCTTCTCCGGATGGTTATATATTCCACAAATTACTTGGGAAGGGCAGCTTTGGAGAAGTGTACTTTGCCACAAGAAAATAGGATGGAGAATAGTATGCCATCAAAACACTTTGTAAAGAGAGAGTGTTGACTAAAAATTTAACTAGATATGCTCAAACAGAGAAGAATGTTCTTAGTGTTATGAAACATCCTTTCATTGTCAGATTACATGCAGCCTTTCAAAATTCATCAAAGTTATTTATGGTTCTTGATTTTTGTCCAGGAGGTGATCTAGGATAATTATTAACTAAACAAGTTAAGCTTACCGAAGAGGTGGCTAGATTTTATATATGCGAAGTGATTTTGGCCTTGGAATCATTGCACAAAAACTGTATCATCTTTAGGGATCTGAAGCCTGACAATGTGGTATTGGATAATAAAGGCCATGCAAAATTAACAGATTTTGGATTATCAAAGGAAGGAGTTTATGACAATATTACTAAAAGTTTTTGCGGTTCCATTGCTTATCTTGCACCTGAGGTTCTAATGAAGAGAGGCCATTCAAGAACAGTTGATTGGTATCTAGTAGGAGTCCTTCTTTATGAAATGATTGTTGGAATGCCACCGTATTACAATTAAGATAGAGAAATGTTATTTGAGAATATCAAAAAAGGAGTTCTCAGAATTCCAAAAACGATGAGTGAAGAAGCTAAGGATTTAATTAGATCCCTATTAGTCAGAGATCCAGCTTAAAGATTAGGAGCTAAAGCAGATGCTGAAGAATTAAAGAAGCATGCCTTTTTCAAAAGTATCAATTGGGACGACATCTACAATAAAGTGCAGGATGGTCCATTCATTGAAAGGGATAATACAAAATTATGGGTTAGAGAAACGATTGATGTAAAATCTATTATGTATATTTAGATGAAATTTGGTGATCAACCTCAATCTAATCAAAGAATATCGGATTGGTCTTTTATTTAATGAATATTGTTGTTATTATTGTTTTATTATTATTATTAATTTTGTGATATGTAATCTATTTTCAAATAATATTAATTTCACTATATGTAAATAAATAATTATTTTATATCACAGTAATTTCTTAAGATTGTTTAGTATTGAGGTTTATATTAATTAGGGGTATATCAATTAGTTAAAAATTTCATGATCTAGAGCCTACGAACAAGAGTATCTTAAGTCTTGATTTGGCTCTATTAAATTGTTCATCAAATCAATCAACAAATCATTCTTGGTGTTTTTTATGGGGTATAACGTCTGCAAAGGCAATTTTTTATAGAGCATTTCATAAATCAAAACACCTATGCTGTAACAATCTACTTTCGAAGTGTATTTTTCATGCAATTTGATTTCTGGCGCCATGTATCCTTAAGTACCACAATATTACGAGCAAGTGGTGGCTCTTATTGAAATACCCAAATCAGCTAATTTGATTACGTTTTATGAAATTAATATATTCTCCGGCTTTATATCCCTATGAATTATACCGTTTTTATGCAAATGATTAACAGCTCCTATCACCTAATGTAAAATGTCAACCATTTCTTTTCTATTAATTGGTTTTAGTCGAATCAGATTGTAGAGAGTATAATCACTCAATTCTAAGATTAAAGCAATCTATAATATATCTTATATTTTACTTATTTGTGGTCATCTATTATTCCATAGCATTTCAAAATATTAGGGTGATTCAACACCATTTGTGTTTTAATCTCATTTGATATCAACGTGCTGATACCTTTACTTTAAATTAATGACTTTTAGATTGTTTTCAAAGCCAGAGCCATGCCTGTTTACTAATCAAACACTGAATAAGCATCACTAACATTACCCCTTCCTAAATATTTTATTTTTTAGAATCTATTTAGAATTGAAAATTAGTTTTTACTGGTTTTAATCATCGATGTTGCTTTATCAATACTAGAGCATCTTTATGAAACCTAGATTTCCTTTGATTCTTCCAATATTAAACTTCCATGTAATAAGTATTTTTTCTCAGAACCATTTGTTTCCGTTATCTATCTAATTTAGATTCCATTAGAATCTTGTTGTTTTTAAGATTACTTGATTTTAAAAGCTGTTCTTGAAGTTTTCCCTTCAGTTATCAATTCCTTAATCTTTTCAATCTTCATTCTATTCATTTAAAGAAGGGTTGGATATTGAGGTTTTTCTTTAGGTTATACAATCTCATAATTCACTTTCAATAAGTTCTCATTAAATTGTAAAGGAATCATCATACATTTGATCGCTTAACTAGCTTTATCATCATAATCCTTTATCAAAAAAGACAGCTTAAATGATTTTGCTTAAAAGGTCTAATTACTTCTGGATTCTAAATTTACCTTACAATCTTAAATTAAATTTTGAGATAATCCAATTTTAACAACACTTGTATCAACTTAATCAGATTTCATAACATTAGAACTTAGATTGGATAAAGAACAATTCTTAATTGGAATTTAATCTCCCCATTTTGCTTTTTTGTCATTTATCTTTCCGTCTCCAATCAGAATGAATAATTAAAATAAAGGAATTTAATCTTTTTTGAGCATTTCGGATTTTAAATTAATTGGTTAAGTTTTTGTTTAAATACTCTCTTTTGTTGGTTGATCTTTCAATAATTTATTATTTTCATCCAGAGAATTTTATTACATATTTATAGTTTCCATTCTTAGTTTTTACAACTTAAAGGGAGGAGTAGGAAAAGTTTGAATGAAATATTATTTAATGTCATATGTAGGTTCTGTTTGGAAATTCAATTTTTATACACTTTAATTATCCTACTCTTACAATAATGGTTGTCTGAAATTTTAGATTTTTGGTTAAACAATCGCACTGACAAAACTGTAAATTTCATTTGACATCGTAGACTTTTAGAACTTATAATCTAATTCATTTTATTGTTGATCTTATAATTTCTCTTATTGAATTGGATTCTTCTTTATCTAAGTTAATGATTATGAAGCCACTATTTTCATCTATAATTCAGGTTTTAATGAAGATGGTTCCTTCAAAGGATCATGTTTAATTATTTTCTTGTTCATTTCATCCTTTTTGAATTTATTTAATTTTTACATCATATACATTTTATGTGTTATTTTGTTGCTTTCGGCTTTTTTCTAAAAAGTCTGTGATTAGATCGAGCTCTGAAAAACTACAGGTTGAAACTACAAATCCAAGCAGTTAATAGGATTTTCGATATCATTTGAGATGTTTATAATACGAAATTATGACGACCCTGTTTACACATTACTAATTTATATTTATTCTTTAGAATTTGATTCATCTTCTATTTCCAATATTGTCGTAACGTCAATATGGGAATGTTCTTAATTCATCATCATTTTTATTGATGGAGTTGGTTAAATCTACTTGCTCTCAATGTGTAAATCGCCTTTAAAAATTTAACTGCTTATTGAAATTGTGGATTCTAATGAAAAATTGTCTTGCTTCAAAGTTTTAGGTGCTTAAATTTATTCACTTGATAACTTAATAGGGGATGTGCCATAATTTGAAGATCTATTATTTTTGGAAATCCTAATTTGATTTATTGAGGGTTAACGTACAAATTAAGGCACAATCTCTTTCTTACAGCTTTTTTTCCATTAATCTTTCAATTAATTTATAGTAAGGCTGATAGTTGTGTTATTTTTTGACATATAAATTATCAATTAATTTTATTTTAATGAAATTGTGGACTTATTATATTGAGTATTTCATTTATGTCATAGGTTTAGACTACAAGTTTTGTTTATATTTATACTTTAAGACGATTTAAATATCGTATAATATAATGAAATTTAGATAAAACCCCTATTATTATTTTTATATCGATTATTTGTCTTCTAGAGTTATTATTTCAAAAATAATCAAATAAATTATATAAAAACTCAAGTTGAAATACTTTAAAATATAAAAGTTGATAATAAAAATGATTTATATATAGATGAATAATAAATTAATATGATATTAATAGATCTATATTTGTCTTGAAGATGATTGTGCTAACTGTAATATTAAGAAATGATTTTTAAGTATGCCAACTAATTTTATAATGACATATATTTTTTGATTATATCTAAATAGAATTTTGAAGCAAACGCTTCTTAAATTATAATTAGAAAGGAGTTTAGAACCTAAATTAGATTAAGTATAGCTGTAAAATAAGTAATTACCTTAGCATTCTCATTTTTTGGTTCTACATGCGAAAGTGTAATATTTATAATAACAATAATAACACAGAGTTTACTTAGAGGAGGACAATCAGTTCTTTTGATTGTTTGTATATTGATATTAAACTTGATAAATAGGATTATTCATATTTTAAACCGACTATTAATCAATAAAGTCAATTTTAAAACTATTAATATATATATTAAATAAAATGGATGAATCAAAGCTAGAAGATATCTAATAAATGAGTATTGGATCATTGGCAGGAGTGTTGAGTGATTTAAACTAGAATGATGTTCCTGTCTTAAAAGATCTACCCCTCAAAGAATTAGAGACTTTGATTGTGGAGTTCAGAAATACGAAGATGAGATTATACTAAGTATTTTCAATTTCATAAAAAATTAGATTTAGAAATATAAGTTCAATTTTAACTAGCCTACCTTATCAGTCTTAGTTGATATCGTAAACAAGAAATTGAGATTGGCTTTGGAAGTCATAGAAAAATAAAATAATATTAATCAATAATTCTTATTGGATTATCATAAGTATGAAAAAAATATGATAAATTTGATTCAAGATGCTCCAAAATAAAACAATGATGTGATCGAAGAATTGGAAGACAAAGTAGTTGATTGGTACAAATCAGTTACAATAAAGTTCAATGAAATAACTAGTCTTAAGATTTTTAACACAAATGAATTAAATGTTATTTATAATGAGGACTTTTACACTAAATTTTAAAATTAACAAAACTTGACATTCCTATAGAAGGGACTATTTAAGAATTGTGCTCAAGCTGCCATTGAAGAGTACAAAAATATGTTAAACAAATTCAGCATTCAACATTCAGAAGAACTCTAAGGAATTATGGATAATCTGCAAATTTTGGATTAATTCTATAAAGCCTAGTAGCTGATTGAAGATATGATTGACTTCCTCTCTTCCAAGCTGATGTTTGACATAACTTAAGTTATAAAAAACAGTCTAATTAATATTGACAAGATTACAAATTATTTGAATAAGATGAATTATAGGTTTTTAGTAAGACAATAAAATACTGAGTTCAGGTAATATGAATCTAAAGAGCAATAGACATTATTTTTAAATATGTTCCAATAAATTAAATACTTTAAGTATCCAAAAACAATTCAGGAGCATTAAGTCTTAGATGAATAATTTAATGATCTTAATAAATAACTACATGTCATAATCCAAAAGAATATAGAAATGAGTGATTATCCAAAAGCAATATAAAGAAACCTCAAAAAGCTATACGAATACTTTTTCAAAGGGAACAGAAAGTTCATAAAACTCAAGATCAGATATATTAAAATAGCTTAATAATTTGAAGACACTTTGGACAAGTAGGAGTTACTAAACTAGAATGTTTTGGCTGAATTACAGACTTTATAAGCAAAGTCAAATACTTTACATTGCTTTATGACTGGTCTATTTGAGATGGGTGAATTCTGTTTAAGTTGCTATGATTTGGCTGAGGAAGTCCACAATTTTCTATTTCAAGTCTAATTGTTAATACACCATTATAGTGAGACATTGAGAGTAATCGGAGCATCTAAACAAACAAATCTTGGATAAAGGCCAAGAATAAGAAAAATCTTTGAGCCATACCCAGAAGAAGAAAAGGCAGTCCTAGGGAAAAAATATTAATTACTCCAAGTAAAACAAACAGGAAGCTCAAAATAAATAAATTGATCTATAAATATATATATATTTTTGTTCATATCACCAATATCCGCCATGTTCTTTGGTTAAATGTGAATAACATTCTGAAGATGTTTCAAATAATGCCATACATGGTGTACCATCTGCTTTATTTTTCCAGCAAATACTTTTTTTGCATCCTGTACAAGTAACTCTATAACAGCCATCAATTCTTTGAATCAATATTTTACAATGAGGACATCTTCTTACATCATTCTTCTTCATATATATCTTAATGGAATCTTCATTACCAGCTTTGAATTCTCTACAAGTTTATCCATAATGATAGGCAACCTAAAGGATAAATGATATAATAATACTCTGCATGAATTACAATATTGTTTCTAACACTTTTTACAGGTATATCTTGGAATCTTTTGGAAATGAATTATTGGACAATTTGGAGTCAAACAAAAGGCAATCTATGCTGCATGATCTTATAAATCTAATAATATAATATTAAATTAATTACATTTGTTGATTGATAGCTTTATTAACTTTTCCCAACTAGGCTCATCAATTAAATATGTAAATCAGCCAACAGTATACCTTGATTGCATTACGGACATTTAATTGGTAATTAAGTCATGTCACCCAATGAATTTTGAATGCTGAACATTATGCACTAAAGACAAAACTTGTGTCCACATCCTTGGAGCATATATCCATTTTTCATATTATCAAAGCAATAGTTACAAGTTAATGCATTGATAGGTTTATCTTATTGTTATTGAGAAGATATAATTTCACTGATTGAAATGATTGCTGCATCAAGATGCTTCTAATCACCAAATAGTTGTAATTCACCTGAGATACTATTGAATTTAACACTCTTTAAGTCGAAGTTCTTCTTGATTTCGTTTAGTCCTTAAGAATCATTTCCCATTATTAATCTTATACAATTCTTTGGAATCTAAATTATACTTTTAGAACAATCTGAAACAAATTCTTTGATTGCCTTGGTTAATTGATTGTATTTGATTTATGAACCATTTACTAATAATTGATTGTTTATAAAATCCTATCTAATTAGAATTTATAATGATTCTTCTTAGACTTTAAGGAACCTTGTACCAGATTAACTAAATATAACTGTGATATCAAAGTCTTATGAAGACTTAATGATTTTTGGAGTGAATGCATCCTATATTTCTTTGTTCAATTATTCATGATCCTATTTGTTCCAACATTCAATAGTAACTTTCACTCTTTTGAATTCATCATCACATGTAATAGTATATTAACCAAGTTCCAGTTTCTTTTCATCGAAAATTTCGTCAACTATTTGTTTCATTTCGATTGGTCCTTCATAATCATGATAGTAAAAAGGTTTTACATTTAATTAGATTTTCAATCCTCTAAATTATTTAATTTGATTATTTAGGTTAATAAATTAATCCATAATATTTTTGTCATAAACTATAAGAGACAAAATTCTTTTACAATTTTATTTTGTAATCGAGTCAATTTTATATTTATCTTGAGGAATACTAGATAATAATTTTTGTATTTCTAATTAGAGATCTCCATTATTTTCATATCTTAATTGCTTATCTATTGAGACTGATTTGATATCAATATTATTATGTTGTTATTTTAAATCTGCCAATACTGTTTACTCATCCTCGTAAACGCTCTTAAGATTCATTTTATATGTCAGATGTTAGATTGTTTCAAAGTCTTCAGTATTAAATAGATGTGGAGAATTCAATTTAACAATAGCAATACCTTTGTTTAAATGTAAATTCCATGTTATTATTATTTTGTAATGCTCATTGAATAGTAGTTTTTCTTCATTATGTTCAAATTGATCTTGTTGAGTATAAACCTTCAATTAATTATCTTTGTATTCTTTGACATTCTCCAAACAAAAAAGTAAATCATCATGATCCTACAATGATATTCTGGCTGTTATTTTATCACCCTCTTTATACAACTTCATTTCTGAAATTACTACGTCTTATAAGAATTCTTATAACAATTCTTGAGTAATATCTAACGGTAAGCCTTCTATAAAGAAAGTCTTGTATGCACTTTTTTCAATCCAATCCTTCATGCTCCCACCACTATTAAGATTATTACATATTTATACGCTTGCATTATAAATTTAGAATCATTCTCATAAGGTATTTCTTTAACTTAATTTCTGTAAAAGTTCTACAAATCTTTAATTTTAGTATTCAACTCCTATTCTATAATCTCCTTTTTGGCTACATTGGGATCATACAAGACTGTAATACAATTCATTTCAATATTAGGTTGTAAGATGCAATCCTAAGATAATTAAGGACCTGATTGATGTTTCCATAATTCATTAAACAGAACTTGACCAATACCATTAAAGGTTATTTCATTCAAATGCAAGGATTATCGCTATATGAACTATAGTTTATGTTCTTTGACAAATGCTTTTGGTGCCAATTAAGGTATCATAATATCATCTATCTTGGTGGAGTATTTAATTTCATATTATTGATTCTTTTACAGCAAAGCCATAATTATACAAGTTAAAGGAAAATCTCCAATGATAGCCATTAAATTGTTATAGCATAATTTAAATTTCTAATTGGCCACATAATTATAGTAACCAGCACTCTTATGTCCACTAAAGATACTTAAGCCTTTATAAAATAGCCTTAGTAAACAGGCTTATATATCTTCGGAATGTTCTGGCATTGATTATTGTTTCTTCAAAGAGACCGTTCTATTCAATTTTAATTAATCAAGAGAACAACATTTATTAATGACTGAATATTCAGACACCTAAATAATGAGATATTAATACATATTTTTAAGTTAAATCTATGATATATTCATTATAAGCTAGAATCAATATCATTTTCGGTATATTGATGTTTTGTAATCTACACCATTTTATTAATTCATTTTTTGAATTTTCTTATTCTTTTTCATCATCTTTGGAATTGATATCTTCAATAAAAATGATAAATTTATTTATTAATTAAATCCATGAAGTAATATCTCCAATCTTTGACCAATAATGATTTGATCTAATTATTGATTCCCTTTGTTGATGAATTTGGAAACTCTTAAAGGGATTCCTTTTACTTTCCACATTGCCTTCTGATAGTATTTCTCAATCTGTCAATAGAGTGGAAACAACACTGCTGTAATAATGAAAGGTCTCATTTTCTGCCTCCAATAATGGTTCATAGTAAATCAATGGAATATAGTTTTACAAAGAACTATATTCTGATACAACTACATTCTACAATTGATCAATTTGGACATCGAATTGTTAGGCATAGAATTTGATATTCTGGGGATTGAAAGTGAATTCTTCGTCAAAAATCAATTTATGTTCCTGCAAATCTTTGAACTCATCGAATCCAAACAAATAAATGATTTTAGGAAAATAACTTATCCTGTTACGAATAATGATATCATGTTTACTGAGATTGTATTATTTATAAACTATGGCATTGATTTCTTCCAAGAATGTCTTGACTGTAGTCTAATAACCCATATGTATGATTAATGATATTTTTTGTTGAACATTTTATAGATATTTTCTTAATTATGAATAATGTAATGTCAAAAATACCTTTCTTTTTCCCTTTTGTTATGGATACACCATTTCCATCAATTGCTAACCAAATTGTTAGTAAAAAGATTAGAATGGTATGATTTGATGAACTTCAAATTCCTCTGATTCGGATAATTTATTATGAAAATAGATTGCTTGATATATTTAATCCATTTAGTATAAGGATTCACAATAAACCACAATGTCCCTATCAACCTCTGGATTTGAGTTTTTTATCTATTACAAAACATACGTCAGTTTTTAATCGTAAGATATGCTTAAGAACAATTCATCTTATTAAGTTTACAAGTAAGGAATTTCAATAAGGTTATCATAAGCAATGCTAAAACAATTAACTAATTGCTCATATATTATGTCATTCGATATAATGATCAATTAAGATTTTGTCGTTAACAACTACTCTAAATTTCAATATGTACCCATTAATGCCAATATACTAATAGGAGCTCAATTTAGTCTCTGCTCGAAGATCTGCCACAGTAACTTCGAAATTTTGGTTCACCAAGTTACACCAATTGTAATTAGCCTCACTTGTGTCTGAGATCACTGTGATATTATGGTTTTTAGACAATAATTCTTTTATAATTTTTAGTGTGTCGATTTCCTATATGATATCAACAATAAGAGTAGTTTTTGGTAAAGGTAAGAGTGTATCAAATACTGACACCCATTATTATCTTAGGAAAGAGTGAGATCTATCTTTTAGATATATTTCTCTGATGAGATGTTATTGATTTTACATTTAAATATTTATGAGATATATTAATATGTTTTCAAGATATTTAATAATCATATTCAATCAATTTCCTTTTCTTGATAATCTTCTTTTGAAGGCTGTCCCGTAAAGTATATTCCCAAAGCATGTCGCCACTATTTCCAATAGAACTGGTAACAAGCTAAGAATTTATTTTGAATTTTTTACATAAATGCCGCCCAATAGTACCATAATTCGTAATAAGGCCATGCTCCTATAATAAATTCGCTGTAAATTATGATGCCAACCGCATGCAAACATATAACTAGTTGAAGTGAGATAAGTCTTACTCAAAAAGTTGCTGGTATCATAAAACATTGTAATTCCAGTTATAATGAATATCATCTCAATGCCAAGGCCAATCAATCCCAGTAGAATACACGAAATGATGGAGTTATACGCTGAGGTGTACGCATCGGAATTGGTGTCATATGTCTTGGTTTGAAAATTAGCCAAGATATTTTCTTTCTAATAGATGAGGAGTTAGATACAGCTCCATAATAAGCCATCAAGGAGGTAATGAAATGGCAGGAAACTAGAATGAATTTGCTAGGTATCAATAACCCATTGATAGTCATTAAATTAATTTATAACCAAATATTCAAATCAACTCATGAGCTGTTTCATCTTATATTTATACATCATCATCTCTTTCTATCAAATCTTCATCAAACTTCTAATCCTATTATTCATTCTATTCTAAATCAATTGGCTAATATTGTTATTGTTATTATTGTTATTATTATTTTGGTTGTCTTTGTTAAATCTATTGGATCAACATCTAATGATTAAGCATGATATAGTACCTCTTATTTGGACTATGGGATTTCGCGCATTTCTGTTCTAGCAAAATACTCCTTCACTTTCTCTTGATTATTGTAAAGCCAATATAATCCAAATAATATTCCCCCGATGACCAACCAATCATATACCCAACTCTTATTATTGGGACAAGTGAATCTCATTGAAATATGCTCAACTCCACCTTCACAAATATCTCCTGCAATCTTTCTATATCCACTAGACACTGTATAATATCCATCACATTCAGCAGGTGGATCAATATTCAAAGTACCATTTATTGGAGTACATTATTGATTATTCATAACAAAACCTAAATCGCATTCATAATCCTCTTAAGAGCATTAGCATGGAGTAACACTCATAATTCTTTCTAATTATTCTGGATTGTAACAAGCAGCTTCTCTTCTTTTTCTCATATAAGTAACCTTTTTACCAAAGAGACACTCTGGATTGACAAGACCAGAAGGTGTCCACAATTCATAATCACTTCCAATTTCACCTGCCTTGTCTTATCCAATACAATTTCTTTGATGCAATTCATCTAGATCAATAGTTGCCAATAAACCCTACTCAGTTCTGATGCCATTGGATTCTAATTAAATAGCACCATAAGCAATAAATCTAGTTCCTTTATTTTATGGTTCAGTGATGATATTTTAAATTTCTGCCTTCTAATCCAATATATTGAATGGAGTCCATTCCATACCGCCATTCCAAGAATATACTATCTGATTAGTGGTTTCTTGGTCTCTAGCCATAACAATCAATCCTCCATGATTACTAATTTCATAGATATATGATCCTTTTTTGATCTCAATCCAAGTCAACCCTCCGTCTCTACTCAGATAAGTATTAACTTAATCCTATCTATAACTCAAGTATTTTCCGATAGAACCAGTAGCAACAATAATTCCTATGGAATTATTTTGGGTGTAAATAGGTGCGAATTAATAAAATGCTTAACTAAGATGCAAATGTAATTAGCACTTATTGCAATTGATTGGTTTTCCATCAGCATCGACTGTTGGAGGCTATTAAAAATAGAAAATCAACATAATACCTTCAAAGGGACCCATTACCCTCCTTTATCGAAAGTAATCCTGGTTTGTTTGTATTTCTTTAGATCCTCATCTTTGAATCCATTTTATTAAGCGTAAAAACCTTCTTCCATAGATTCAAACACTTAATTGGTGTAAATCTTAGCTTGATCTTCAGCATAGACATTAGCTAAATAAATTCCTTCCAATCCTTAAACTCTGTAGAACTCAGCACTGTTTTCCAACCTTGACACATTCTCCAATGATCTAGAGTATCTAGTACCAGTAGAATCACTAATATAAATAACTCCCAAGGGAGATGATGGTTTGAGATGATTGACAACCATAAACACTTGGTTTTCTGAGGTATCCAATATGCTATAAGAATGTTCTAATAGTTTCGAATCTGCATCAATAACACTATATTTGTATTATCCTAATTCAGTGCCACTGACATATAGACTGACTTCTTATGTTACTTAGGATGTGACTTTAGCAACAAATAAGAAAGACTCAGTGAGCATGAATCTAGATCCTGCTGGAACACTCAGAGTACGAGTTTAGAAGAAGTCATCACTATAGTATAGATTATAATCCATATTCCAACTGCTTATAGATTGATGTCCTTTGCCTTATGGTTCGAATGATGCTAGAATTCGCTCCTTAGGAGTATATTTAGCCATTTCTTTGTTTTTAATACCCCAAGTAAATTGATTTACATAAGTCGCTATTGAATGCCATGTAATTCCTGTGTCTTAACTCAAGAGAAGTTCCTTATAAGAAACACAAGGTGTTCCTGCCAACAACTCATCTGATCCACATTATTTCCAAGCCGAAGCAATAATCCAATCTTTTTCAAGTGGATGGAATTGATATTCTCGCAACTATTTACCAGCATTGACAGCTGTTATTGTTTTACCACAATCAAGAGAAATCCAAGCTATTTGGTCTGTTCCTGTAAATAATATTAATTATTTATCAACAGGACTGGGAACCAAATTATTTACAATTCCAATTCTCTCATCTGAATCTTCAAGTTATATGAGTGCCTTGCGATGAAATATCTCTGACATTTTAATCCATTGTCTACCACGATCATCGCTTCTATATACAGATCCTTTGGATGTGAGTGCTAACACTGTATCACTACACCAATGTATGTTGATCAAGGGGGCATCTATGTATGAGATCTAAACGTCAATATTCGCAGCAAAACAATTCATGATCAACAAGAGAATGATGTGTCTCATTAACACGTTTTATTATTATTTTAATTAATTTGGATTTATTTATTCGCCTCATACTCACAATTATGCCTAGCATTACCCTGCACGTTTGCAATGGCAAGATGATCCTTTACTTAAGACAGTCTTCTTAATATCATCTAAACTGACTTTCTTTTCCTTCAATTCCTCAGCACTTGGCATAACATTCAATCTTAATGCTTCTGATATAATCATTTAAGCCTAAAATTCAATAAAATATATAATACATTTGGAGTGTTCATACTAGCAGATGCTACAACACGTCCTTTTCTGGCATAATAAGCAACGAACTTCTATTGACTTAAATCTCCATCCACAATGACTTCATCAAATCCTTAGCCAACTCCACTATAAGCCAAAGTTCTATCCCATTGTCTTGTCCAAAAGAATGGTACATCTGTCAAAGGTGTTGGTCTACCTAAAATATTCAAAGCAGCAACATATCTAACATTAAACAATTATGTTACCCTTATCTTACAGCTTCATTTTGATGTTCAATTCTAACATGTTCTCCAGTCACCCAATATGGATAACTTGAGATATCTCCTGATGCATAAACATTCTTGGCAGCTTTCAAGAACACATCTGTTTCAATACCACCATTTGGAGATATTTTTAATTAATCTTTAACCAACTTGTTATTTGGCTGAATTCCAGTTCCCAAAATGACTAAGTCAGCCTATAAAGATTTTCCATTAAGTAGATCAACCCTTTATACTTAACCTACTCCTCCAATTCTTTTGACTCCAGCATTCAATTCAAACTCAACTCCATTAGCTTCGTGTAACTTCTATAATGATCCTCCAACCTCTTTACCGAGAACTCTTTCAAATGGTACTGTAGTGCTATCAACAACTGTAATATTGACTTGATCTTTCAATTCCTTTTTAATAGCTGAAGCTGTCTCCATACCAATAAATGAAGCACCAACAACTACTATGTTTTTTGCTGTTTTAGCCTTGTCTCTTATTGATTATAAATCATTGAATTGTCTCAATGTATGTACATTTCCTAAATTGACTCCATCCAATTGAGGTCTACGAGCAGTACCACCTGTGGCTAACAATAATTTATCATAATGGATTTTCTCCTTTCCTACTACAACATCTTAATTGTTAATATCTATCGATTCAACTGTAGTATTGGTCAACACATCTATTCCATACTATTCATAAAATTATTTGGGTCTTATCTACAAACCCTATTATTTAACCAAAAATGTCATCTTGCTCATAGGTGTTCTATCGTAAGGCAATGAATCTTCAGCTGTGATAATAGTAATCTTTCCTCTGAATCCAGCCTAACGAAGTGTCTCAGCTGCACTCTAACCAGATACTCTGATATATTTAGTCAATAATGATACCCTCCTCCAACAATCACAACGTGTGTAGGATCATCTCCTTTTGTTACCATATTCAATGTTCTTGGAGCATTTAATAATTATTTCTCTACTCTTATAACTATTTATCCATTTTCTTATTTGACAGGGAATGTTTATAATCCTCTAAACATAGGTCCTTCGTCATGGACACCATCTTTAACTGAAAAACTGGCATTATGAAATGGACATTTGACCTTATCACCAACTAAGAATCCAGCAGAAAGTGGAGCTCCTACATGTGGACATGAATTAGAAACACAATAGATCTGTCCATCCACTTTGCATACTAAAACAGCATCTTCCTTTTTTGGACCCACTTAGACTTCTCTCATTTCACCTTCATTGAGATTGTCATCAATTGAAACCTCATAGGCATCATTAAGATTAAGAGTCTAATGTATTTGGATCTTTTACTTAAAAGCCATATCTTATTAATGGAAGAGAGATTAAAGTGACTGCTAAACGTTATGTACGTTATGGAACTACTAATGGAGTGCGTCTAAGAGTTATTGCAATTGCAGAGGATAATATCTTTCTCATAAATTTAATTAAAATTGTGTAAACTTAGTATATAATATTAAAATGACTCAGGATTATGCTAAACTATACAACTAGATATTGCAATCGTTCTTATTTCCACTACTCAATATATCAATCTTATCAGTGATACTGTCTCTAATGGCCAATACACCTCCAAATGGATGACAATCGTGTAAAGATTTCAGTTGAGTTGTGATCATTGGCTATGGACTAATAGTTTATTTAAATTTTGATACTTATCATTTAACAAAGTTTTGCCATTGAATATTTTGAAAGTACCATCAAAACTAACTGTACCTATGAAACAGGTTTTTATGCATTCATATTCATTTTGTGGCTACTTCTTTCTTCTTGGTGATCCACATAAGGGAATTGATGTCTACAGTTAAGTCTTCTATTATGGGTTCTGTTCCTCTTCTAATTAGAAGTTGATTATTCTGAAACACCATCCAGCGTAGTTCTTAACTTATTTAATCATAGTTCCATCCATAAAGTCCCAAACCTTTAGTTCGCCTGAAGCACTGCTACTATAAAGTATGCTTCCTCCACCATAAGCTAAACTAGTCACTTCAGTTGGATGAGCATCTGACAAACTCATTGACAATTATAATTTTTCAAACACGTTATTTGTGTATGTCTATTTGTATACCTTTATGTTTCTATCCTTTCCACCAGATGCTATATATTGATCTCCAAGTAATGTCATACATGTAATAGAATCTCTATGCTCAAAATACTTTTTTTATTGATCATTCTAAGTGTTCCATTATAGTAATCTATTATCACCTTGTGCACAACTAAATATTGTAGTGGCATCCTCTAAACAAACTATACAATTTATTTAACCATTATGGATTCTATCAATTGACTTAAGTACTTCAAAGCCTTGATTCAAAATACAAATATCCTTAAATAAACCAACAATCAAAAAGGAGGAACCATCCTTTCTTACTTAAACAGCCAATGATGTCACATCACTCTTAAATTATATTTCCTTAAATAATTCATAAACTCGATATCTATATATTTTGACCGTTCTATCATTTGAACCTGTAGCAATAAAATCGTCATCAAATTGTACCATACAATTAATACCCTATTTATGAGTTGTTTTGATTGTCTTCACAAATGAGATTGATACTATTGGATCTGATATAATTAATTGAGTTGTTTATCTCAATCTATGTTTTAGTTGCATTTCTCTTACTTCATCTTCATCTTCTTCTAATTTAGTTAACTACTTTAATGTTTTAGTGCTCTATTCCTTAATGATAGTTTCCAAGTATTTAGTACCTTTTGGAGAGGCCAGTTATTACTTTAAACTTATGTTTTCTTTGTTCATTTTAATCATCTAACTTTTGTAGCCTGGAGACATGAAATCTACTTAAGTTAAAGAGTGATAGCATTTGTCTATTAACTCTTGCATTCCATTATATGTCTATTAGGCTAATCCTTAATTTTTATAACAAGGTCTACTGTTTAACAAACCTTTATAATCATTCACCAAATCATTTAATACTTAATTATCACTTTACTTCAATGCCATGTTGCTGAATAATGAGTATCCTGACTTTTGAGATTCTCCCTCTTCAACATTCAAATTTTGTTATTGTAGCGCTCTCTAAAATTAACCATTTGCCTTGCTGACCAGAGGTATTATATTCTGCATTAATTTTCTAAGATTAAATTGATTTTAATCAGTTTTCTTATTAGAAGTTTGCTGATCTTATAACTTGCTAACTTCACTTAAGAAATTATCATAATCATTATTGTAATCCTTATTCTTCTCTAAATAATAATCAGACACTAGTTTTTCCAAAATAGTTCCCATATCCGTAAGATCTTGCAAATAGTTTTTATATGGAGCCATAAATTCAGCTTTTACTCTATTAATCATTTCTGTAAATTTAGTTATTAATCCATCAAAATCATTGTTAATCAATTATTCCTAATTTTTGATATAGGTCTTAAAGCTTGCTTGGTGAGCCTGGGTGGAAAGCACTATTTAGTTCAATTCTTTTTATGGCTCGTCTCCCAACCTGCCTGATACACTTTACCTTCTACAGAGAATCATCAAGTCATTCCATCCAATTATGTGTTCTTTGTGCTTAGCCAAATGTTGTTGATGCTAAGTTTCAAAGAGACATTCAGAACAAAATGAAATTGACAATGTACAAGTTGTACACAAACAAACATGGGAGATGTTAAAAGAAGGATGTGAAGGGCAAGGAAGTGTTCCTTGGCTAGCTTAATTAATTTGAGTTTTAGTTCTTAAAGTAGCAAAACTTGTTCTTGTTTTATTCATGTTTTCCGTTAATAAATAAATAATTAACTTTTATGATTAAATTCTGAATGGTTTTATTAAAAACTCATGATTATTATAGAAGCACTAGGGACGTAACAAAAGATCAATCGAAAATAATTCTCAATTTGCCTTGGTGCATTTTGATCAAAAATACAACACAAATATTAATTAGAGACTGATTTTATGTGATAAACTTTGTATTATTAATAATAATTATGGGTTATTTTGATTTAATTAATCAACCTCTTAATGAATTTGGAGAGGAATTAACAAGTAATTTTATTGATCCAGCTAAGGACTTAAGACAGACATTGTGACCAACTTACAGCCTGAGTCGAGATTTAATCTTTTGGTTGGACTATCAGTTGCTAATTTGGCTATTGGGGTAGCAGTCAAAGGAATCAAGTCAAGGCCCATTTAAACTGGCTTCATCAGTTTCTTTGGATTTGGTTTAATTATTTATCCAGAGCTATACTTTGGATTGATCAGATAAAAAAAGGTGTAGCAATAAATAACACATCATTTTATTAAGAGAGATTGAATTATTATAAAATACAAAAATATTATCTTCAAGTTTTTCTTCTTTTGAATTTTTCTTGGTATTTCATTTATTTTACTTTATTTAACAAGTCAACCTTGGAAGTTACCCTTCTTCGGCTTGATGACTTTCTAATTTTACTTGGTATCATTAATTTCACTTAATCAGCCGCTATCAATTCTACAGACAAATCCGAAAAAGTGTTATTATGATCCTTTTTGAGTGGGCTTAAGCTATTTTCATTCAAGCTACTATTAACTCTTCTTGTAGTGTCATTTTTATCACTCTTATTTAAGTAAATCCAATCTTGTGTTTTAATTTAACCCACAGTTCGTTGAGGACGAGAAGATTATTTATCAGAACACGAGGAAATTGAACTTACAGAATCCAGAACTTGTTTTGGATGCTCAAAAATTGCTCTTTGAATTGAATTGTATTCATTTCCTGCATTTTAATTATTTTAGTTTTGTTGAGATGCGCTCCAAAAACATGAACAAGCACTACCCATATAATTAATTTAATATCATAAATTGATCTGATTTATTGAGAATTTATTTTAAGAATAATGAAAATAATGTAAGTTGAATAAGATAATTGCGAAATAAGCTTAATATTTTCCTAATTTTAAACATCTTCGATTTTGAACATTACTACTCAAATTTAGTTTATAAGAATTAGTTACTATAAATAAAGAGAAAGATTTATTTAATGTGTAAAATCTCAAACTTATAGACAATATAAATTTCAATAATTATGTTTATTCTACTAATTTCGTTTGTTGTATCTCAAATCTATTAAATCCATACTAAAATCTAAAAGGAAATAAAATTGTGCTTCTCTAAGGTATTTTAAACAGTGTTTAATTCTAAAACGAATCAGATTAAGTTTTTAAATATTGAAAGTAATAATTTTAATTAAAAAAAAAGAAATTTATTTACATTTCCCACTAAAAAATTTAATAAAATAAAATCAACCTATAAGATTGTGAGCTAGCTTAAATTATTACTATTCGTATTAGTGTTGCTCTTATAGTTTTTGAATTCTTTATTAAGCTTTCTATCTTTCTAAACTCTATATCTTTTCCAATTTAGCTCTATTTTCAGATTTACAATTTCTCAATTTATCATCTCTTCTATTTTCATTTGCTTATTCCTCCATGAAAACTCTCATAATCTCCTGGTTTTATCTCTAAATAATTTAATTTAGTTCGAATAACACTTCTGGATTTGGTGGTTCAGTTGGTTTTTATTTGACTACATCCTGTTTTCTCGCTCTTTTTGGAGATTTTTTTTGGGCTTGGTTATATTAATAAATAAATACATTAAGGCTGCTGCTATAATAATTATTATGCCGATTCAACAGATTTAGTATTTACAGGATTGTTCAAGGTTTCTAATAATTATGGAGACGATGAATTAATTTCAGGAAGTTTATCTTAGGCTTTGGATGATCTAATAGTACTGAATGGTTTAGTCAAAGTCATTAATTTTTTATTATTTTTATTAATTGATTAAGATTGGGATTTTCGAGCAAAGTTCTATTCCTCTTGAGTTTATGACTTTAAATCAGTGGTTGTAATACCAAACTATTTTTAGATTTCAGATGGAGGGATCTTTCCTTCTCTAATTTTCTCCAATTTCAATAAAAGATCTCGTTTTTATTTATCTATTTCCCTTCTCATATTTTATCTTTGTAATAATAATTACTCTAAATCTTCTTATATTTTATCAGCTCTTTCCATTTTCTCATTTAATTTTTCTTATAATTTCATTCTATCATATTCTTATTTTTTCATAATTCTTTCAACGTTATCTCTTTTGTCAATTCTCTTTAATGTATCTTGATTTCTTTTATCAGTTATTTAAATAGATCTTTCCAATTAAATTTTTTATAAATTCTCATCCTTATCTTAAAACTTTTTCAAGAATTCTTCAATTCTCTCTTTTTATCTTTACTCATTTTATAATAATACTTGATGTCTTTGTTATTCTTTTTCATGATCTTCTTGTCTCCTCTTTTCCTTCTCTCTTTCTTATTCTTTTTCTAATTATTTTCTTCTTTCTTCAGCCTCATCTATTTTTTTTAAGTACTCTTTTTTTTTCTCTAATTCCATTTACTCATTTTATTCAATGACTTTCCTTATCATTTCTGCATGTTATTCTGCTTCTATTTTTTATTATTCCAATTTTTTTCTCTTCTCCTCCTCGAATTATAATCGTTTTTATTCACTTATTTATAATTTTTTTTCAACATCTTCTTTAACTCTTAGAACTTCTTGGTCATTTCTTTCTTTAGCTTATCTAATTCTTTCTTCATTTTCACTTCTTGCTTTTTCAGCCTCTTGCTTTTTCTTTTCTTTTTGTTCTTCCATCATTTTCTTTCTTTACTCAGCCTTCTCATCCATTTCTTTTTTTCTTTTTTCTAATGCTTCCAATTATAATCTAATGTTTTCTTCATTTAATTTTCTTAGTTTTTCTTACTATGCCTTCTTTTCATCCTCTTTTTTTTTGTTTTCTTCTTCTCTTAATCTCTGTTTTAATTCCTCTTATTTTATGCGTTCTTGCTCCTTAGATTCAAGTAATTTCATTCTTTCCTTCAATGCCTATTCTTCTTGTTCTTTTTTTTATTACTTCTGCAACTCCTTTTGTTTCTTGACTTCCTCCTATTAGGCCCTTTTCCTTTCCAATTCCAATTCTCTCTGTTTCTACTTCGTCCTTTCATCTTGCATCTTCTTTTCATTTTATTCCTTAATCTCTTATAATTTCAATTCAAACTCCAGCATATTTTCAATCTCTTTTTGCTATTTCTTCTTGATCTTCTCAATCTATTGCTTCTCCTTCTCAATTAAAGAGGAAGCATCTTATTAGGAATATTTGGAAATCATTTTACTCTTGCCCAACCCATCTGGACTCCACAAACCTAAACATAATTGTTACACTATTTTACCAGTCTTTTCATCTTCCAAAACTATATGTCTTTATTTAATAAGATCTCTGTATTTTTCCTCCCTCTTCTCTTCAAAATGTTTATAATACGTCTCTATTCCTTTAGCATCCAAATTCGATAGTCTATATTTTTTTTAATACTCCTCGAATGAAACCTTAATAATCTCACTCGGACTAATTCCTTCTCTTCTGCAAGCCTCCAGAGATCTAGGCGTATTAACCTCAGGAGCGTTGGGTTGATGAAAACCGAAATCCTATAGGGACACTTTCATTAAAATAATTATTAAAATATAAGTCATATACCAGTCTCATCTTCTCTCTTTGTTAAAACCTCATACCCATTTTCAGTTATTAAAACCATGTGTTCCCATTGAGCTAAATAGATAAGTTTGCAATACCACTAGGATTATCTGGAGAAACAACAGTAAAGTTATCCTTCCACATCAAATATTAATCATGGCGCATCAAGAGAATAGGTTCAATCGTAAATACATTTCCTGGAACCATCACTCCTGGATAATCATTAACTTTTTATATTTGATATTAAATTTACAATTATGGATTATTGTAGGAGGCATATGCATCAATTCACCTATGCCATGTCCTGTAAATAATTCGCAAACTGTAAATCCTTCGTCTCCAGCTACTTCTTCAACGATATCTCCAATTTTACTGAATTTCTACCCTGGCTTACAAATTTTAATCGCTTCATAAAGAGCCTATTCTATTGTGCAATTAATTTATAACTTTTTAAGTCGTATCTATTAATTTAGTGATTTCTGGATTCATTTCAGGAACCTATGCCATAACACTAGTATCTCCATGCACTCCATCATAAAAGATAGTCACATCAATGTTTAAGGAATCCCCACCATCTAAAGGTCTAAGATTAGGTATTCCGTGACAACACACTTCATTCACTGATGTACAAACACTCTTAGGAAAACCCATGAATCCTATTGGTGAAGGATATGCATTTTGTGAAATTATGAATTCATGAACTATCTTATCCAAATCATCCGTTGTCATTCCCTATTTCACTGATTTTTAAGCCACATAAGCAGTTTTTGCTGCGATTTACGCTGCCTTTCTTAATTCTTATTTTAAATGATGTTTTTACTTTGGATCATATCTTAACTATGAACTACAGGTGCTCCTTCATATATCCCATAGACAGGCTTTGTTTCACCTATTATGCTTAATTGTTCTTGTACTTATATAGTTTGGTCTTTGAATATGCGAAGGTACTGCTCTTGCTGGAACTACGCCATATTGACCCTAATTAAAATTCATAATTCATACCTCAATGATTGGTTTACTAAAATATTTTATATGGCTTCTTTTTCTTTATTTCATTCTTCCTATCTGACTAAATTGATATTGCTTGCTAAATCTCAACAACATGAATTAAATATATATAATTTTTAATTGAAATTCCATCATTTTGACAATTTATGCTTAATCTTTTTTCTAATTACAAACTCTTGGGTAGTCTTCCTAATATTAAATATTAGGTTATCATATTATATACAGATTGAGAAATAGTAACTCAATTTTATGATATACACCCAAAGAAGGTATAAAGATTTGAGAAAACAGAATAGTAAACAGATTGTATTAACTTCAAAAGCAGAAATAATTCTATTAACAAATTTAAAGGGATAATCGAATAAATCATAAAAAAAGAAGATCATTTTAACATTTCTTAAATTTTAATCCAAAAATTTAGATTGTTGTTTAAATGTTTAATATTTATATATATTATATAATAATTGAGTTATAATTGACAAATTCATAGCCATCTACGATTATATCTAATAGGACATTTAGATCAAATCAGAACGACATGTTTTCATTGAAATAAAATATTCTTATAGATTCTTCATTCACATAACTAGAATAAAGAAATTATATAAATAAACAAGAATATTATAAATATATATATATTTATAAATGTATCTTAATTAGTTTAGACCTTAATATTTTTATCAATCCTATTGATGACGATAAATCAAAGACTTAAGTTGGAATAAATGCCGAAATAATTAATCTTAATAAAGGTTGTATTAAATCGTATTTCTGTCCTAATGATAGATAATTCAAGTCTTTTACATTTTAATTATAAACAGAATTACTAGTCAAGTAAGAAAATGATAAAGAAAATACATATCTTGAGATTTAATAAATATATTTCTATGAATTATACGATTGTGAATTAGAACTTGCTCTTTTATTAGATTATTTATTGAGGGGAGTAATAGATGGGTGTAAATAAAGATTTATGAAATATTTTAATGAGTAGAAAGGTGATTATTAAAAATAGTTTTGATATAAATAATAATAATGTATCAGCTTACAAAATAATTGGTTGATTTTCGAAGGAATCAATTTCTAAACTAAGGGCTTTAGACAGAATTCACCATCCAATCTGAAAATGCGTATCGATATTATTTAAATGTGTAGAAATAAATTAGTGAGTGTGGGGTCACAATTAAAAAGTCTAAACAATATTGAGAAACAACGATATTTGAGACCTGAGTCATCCTATGACGAGAGTTCAGGGGAATCCAGTGTTATGTGTGAATAGAATCGATAAAAACGATTGAGTGTTGAAGATGTTCTCTCGATGGTAATCGATTCGGAAAGCAATCAAGCCATTAAACTGGAGCCAAAACCCTTTTAGAAAAAGTAAGATTGTAAACTATAATTAGCAATCGAGTAGATCAAGAGTGGGAATCCTAAAAAACTATAATAATTTAAGATGTCGATGAGGAAGCCGTGGAGAGCCTTGACTTAAATGAATTTTTCGATGAATAGTATACAATTTTATGAATTGCGGTTTAAGGATAAGCACTTCATATAGTTTAAACGAGTTTAGCTTGGCAGCTATGCAGGCAAGCTATCAATCATAATACGAATGAAGGAAGACAAAGGAGCGTAGTATGTGTATTACAATCTGGTGACTTCATTTCACAAATACAGGAAAGCATTTGGTGACAACATAGAAGTATTAATTGATCTAATTATCAACTAGTTTGCTTAACTCAAATAAATAGACAAATAGGTCAATAAAAATGAGATCACTGTTGTTATGAGATTCTTGCCGGCAAATTTTAATAGTGAAAAGTTGGAAGCCCTACAAAACATCAGAAGTGAGGAGCTGTTCACATGTATTGATTAATATTTATATGTGTAGATTAGGGATTGAAGTATGGAATTTTCAAGACCTCTGATTATGAGATTGCTGGAAACATTAAGAAGAAAATAATAAGGTATTAATTAGGATTTATATAATAATAAGTTATTTCTAAAACAAAAAATATAATGATCTTCACATAACAATAAAGGCTAAAAAGAAATCTACTAAGGAGAAGGTCAAGGTGTTTTTAGAAGAAGAATAATACAACCCAAGATCCCAATTAGAGTAAAAGATCGGAATGCCTTTAAGTCCACTCAAAGTTCCTCCTCTGGTAGTGAAAGAGATTGAATAACCAAAACCCAAACCTACTGTAGTGTAACCCACAATTTGTGCTATGTATTACTATTCTAGATTTGTAGATAAATTACTGTCCCATAGATTCAAGCAAGTTAGATAAAACCAGTTGAACTTAAACCTACCATCATAGAATAAAGTGATCAGAAAGTGATAGTGAGGGCTGTTTAATTAAAACCAGTCACATTAACAGTTGACAGAGAGAGAAGCTCAAGGAAAAAATGACTTAATAATAATAATCAAAATTAGTATTAAATCAAAATATATCAAAATATATATATATATTTAAAATTATTTTGCAAATTTCAGTGTGTTCTAATTTAACTTGTAACGAGCTTAAACTTTTTCAATACTACGCCCATATTAATAATGATGACTGCCTTAAATCTAATTTTTAACACAACTTTGAATATCTCCTAGATTTTTTTATGATGCTTTTATATATAAATCTTCTATTGAAACAAATTATTGAGTTTTCATAGCAAGTTGAAATTAAACCAATTAGAATTATTCTCATTGGTTTAATTTTACAATGCCTTCTTATTAATTTTTATACTGTTTTTTTTTTTTTCTTATACTAAAGGCATTCTAAAATTTCAAGAAAAATAAGGATGTATTTAATATTTTATTTTAATTGATTATCATTAAGTCATTATTTATAATGATTTACCAATTACTCCAATAATATAAGTAAACATCGATTCAAAATTCTTACTTAACACCAGAGTTAGAATTCAACCTTTAGGATTATGAAGTATCTAAAATTTTAATTACCTGAGGATCAGCTTAAAGATCAGAGAATTTTTTATATAGAAATTTGATATTGAAGAAATAAAATGTAGGCTTGATAATGATGTAGGCATAAAACAGAAATTGAAATATATGACTCCGATTCATAAATCATTTGATTATTATTATTATTTGATAAAGACTATCGGTGAGTCTGACAATCCTTCTTAGCATACAAAGAAATACTTAGAGTATTTAGTAAAATCTCAGAGTTTTCAGAATATAATTTCAGAGAGATGCTATTTATTAATAACTTAAGCAAACTCAATTGATAATTTAGAGGATTAAATTGAATAACTCTTTTAAATATTCTTTTTCCTCAAAGATATTGATATAAATATTCTACAAAAATCTAACATTTCTCTAATATTTACTTTACAAAAGATAATTGAAATCAATTACACTGAATATAAATTCAATGAACTATTCTAAAAATTTGATGATTTTCTAATTTTAATCTTGAATAGCACATAATTATAGTAATATAAAACAATTCCAGCCCATCCCCAACCTTTAGAATGCATATAATATAGAGCTGAAAACAATTAAATATTTGGACAAACTAATGAACAGTTTGAGAACTCAGCAAGTTATTTGGACTTTCTATTCAATTTTTTAAGAGAAGACTACATTTATTATATCAGGGAACAAATTAATTATTTATCTGAAAAGGGATTTATTAAACCTATTGCTAGAAGTGATACTTTTAACATTGATTTATATTAAGACATAAAATTAATATAATTTGAGATTAATAATCTTCACATTAAATGGAAAATAGCTATCAAGTAATTTGATTTAGATTAAAGATATATGAGAGACCACATTGACTGGAATTATTCAAATAAACTTTAAATTGGTTCTCTGATTTGTATTACAAATATAGAATGTCATCCATTGCTTTTTGGCATAATCATCAATAGAGATAAACAATAAGATGAATATGAAATATCAAACAGAATTAATTTAGAATTTCGATTTTTGGGCCCTAAATCTTAAATAATGGAATTCTTAAATCTGCTTTCTTAATAAACTATTTTGATGGACTGTAAAACCGAAAAATAATTTGAAGCCTAACTTTATAACTTAGAAACAATTAAAAAAATGTAATATTTGCCATAGACAAATTTGATACTTGAGAATTAATAACCACCATATTTTTATTAAAACTACTTATTGTCAAGATGCTTTTCTTAATTGCTATCAACTTGTGATAAAGAATAGGAGAAAGCCATGCAACTAATTCTTTTTGAAAAAGTAGCATTCATCTAAGGACTTCCAGGAACCGGAAAAACTTACTGTGCTACTAGGGCTGTAGCCATCTTAAATCAGAGATTATCATAAGTTGATAAGCCTATTCTGATAGTTTGCTACAATAATCATACCTTAGATCATTTCTTAGAGAAACTGCTTTAATTTATTCCAGCTGATCAAATAGTTAGACTAGGAGGAAATTCTAAATCTGCTAAAATTAATTCCTATATGTTCTAAAGCAGATCAAATCTTGATTTTGATTAGAAAGAATTCAAAGAACTTAAAAACTAATTAAAGTTAATTTTTAATAGATTAATTTAATATGATTATACTATCAATGCTCAGGATATAACTAGATTATGGCCTGAACTAAGAGATAAGCTTATAAATGATTTTCTTAAGGAAAGAGATTTGAATAATTCATAAATTGATGTGCTAATTCAAAATTAAATCTTAAATTCTTGGATTAATGTAAAACCCTTTGCTGATGATCGATTTCTTTAATTTGAAAGTAAGAAATTTGGACTTCATGTTATTACTCAAAAAGAAAAAATTACCTAATAAGTTCGGCAGAATAATGTTTTTGGAACACGAACTACGTAAGTAAATGACCTTTAAGATTATGATCAAGAATTATCAAATCAAAATGAAGAACTTCTTACGCCTATAGAATAGTTTAATAAGCAAAACTAAAATCAATCTAATTTACACTATAATTTTAGAGGAATCGAAATGATTCAGCTATGTTTGTAAGACGATACATTCAACATTTGGGAACTTAACTATGAAGACATAGGTGAGATAATTAAATATTTAAAGTATCTAAAATATCAGGAAGATTGTCTTTTATTTGAAAAAACATACAAAAAATATAAAAAGCTATCCTAAACTTTATAAAATCTTAAAGATAGTTATGATTTATAGAAATTGAATGAATATTAAGTAATCGGAGTGACTGTCACTGATGCAGCATACTGCTCACATATATTAACATAATTGAACTCAAAAGTATTGGTTGTTGAAGAAGCTGAACAAATCTTATTATCTAATTTAGTAACTATTCTGACAAATAATTTCGAACATGTTATTTTATTTGGAAATTATTTCAATTTGGAAGAATAATTGTAGAATTATGATTAAACGAATTACTACTTTTTAAAAAACATATAAAATCAAAAAATTCCATCTGTTGTTTTATCTACTTAAAGGAGAATGAAAACTAATATTGCTGATTTTATGAGAAGTATCAACAACTAAAATATTGCAGATCACCATGATATTCTTGAAACCATAAATACAATGTAAGTTAAGGGTTTAGATTCAGATTTTTTTATTTTTAATAATGAGCCATTTGGAGATTTATGTAGAAAATCAAAAGAAAATGAATAAGAAGCTGAAATGATTGTTTAAATGGTCTAATATCTTATTTAAGCGGGAAACAAAGAGTCTTAAATTACTGTATTATCGCTTTATTAATAGCAAGTATAATTAATAAAGGAGAAATTTAGAAATGAGAATTAAAATTAGGTTAGGGTAGAGACAGTTGATGATTATTTAGGAGAAGAAAATGATATTGTAATAGTTTCATTGATAATTATTAATAATAAAAAAAAGCTATGTAAGAGTAAATACCAAAATAGAATTAAAACTGCATTTTCAAGAGCAAAATTAGGTCTTTATGTGTTCGGTTATATTAAATATTCAAGGTAAACTACTTTATATAATTCTTTTCTTTCTAAATTTTTATCTTTGCTATAAGATAAAGACTATCTTAAAAATTATATCACTCTTAAATGTCATATTCATGGTAAATTAAGGAGAATAGATCAATCAAGCCACTTGTTAAATATGTAAGGAGGCTGCTGTTGTAATAATCACACTTGCAGAAAATAATATCTTCAAAACATTCAAAATCAAAATGATTGCTAAGAAATTTGTTAAAATATACTTCCATGCAGACATCAATGCTAATAAAGGTGCTAAGCTTAGTGTATCTGCACCACTGCTTACCATTGTAATTTACCTGGTTGTAATCATATAGCTAAAATTCAATGTGGATAAGATCTCACTAATTTTCTTTGCTAACAAGATTTATCGGTATGTTTTATTTCAACATGTAAACACACAACTAAATTCAAATGCTATTAAAAGGAAAATTTTTTGTATTAATGTTAACATGTTTGTGATAAGGTTCTTCAGTGTGGTCATACATGTTAAAAACTATGTTGGGAAAATTGTTAACCTTGTGCTTAAAATATTATCATTTCACTTTATTGTGGAATACATAAAATTTAAAAGAAATGCTTTGAAATTTAGAATCATTTAATTAATGGTTTAAAATTGTCTCCTTACTTTTTTAATTCTAAGATTGGCAAGGAATTTTTTTATCGAATCTTGGAAAGTTTAACCAAAGGCATGATAAAAGATGTTCCCAAATTAGATTAAATAGAAGGCTTTAAATGCAAAATTCCTTGTTCAAGACCTAGAAAATGTGGTCATAAGTTTAAATGCTCTAATCTTTGTAGTTAGTAATGCACTCCATGTGAGTAAGTGATTCTTATCACTTTAAAATGTGGTCATAAATATTAATATTTGTGCAAAGATGTAACAGTAGCCTTAAAAGGATTGCTACCAAATGAATATTTTGAAAAACAATTTTAATGTGAACATGAAAAAAAATAATAAGGTTTTGAAAACTGTATTTAGTGCAGAGATAAAATAATCAAAAACTTAGAAGAATAGATTATATGTAAAGAAAAGTGTATTAGAAAGAGAAGTTGTCGTCATGAAGATCCTTGCCTTAATTAGTGCTGCTATGAATGTTCTCCTTGCTTACAAATAATGTAAATATCTTTAGATTGTGGACATTAAAAATTCGTTGAATGCTTTTCTAACAATACTTAATGTTCATAACCGTGTGTTAAAACAAGAGCATGTGAACATTATTATCCGTGCTCTAATTATTGTTCCTAACCTTGTAGTCCATGTTAAGTTGAAATAGCAATAACATTACCTTGTGGTCATTTAACGCTTGCAAAATGTCATACTGTATAAACTACGTCTACAGGTATTGTACAATAAGGTGATGAATAAGAATGTGGATATTGTTCGCGTATTTATTGAATTTGGTAACATTTCAATGACTTTATTACAAATTGTTTAATAATATCAATTAAATAAGTCTGAATTAGTTGAATTTAAGAATAAATGTAGATTATAATTTCTTACTTAATTCTCTTGGTCATTCAAAGGTCTTAAGAGTGACGAGTGTCTCTGAATGTAGGTTGTAATTTACTATTAATTATTGTATGTTAATTTGATTTGAGTTTCTTATTTTGTGATGAAAATTAAATAAATAAATAATTTGCATCTATAGTTGTATACTAATGATTGCTACTGAAATTTTATCTGATAAGGTATGAAATATGTTAATATCATCTTAGCCAGAAGACTAATATTAGAGACTAGAGAAAGCTGTAAATTTAATTAATGTATAATATATTAGATGATCGAATTGTTCAAATACGATAATTTGCTAAATAACGAGTACTTGGTCAGAAAATTCGAGACTGATATAATGAAGCCAGAGTGGTATTTGCTACAATATGTTGTGGTGTAGAGAGAAAATTCGATAAAAAGCTAATATGTCTAAAACGAATTAAACACTCGTAAAAAATATCATTTGATCTTAACTGATGTAAAGAATATATTTCCAAACTTAGATTCTGAACAAATACAACAAATAATTATGGAATTTTGATCATCAGATGTTAATCATACGTCCATATTTCCCAACAGAGAGAAAGAGAATATAAATTAAAATACCAGCTATTTAAGTGTCAATCATTAAAGACACATTGTAAAAGTCTGGCTTTGTAAAAGAGGAATTAGTGTATGAGGAAGAAATTTATTAAGCTGACAAAACCTATGTTAAGTTAATATTAACATCTTAAACAGAAGGTTATGCAGTTGAAATATTTGATTTTCTAATGTCTAAGAAGGTAGAACTTCAAATTGATTCTGTAATTATGTAAAATGTCGATTATTTGGATGAATTTCATAAATAAATTAATTCAAAAAAATGTCAAATGATGACTAAAAAAATAGAATAATAAGAATATGATCCACAAGAATATAAACGAAATGATTAACATGAAGAATAAGAAAAAGATCACCATTACTAAAAATCTAGAGCTAGAGGAAATAGAGGACGAGGAAATTATGGATATTATAGAAATGACAAAGATGATGATAGACATGAAGAGAAGTATCAGAATAAGGATAAGGGAGATAGACAAGATAGAGGAGATAGATAAGATAAATAAGATAGATAAGATAGAGGAGATAGATAAGATAAAAATGAAAGACATGATAGAAATGATAGGGGAGGAAGAACTCATGATAGAAGAGGAGGATAAAGAGATAGAGGAAATAATGTATTAGTTTTAATTATTATTTAAGTAATATGTGTAAAAAAGTGATGTTCATCATTAACAACAATAACAAACACAGTAACAATAACATTATCAACTGATTCCTAAAGCAGTATTATAAAAGACTCCAAAATAAAACATTAAGCCAAACACATTGAATGCTCATGATTTCCCTGCCCTAGATTCTGAATAAAAGAGTTGAGTTATACGAGTAATAGCTCTATAGAATTATTTAAGTATTAAACTTCCCTTTAATATATTATCGAATTAATTTCTAATATATTCAATATCTTATACAATCCATATGTACAGATTCTCAAAAATTAATTAATTATTCATGCCATTTATTCAATAGTGAAAATGAATTATTTGGCTTTTAACATAATTCCAATAATAGCATTTGCAATAAATTATAAGTATGTTATATATTGTATAAACCACAATTCCAAAAACAAAATGTTAAGGATATTGAAAAACATAATAACTTAGATATTATACTAATATTAATGTAATTCTCATGCACCAATTGCCAATCTATTCTTAGCTACTTATTTTCTTGATTAACGAGCAACAACCTTATTATTTGCTTCCTTCTTCACATTCTCATCTTTTTGAGCAGCCCATATTTCAATGTGTGCATTGGATGAAAGGAATGCTATATATTATTAATTAAATTTATTTACGATTAATTCTTCCGTGAGCTCTGTATGTTCTACGTCTACCCTTTTAGGCTCTGTTTACTTAGACATGATTGATGATAAGTTTCTCATTGTTCAAATTCTTGACTTAAGCATTAGCTGCCAAATTTTATAAAAGGGACAATACGATTCTGACACTCTTTTCTGGCCATCTACCTATAATATTAATTGTTTTATTAATTTACCTTAAGATCTGCCGAATTCTTTGGCTTAACTTGTTCTGCCAACACCACCATTAAATCTGGTGAATGGAACGCATCTCTTATGCTATAAGACATCTTGTAAGTATTTGAGTGCTTAAGCAACAGTCTATCCCTTGAGTGCTCTAGCTACTTCATAGGTATTCTTAAAGTGTGTTCTCAAATCACTGGCTTTGGCCTTGGCTGAATTTTTAGCAACTGCTGGTTCTCTAGCATATTGTTTGCCCATTGAATCCTTTTAATTAATTTAATTTTTTTTTCAAATTCCGAATCAATAAGATAATAACAGCAGAGAAATTAACAAGTGTGAGTATTTCCTATTATGTTTAATCTCAGATGACGAGCAAAACTGCTTCTCATCTTGGAATCTCTCGGGAAAGATAATCAATTTTTGTATAAAAGAATAGGTTCATAATAGTTTTAAAACAATAAGTGCATTTCATTTTTTACATTTTTATTTTGATTTGTATTTTTACATCTTCTCAAATGATTCATTTTAATTATTGCTGCAATAAGTATCAAAGTTTTATGAATACTGAACACTTTGTTAGTTTTTATCAGTCAATATGAAACTTGTCTGACATCCAATATTGAATTCATTTTAATCCTCCTTCATTTATTTAGTTCTTATTCCTTTATTCTCTACATAATCGATAAATGAATTATTATTCTTTGTATCACTTCTCTAAAATCTATTCAGATACTATTCAGATCTTTAAACAGAATGACTGCCCATAACAGACCTTTATTAAGAATAACATTTTTAACTCATCCTACTATTTGTTTATGAGATTAATGGTAACATTATGCTATTATCAGAGGAAGTAGCAATTTAGCAGAATCTGTTATTCAATTATTACTCCTTTTATTTTGCCCTAAAATAAGCTCTAAATAATACACATTGATTTCTCCTAATAATTATTATTCATATCTCTTGAAATTATTTATCTCCACTACTTTCTTATGAACTATTAATTTATTCATTTCCATTTCTTACACTTATCGTTACCTAATTTCATTGATCTTTTTTTCATAGAACTCTGCCTTCCTTTTTAAAACTTAGGAATCTTAATCTTCAATTTATTTAACCTTCATTTTTTTCTGTTAAATTTCTGCGTTTCTCGAGTTTTGCAAATATGATTCTGTTTTTAATCGTTCATTTCTTACATATATTCCTTCCTTCTCAATTATGGGTCTGAATTACTCCATTATTTGTTTCCTATCCAAACCCAACTATTCTTGTAATTATGCAATAGGCGATTTCTTAGCATCAGGAGATAATTGCCTCAAATCTTTTAATTTCTATTATATGATGAAGTTCTTCTGATCAATGTCCTTTAATTAAAATTTAAGTGAGTTGACTCTTTTTTTTATTTAATCATGTTCTAAATTTACTTACACAAAACTTTATTAATTCATTTTAAAATTAAATAATCAATACATAAGTTTCATTAATAAATCTAGTAATCACATTGATAAATTTAATAATCTAAGCAAAACCCTTTAGGAACATCTCTTAAAAAATAATTAAACAGAATAAAAACATCCCTCTCTAATACGATTGAATTGGAAACCGAGAGTCAATCATTAAAGGAAGGTAATTAGGAGCTTGAATTAAAATTAAAGATGATTATATAAAGTATATTGATCAAATAAATTATCCTTTCTTTCTTTTCTAAAATTTTAAAAAATTATTAAGCAATTTTTCATCCTAATTTAAAATCGGTTAAGTCTCGATTTAAGAGTACTCCTATTTTTTTAGCAAATACTTATTTGAAATAAAATCTTTTAGATTTTAATTTTAATCCCCTAAGTTTATTCCTTTTTTGCTTAAATTTGTTTATAAATTCATAAATTTACTATCATTACTATTGCCTCTTATCTATAAACATCCTTAACCATTCGCTATGTTATTTATTTTATCATAATCTCTATCAAATTTTACTACATGATAACCCATCTCATTGCAAATCTTTTAAATATCTTTCTATTATATATTTTCTTTCATATCCCTTAAGTATAATGACATGATAGTCACACTTTTATCCTCCATCGATGATTTAGGTCTAGGTGGAGGTATAATTTGAGGACTTGATGATTTTTAAGGGTAATTTTTCATTCTTTCTCTAACATCAGATGTATTTATTCTATTATTTTCATTTTTCTTTATATTATTACTATTTATTGTCTCTGTTTTATTTAATCTCAGGAGTTCTTAAATGTCGTTGTCATCTTATTTTACTTATCTTGTTTATGAACTATGTTAAGTTCTTGTTTATTTTTCTTGAGATTTTGCTTAAACTGCTCTATTTTTATCTTGAATTGAGCATTTTTAGGTTTCCTTTATTTTGTTATTTGTGTATTGCATGGAGTGAAAATTTTTCATTAATCTATTGAAATCATAATGATTTTGCTGATTAAGGATTTTAGCATTATTTTCTACTCCTTAATTAAAGGAGTTATTTCTTTGATTCAAATTAAATTACCTAACTTCGCTAATTGATGTTTGATAATTTGCAGCCACATCATTCTTTAATTGTTGCTATTAGGTTTCCACGTTAAATGATATTGCATTATTCGAAATAGATCTTGGTCGATTCATTTTAGCTTTCTCATATTTATTTTGATTGATTATCATTTTTCTCTAATCCTAATAAAGCATTATTCAGTTAAAATTATCATTAAAATATATATTTTATTCTAAAGAAATGGCAATTGATTATATTACAAAGACACTTGACACTTTAATTGGCTAAGATTAACAAGCTAAAATATTAGAGATTATGTCGAATTCCTATTGAAATTTCTTATATCTCTTATATGATCTAAGATCTTATATATTATAGCTTATAGTTAATAAAAAGGAAAAAAGTTTGTTCAACATAAGTCTGATATTGTAAAAAATAAAAAATAGATTTTATTCATAAATGGATGACTTGATGGTATATTTCCCCTTCATTTTTTATTTTACCATCTTTTAATAAGAGTGTGATAGATTTTCTATTTATACATTATAGAATTACTTGACGTCTTAGGGTTCAATATTATTCAAAGCCTTAAAATGATCTACAATTTCATTTAAGCTTTTCCCTTATTTTAAATTTTAACCCAAGTATGTTAGAATCTAAATTATATTGTTATTTATTACATCTTCATTCAAATTGGTAACTTCAATTAGAATTTACTCATCTTCCTCATTTTCTGCTCTTTGATGGACCAGCATTTTCTATCCCTCTTAGAATCTTGCCCAAGCAAGGATTTTAATGATTTGATAGGTTATCATAGCCGATTAATTTACTTGTTGTATAGTCTATATGTCAAAGAAAACCTCGTGTTTGTATACTCTGGTTTTCAAAATAAAGTTATAGTAGTGTAAATTGGAAGGGTCTGAATGGATTCTATTAAATAAATTTTAATCGAATTCCTATATTAAATTCATGCTAAGACCAAGATATCCTGTGTCATCATTAATAATAATTGTTCCCTTTTTTTATTATTGAATACAATTAGATTTACGAGTTATTAGATTAATATAAGTAATGGTGATTTTCTCTAATACAGCCTATTTTTCACAAGGTGAAACCTTAATTTATTTCATCATTCTAATATTGAGAGGAACTATCTGTTCTTATTAATTAGTGACATCGAGTGTCCCCTTCTATTTAGAATACATATTCTTTAAAATTAAAATTATTAAAGCTTTTTATACAAATTTTAATATCATTAAAAATATTGTCCTTCATCAAATCAAACCTTTGAGCTCTATTTAAATTATACAATCTATTAGTGGAATTTCTTGTATTTTCCAATCTCAAATTTCTGAGCGCCAAAAATAAAGAAAGAAAGATCACATTAAATATTTGGATCGCCTATCTATTTAGATTTCTTATATAGGGAATTTAATGTGGGGCGGCTATAAAAAATTACAGCTTCAATTGTTTTATAAAAGCATGAGTTTTTAATATTAAAATTTATATAATATATATAATTAATTATCCTAATGTCTGGAATTTTTGAATATAATGGTGGATCCATAGTTGGAATGAAGGGAAAAAATTGTATTGCTATGGCTTGCGATAGAAGATTCGGTTAGCAAATGTCAACAATCACAACTAATTATCAAAAAGTGTTTAAGATTCAAGACAACATTTTATTAGCATTATCAGGTCTCAATTCAGACATTCACACTTTGTAAATAATTGTGTTTATATTAGCTACGCTTTGATGGAGAAGGAGATAAACTTATATAATTTAAAAGAAAATAGAAAAATGAAACCAACAACATTCGCAAATTTAGTTGCATCTTCATTATATGAAAGAAGGTATGAATGCTCAATTAACATTTCAGATTTGGACCATTCTTTGTGACTCCAATAGTGGCTGGCCTTGAAAACGGTAAACCCATTTTAGCAACATATGATTCAATTGGATGCAAATCCGATTTGGACGACTTTTAGGTTGGAGGAACTGGAGGAAATTAGTATATAATTTATAAATCATATTTAGTATTTATGGTGCATGTGAGGCCTTCTTCAAGCCAGATATGAGTCCAGAAGAATTGGAAGAAGTTATCGGACAGAGTTTGGTGAGTGGTTGTGATAGGGATTCCTTATCTGGATGGGGAGGAGTAGTATACGTATTGACAGAGCAAAAGTTAACAGTTAAGATCTTAAAGACCAAGCAAACCTGATGATTTATCATTGAATAATATTAATTATAGTGTAATATCGAGCCTCAAACTGTCTGTCGAGTTGTTGTTGAATGATAGGCATTAAATTCAATTAAAAAATAAAATAATTATTTACTAAACACAAAAATAAGCCTTTCATTTAATATCAATGATCTAATCCAATCCCAAATATGAATCTGACATCAAATACAATTTGTAATTTCTATTCCAATCTTCTACATCAATATCTTTGCTGGCAGTGCTTCTCAAATACACTTTCTTCAGGGATACAATTCTATCCTCATCTCCAAGGATCAACCACCAGGAAGCTTCTCTTTGTTTACTAAGCTTCTGAATATAAACTTTATTATCAGGTTTGCTTTCGTTTTTGAGGTTTACTTTCAATTAGTTTTCAGTTTTAGTGTAAACTAATTAGACATCAGGTAATGCATTTATGGCTTTCATTATTTCTGCAATACTCTCTTTTTGATGAACATTATTCTATAGGAAAATATCAAATTCTCTAAGCTAAAAATATTGAATGAAATAATTACATTAAAAAATTACAGTAATTCCTTGATAGTCCTGACTCTATTGATACATTCCTCTGGTTTGAGTTTGTGCAAATAAGGCAAATTCATTAATACTTATTCTTCATTTTTGACAAAACCCTAAACAATCGTTTACAACATATAGATAATATTAAGAGTAGTTTAAAGGTATCCCTTATTGGCAGATATTTCAATCATACAACTTATGATTCTGATACACGAGTCTAAAATAAGTTTTTGATCTGTCTCAAAATCTTTAATAGGGCATTTCAATCTGAAAATGTGAGCTTAAATCAATAAGTAAGCCTTTTCATTAGGATTGTCCATTTTGTTTTTATCACACTTCAATTTGCATAATTTTGATAAGGCTTCATTTAAATGTTCTTCGTTGTGTCTAACGGGTACTTCATTGAATTCACTAGAGTATGCCAAAGTGTATAATAGATCTTCAAATCGACTCTCTTTCTAAATTCTTTCATCAAAATGTTTTAAAGTTGTGTGTTTGAGATAATAAAAAGCAGCTAACTTGCCCAAAAATGTTGATTCATATTACCCATCTTCTTAAGTAATACATTTTGATGTTACTAAATCACTAATGGTATTAGCTACTAAGTTATTCATATAATTTTGTATATCTTTACTACTGGTGCTTGGACAATTGTAGAAAGTTGGGTTTTTGACTAATCTTCTGAAGAAGTATGTCCAAGTGATCCAATCAATAAAAGTTTAATTATTCTTAACCACTCCAGAGGAGATTTCAGCATTAATATGATCTGAAATGCCTTAGAGTAAACTTGATTCGATTGGGAAAGGAGAGTTTAGATATTTACGATAGAAATTCTTTTTACTTTATTCCACATAGACACAAGCAGTAGCAACAGTATCATATTGAGGTCTACCAGCTCTTCCTATCATTTATAATAGATCAGTAACTGGAAAATCTACATATTTCTTAAGTTTAGGATCAAAAAATTCAGTACCTTTTACTATAACCAGTCTAGCAGGGAAGTTCACTCCCCAAGCCAAAGTAGATGTAGCTATTAATAATTGAATTTTGCCTTAAACAAATAGATTTTCAACTATATTTCTATCATTTTTATCAAGTCCAGAATGATGAATTCCAATTCCATATTACAAGACTGATTTTAATTATGTGTCATCAATCTTGGTACACAATTAGGCTAATTCCTACTCAGTAGTTTAGATATACTGCTTTTCATTTCCTTCTTGCATGGCCAAAGCTATAATATCCAAGGCAGTTAGTCGAGTTTGTCTACGAGAGGACACAAAGATGATTGTTGGCTTTCCATCACTATATCTTTTAATATCTTGATAAGCTGGCTTATTCATAGTGGCCATTCTTGGACAATAGGCTCTTTCTGGAAATCCATTAAAGTGAATGGTGACGGGGACAGGTCTGCAGGAGGGTTTAAAATTATAAAATCTGCCCTTCTTTACTCCAAACCAATTACTGACATCTAGTCCATTGGCCATTGCTGTTGATAACCCAATCATTCTTGTTTTTTTATTAGTATCATAGCTTAATGAATTCATTCTACTTACTATAACTTCTAAGACTTATCCTCTATCTTATCCAAGTAGATGGATTTCATCAAAAATTAATAGACATGTCTATCTCACATATTCTCTATTACTCCAACTTCTACTGATACCATCCCATTTTTCTGGAGTTGTTATTAGAACATGAGCCTTCAACAATGCTTGTAAATCTGGAGTAAAATCTCCTGTTAATTCAAGCACATTTTTATTGATATCCTTCAATCTCTTTGTCCAATCTTTTAATCTCTCTTTTGCAATTGCCTTCAATGGTGCTATGTAAACTACTTTGAATTATGGGGATTATTTAAACACTCTTAACATTGCGAATTCTGCCATGATAGTTTTACCTGAACCTGTAGGTGCTCCAATTAATATGTTATCATCTGTGTTATATAGTCCAAAGAACACTTGGGTTTAGATAGGGTTAAAGTATTTATACTACTAATATAGTTGTTCGAATTCAGTATTGTTTAATGCACTAATAGGTAAAGGTTGTAAGTCTAATAACTCAGTAAAATCGATCTAATCATCTTGCATGAAAGCATTTGATAGATCTATTTAAACTGTAGTGTAATCCTCATCTAGCATTACCCATCGATCACTTTGAATTGTCAGATAGTAAGACTTGCATTTTGAATTAAATGGAACATAAAATGAAATTTACATTTTATTGCCTCTAATGATGGTATCCATTTCCATCAAGAACTCTTCTGAATGCAGTAATTCTTCAGAGTCATATACAAATATCCAGAAAGGCTCATTTTTTAAGTGCCATTTACTATTGAAAACAAATTAAGGTGTTATTTAAACTACCAATTATAAAATAGTCTATGAAATGGGTTTAACTTTGTATTCAATATTCAAATCAGGTAAATAATTCACATAAGCCTTGAATTGAGAAACCAAATTAGTAGGAATTGATAACTATTAAGCCAAGACTATGTCATCTTCACTCTTCATCTAATAAGCAGGCAAACTGCATTCAGCCATGGCACCTATCCAGGCTCTAGGCATGAAGGCATCTTTAGATTTCATTATTTTTCTAGTATTGCACCCTTAAAAGCTTTCCTTACTAAATTAAAAGAGTGGATTTTATCTGGGACACATTCTATTTTCAATCATCTTGCACAATTTCAATAATTCCAGGGCCATACATGCTTAGTTTTTCTTGATTGCCATGTCCAACATGCATCTCAATAATCTAATAGTGTTTTAAATAATAATATTGGTATCCATGATCAAGGCATAATTTTCAAAATTCATTTTTGCAAGATATCCACTAATAAGTGCAATAACTTTCTCCTAAGTTTCTATAACACCTTCAGGATGATCATATGAATCACTTCTGACATCAGGTTCCTCATCAAATACCCAAGCATCATCATAAATCTTCTATAATTCTTTAGTTTCCTCAGGTCTGACTCTAATCATCTCAAATTCCTTGGCCTTAGCTATAATCTTAAGCAATTGATATTAATTTTTATCATTGAACTTTTATTTCTCTTATTAATCGAATGACAGACCCATTTCGTCACATAAAACCTTCATGGTTTCACATTTAATGTAATAATGAGATGCAATTCTACCTAAGTCTGTTGATGTAACTAAATGATTCCTTGTGTCATACCTCACTAATTTCAAAGCATCCAATTATTTTAATGCAGACTCAATCTTTTCTTACACCAAAGTATCACAATCCAATTCTAAATCATCATATGCTCTTTAAACACCATAATGCAAGGGATTTCTTCTTAACCTAATGCTTAAGAATGTATGACACATCCAATTATATGCTTCAGTATAATTGGTTATATTTCCCAAAACTATTTCTGCATTTAAGGCTTCTCTCAAGAATGTTAACAATTTGCTTTCAATATAACTGGCATTGTTGAGCATACCCATGTAATGACCTACATTATTGAAATCAGTGATTAAAGTTGCTTCTCCTTTATCATCGAATTAAGGTCTACCAGCTCTACCAAACATTTATTACACATCCAAAACACATAAATTCTACATGTCTGCTCGAGTAACATCAAATATATCTGTTCCTTTAATAATAACAGCAAAAGCAGGCAAGTTAACACCCCAAGCTAAAGTGGCTGTAGCTATCAATACTCTTGCATCACCACTTAAAAACAACCTTTCAACTGAATTACGATCTGCTCTTAACATACCAGCATGATGGAATGCTAATCCATAAGGCAACAATTTTTTCAATTCAGTATCATTTAACTTAGTACAATTAATTTTAGTTGTTCCAATAATATGTCTATCGCCTAAACGAGATGCTCTCTCTAATATCCATTTAGCATACACAACTGTCTCTTTACGAGAATGAACAAAAATGAGTACTTGTTTGTTATGCTTCACTACTTCACTCATTAATTCATAAGCTTATTCATTCTAGATATCTCTTTTAGTTCTTCTTCTTTATCCCTTAGCTGGTGCTTATACAGGTTCTTTACATCCTATGAATTTCTGACATAATGGTACTGGTCTGAAAGTATGATCAAAAAAGAACACACTATCTTTATGACATTCCAAAAATATGGCAACATCCCAATAATTTGGTAGTGTTGCAGATAAACCCACTAATCTGATGTGTCTTTAAGCTCTTTAAACTTGTTAGAGTGTACGAGCAACAACACATTCTAATATTGGACCTCTTTCATCATTAAGTAAATGAACTTCATCTATAATCAATAATTTTAATTGTTCACTAATTTGATTTGTTTTCCTAGTAATAACATCCCATTTTTCAGGTGTTGTCAATATAATATGAGTTTCTTACAATTCTTTCTTTGATAATTACATATCTCCTGTAAATTCTTTAACTTTTACTCCCAAATATCTAAGTTTTGTTTAGAATTTTTCAACAATTTCACTAGCTAATGCTTTCATTGGAGATATATAAACAATCTTAAAATCTTAATCCTTCAATCTTTTATCTTTCTCATCTACTCTCTTAGATAATTCATGGAGGATTGCCAATAATGCTATGTTGGTTTTACCAGCTCCTGTAGGTGCGCATACCAATAGATTCTCTTCAGTCAAAAATGCTTTTGGATATATTTATGATTGAATAACATTTAAACTAGTTGTTCCATCAAATGCTTTCCTTGCCCATTCTGGAAGATCATGAATAGGAATCAACTTATCCTCCTTAATTGGTTTCTTTGGTAATGGATCAATTCTTATGTATAAATATTCTAATTTATCTGTCCTTGTAGAAGTTGGGAAATATCTAACCAAGGTTTATTGTTCCATTCTTGCGTATTATTCAGGATCAAATTCTAATAAACCTTCTTAAAATGTAGTCTACACTTTTTATTGATTTGTATATTCTTATTTTCTTAATCCCAACATTCCTTCTTATTGGACATCTATCCCAATTTTAGCAAGCAATTAGTGATTGGAAGTAGCTGCACCATTATTTTACAAATTTGGTTTCTATTGTTGATTCTAAACTTCCCAGAATTTCTTATCACTCAAATATTTTACTATTTCTTTTCTATAAATCAATAAATATTAAGCCGCCTTTACGTTTTTTAATATATCGTAAAATTTACATTCCAATATTTAATTTGACAATGTTTTATCACATAAATCTTTTAGTAAATCAAATACCAACAATTACCAATATTCTGGTGATGCTTTCACCAAAACATTATGGAATTGTTTATCAAATTCTGACAAATAATTGATATGGTCTCTATCTTAAATTACTTCAATTTGTTATTTTTCTTACTACTATTCCTCTTAAAATTAGATTTCCCAATTGCAATCCACATGTATTGGTTCCATATTCACAACATCTTTATAATTTTTTAAAAATTCATTAAATGTTCCATATTCTATTATTTGTTTTGATTAATCATCTTCTTGATGTAGTGTTTAAGCCATAATTCTGTCTATTTGACTATCCACTTCATACATTGTTGAATAGAGAATTTAAAGTTAAACTTCATTATGATTCGGCTCTATAATGATAAAATCATATCCTCTATATGTAGCTAATACGTTGATTACGTTTTTCATAAATACTTACTAACCTTCCTCTCCTTGCATTACAGTCTGTTTATAAATTATGTAAATTCCCTCTAAGAGATCCACAAATGCCAAGTTTATTTGTCCACTCATTCCTCTCGTATCTTAAGCTGCCACATGCACTCCTAAGTCCTTCAACAATACTTTCAATCTGTTTGACAATTCTTTGATATGAAACTCTGTCCCAAACATCAATCTATACATTGGCTTGGCCTTCCTCATTCGTTCCTCATTGTAAACATCATCGTCTTGTCTCTCTAAGTAAGCTTTATTTAAAGAGATTGGTCTTCCGTCATTATATCCTTATTCGAAATATCTTAACTTCAGAGTGGTTCTATTGAACTATTTGGTTTGATAACTAATATTACATCTTTAATCAAATATTTCTAAATGTCCTGTGCCTATAAAAGCTCTGCAGACAGGTTGATAAGATTACTATTCATTAAATTAATTTTAATAAAGAATTTATTTGCTAATTATGGATATCAATCAAAAAGTAGATTTCTTAAATCCTATCTAACCTCTATTTTCCCTTCCTCTGGCTCTTCTTCTTCCTCTATTGGAAGAGTCGATTTAACTTAGGATTGCTTTTGGGTCATCTTTTTAAGCGCCTATTAAGTGTATGTATTTTAAGGATTTTTTTGGGCTCCAAAATCTAAATCAAATGTATATTTATCATTTTATTGAGAAGAAACTACTGAAACACTTTAATTATCACTTGAAATAACATTTCTTGGTTTAGAATTAAATGTTTATTACTATTATTATTATTATTTTTATTATTACTAAAATTATTATTATTATTATTATGGTATTCCATTTGAAAATGTTTAAACAAATGATTAATGATCTTAATGAAGAACATATGAGGGAAATTGAGGAAAATCTCCTTATTGTTAATTTAATGTTTATGTTTATTGCTGAGTTTACTACTGCATTTATTGTATTTATTTTTACGCCATTATTAATTATTACTAGAGTAAATTTTATTATTCTAATAATTATTAATACTGCTAAGGACTTAGTTGCTATTATTAGCCATACTAATTTATTGATTATTATTATGTTTATTGTTAATATGTATTCTATTACAAAGGAATTGCTTAGTGTGTTTATTATTGCTATTGCTAATTAGTAAACTACAATTATTCTATTGGTTTTTGAGGAGGTTGTTAAAGCATCATATCTAATTTTAGTAAAGATGCCTCAATCTAATCTTCTTATGACTTTACTAAAATATTAATGCACAATACTTGGATATTAATTTTAAACAAACACTATTCTGTTGACTTGATTAGAGGATTGTAAATTTCTTACTCCATATTTTTGTTAAATTGACTCTATCTTTTGCTTATTCTCTTTATTCAAATTCAAAAGTTCAAGTTAAAGCTGTATCTCCAAATCATTAATATTTTATAGATCCTCCTATCATAATATTATTAACAATTCAATACCCGTAGAAATTCTTATATATGATTTTACTCATCTTGAACACTACTTGGTTGTTTATGTATTTGTTTATGCGTAATTCTAATATTTTATGGCGGCTTTCTAGGAGGGTTTTAATGATTAGTATTATTATTGCTATTCTAATTAGTATCGATGGTATTTTATTACAATTGCTTTTGAATTAACATTTATTAGCCTAGCAATTGTTATTCTTTTTATTGCAATATCTTCATTTGCTCAGAATTTTTATTATTGGGCATAGCATTTTTGGGGACTGATGAAGAGAGCTACTTCGATCTAGTATTAAGTGGCTCTTATTATGATTTTTAGGATGTTAATTCTCTTTTATCTCTTTCTGTTCCTTGTTTTTAACTCATTTTTGATAAGACATCATCAGCTTAGGTTATAGCTTATTCAGCCCATTAGGCAGGTTTTGACAAAGGAGGTTTTGAATTCTATTTAGCCAATTATCCATTTTTCATAGTATTTTTCCACAAATCCTCCTCGTCATCACTACATTCTTCTGGTAATCCTAGTAGTTATTGCAATTCATGTTTTCTTTAATTAGGAGCGGGTTTTTATTTCTAAGCTGTGCTTAAATCAAGACTATCTAGAAGTTCACTTTTCTTCATGACTTCGAAATCCTCCCATTGTTTTTAGAATTCTTGAGGCAACTTTTTGTTTTTAGCCACTTGGGATACTTCTAGATCAAGGGCTTCGAAATTATTGTAATTTGTTTATACTTTTTTTTCTAATTGAGGTTTTGGGTTTTGTTTAGGATAATCAGTTTACCTAGGTTGATAGTCAGGCAAGATTTATTTAGTATTGTTTCTTAGATAATTAACATAAGCTTGTTCCTTTGTTTTCTTTCTTTAATCAAGCAATGCAGCTGCTTATTTTTACTTTTCTTCTTCTTGCTATTTGAGTTTCTTTTCTTATTCCTTTCTCCTTTTATTATTTTCAATCATCAGTTATCGATGCTTTTCTTCATTCTATTGCATTTTATTCAATATGTCTTCTTTTGTTTTTAGATCTGTATTTGTACTCTGAATGAAATTATAAAATTGATACTTTCTTACTCGATTATTAACTTACTATGGATTTGGTGTCATTTTATTTTTTATTGTTGTATTTGTTTAAATAGCCTGCTGTTGACATTTAAAGTATAATAACTGTATATTTATTATAAAAATATTAGATAATTCAATCATTAGCAAATAATCTTAGAAAGTCTTAACCCAATGAAGTTTGAAATGGCACCTTAACTGGTTAGTTGCTATAGTTCTTATTTAAGGCTGAGCTAGCATTATATTTGATAACTATTTATTCTTCATTTGCTCTGAACCCATGAGCAGAAGTAATTTAATTGTTAAGAGGAGAGTATGACACATTTTGGAATCCCAATCCATTATACTTTAAATTAGCAGACTAGGGATGTTTTTATTCAGACGCTTATTTTTCTTAATTAATAGGAATTATATACTTCCATCATCGGTTTGATATCCATCCCTTTGCTGAAATTTGTTGAAATTGACTTTGTTATTCATTTTGATGAATCCCAGATCAAAATCATCAAATTCATCATTATTTTTAATAATAACCATATTATTATTTGCATTACCTTTTGCATAATAGTAAGTAAATACCTAATTCATCAATTTGAGCATACATATTCTTAATAGGGATTTCGATGCCATCCCTATTAGTATTCTAATTGCCTGATTAAAGAGGTAATTCTAATCCCGTTGCCTTTGGAGGTGTTTTATGTCTGGAAGGGGGTCTTTCATTTTTATCTAAAATTTCCATCTAATTCTATTCTGTTTACTTTCTCCTCTATCCAGAACGTATTGAGAGCAATTCCTTTATTACGAAATGATGAAAATTCATACTTTAGGAGAATTCAACTAATTCAATAATATTGGCATAACTTCGCAATTCTCTGAATCATCTTCTTAGATAATATTAGGTTCATAATCTAAGAGTCCGAAGTCTGATTGCTTAGTTTCAAAGGCATGTTTAGACTCATTTTTATCTGAATTCATGAACCTTTTCCTTCTTGCACCTTCAGATGTTTAAGGCCTGTTAAGACTAGCTGTTGCTTTTCTCATAGTTGCAATTGGTTCTTCAGATTATTTATGTACAAAAGATGCATTTTTTTGAATTTCTTATTCTTCCTATTCCTATTGTTAAGTAGGCAATTAAAAGTTTTAATGTCCATCACTATCAGCTTCATCTGATTAATTTGAATAATCATCATTATTATCGATATCAACTATTTCAATATCCTCCTATTCTCGAGGAGTCAGCTGCTCATCATCGTTACTGTCCACTACCAAATTTTCACAATTTAACCTTGGTTCTAAAGTATTCATTTATTGAGTCTATGGTCTGCTCTGCTGCTACTCTGAAAAGCGAAAGGGCCTTGAAATTTGTTAAGTGAATGTCCTGGATGCCTTGAATGATCCTCTGCCACTCTTCGGACCTTCATCATATCTTTTTTCAAGACTTCTTCTTTTTACTGTGCCTTAAAATTGACCTGCATAAATCTTTGAAATCTGCTAGATATTATTTTAATAACTTTTTGGCTGTGATCTATGTTATTGTAAATACTACTCACATAGTCTTTAAGTATGGGTTTGGAACATTGTGTGCAACAGCAATCAAAGGTTGTTAATATGGACTCTTAAAAGGCATTTTATCCTTTCGAGATTGGCTTGGTGCTGTACCTCCTCGTTTCAGGTTTTCACTAAGTTGAATTACCAATCAATTTAAAGTACCCTTAATTTGTAAACCAACTCAAATAAAATGGCTGTTATTATTGATCTCTCTAATTTTTTGGTTTAAACATATAATTATTTATAAAACAATTATAAGAAAATTGTTATAAACAAACTAGTCTAATCCCTTCAGTTCTATGACACTTAACCTTATTTAAGATGATTCAAATAAATTCTATTATGACCATCTTTATATATCCAATTGGAATATTTCAAGTTAAAATTAGAAGAAAATACCTTCGTCAGAAAAATATTATAATTCAATTCTCCTCCTTTATTTAAATATTAATCATATAACATTTCAATTGAAGTATAAAAATTAATTTGCAACCTAAAATTCTTCTAAAATAAATATATTATCAAGAATATTTTAAATATTAGATCTCAAAACCCAATTTAAATTTTCATTAAGCATATAACTTAATATTATTTTTAATGACCGAAGTTTGCCAACCTGATTAAACAGGCTTCTTTCATTCGTGTGGTTAATTTAGTTAATGTGAATAGAATGCAGCAACATTAATTTATTCATGCTAGCATGATTCTCCATTTACACCAAAGGCAGGAATAATTATATCATATATTCTTACACCTGTTTTAATTGGCATCGGTATTCTAGGGGGAATGGGAGGTATTTATATTGTCGTTAGAATTTTCAGGTGGAGTATTGAAAGGACCACTTTTGGAAATGATTCTTAATTACTCTTAAAGTGAAGCAACTCATATCGCATATTGTTTTATGTTTGGAGGTACTCTCCTCAACACAGCTCTATTGATGTTTGAAAAGTAAAAAGTTTCATTATGAATAGAAATCCAGAGGACGAGCGAAGACCAATCATAAATTACAGAATTGCTATAATATTTAATCTTGCAGTACCATTTGCCACCAATCTTGGCTCCTCCTTAGCCTCATTTCTACCTTAATTATACACTCTCATTTTATAAGAACTGTTTTTATTTGGAGTAGCCCCTATTCTTTGGTAAAAAGGTATGATATAGAATAATTCTGTAAAATAGCTAAGGATGCTAAAAATGCAGAACTCAAAATAAGCGACGGATCCAAAAAAGAGAATACTCAAAATTTAAATGATTCAAACTTAAATCCAAAAATTGAGTTGCAGACTATCGAAGGGATACATGAATAATAAGTATATATATTGTAAAATACTTTAAAGGAATATAAAATCTCTGATACAAATTTAAACGAATCTCTATATTCTCAATTTAAACAGGAATCAGAAAATATATTACCTTTGATGCCAATCCTCTTTATTCTAGGATCATTTGGATTAAATTAAGTATATCACATGAGTAATTAAATTAGATATTTATATAAATGCGATCAACAAATCCAAACAAAATCTCGTATGTCGGAATTAAAGATTGCACATGGTAAAACGATTTTATGATATTTATCTTGATCTTAGCCAATGTCTTATACGATTATTTGATTTGGCAATTCGGAACCAAATAAGAGAAACAATTTAATTAAATTAACTTTTTACCAAAAGAAAGATATTTTACTCCAATCAATAGATTTTTTAAGATTTATGCTGGTGGCTTTTTGGCAGGATTTGTATCAGGATTCTTAGGAATGGGGGCAGGATTTGTAATGGTTCCAACTCTATTATACAGTGGATTAATCCCAAGATGTGCTTCAGCTACATCAGCATTCATTTATTTAATGATTTCATTAAATAATTTGATTACTCTCCTGACTAATCATTATCTAGACTGGCAAACCATCATTCTATTTACTGGATTAGCTGTATTAGTATATTATTATCAAGATTATTGGAGGATCGATTTTTGCTAAAATTGGTTATATCTTATTAGCTAAATACAAAATTGGATATTTTGTGATCTTAATTGTTTTTGCCCTTGATATAGCCAATATCGTTTCATAAATATATTATGGAGTAGTCTTTGGTAAAAGATATGGGTTGGACTATCTAACCCATGCAAATAAATAATGTTAGTGATGTGTCATTCATTATGTAAAAATATAAATAAATTTTTATTACAAAATATTTTCAAAAAATATGGTGATTTGGCCTCCTTAATCTTTTATTCATTTCTGATTGTTATGACAAACGTGAAGTATGATCCATGAAACCAGAATAAGGTCTAAAAAGCATTTGTGTTGATTTTGCCATTGTTGATCTTGATTATGGAGTATCACATTTAGGTGTTTCCATCAGAGATGAATACCTGGGAGTGACATTGTTGTGATAACCTAATTGAGGCTATGATTATGTTCTTGGTGTTGGATAGAAGGTAGTCATAGTTTTGTTCTTCTCCAAATGCTTTTGAGCACTTACATTCATATCACTCTCTTTTGTTGATACTAAAGCATTGATTGTGAGCAAAGGATCTACTTTTCCAAAGGCAGCGCTTGTTGCTCTTTTTGGTTTCAATTAATCATGAGTGTGCTCAATTAATTTCATAGCAGAAATTACTCTTGATCTTTGGATTGCCTCCTGATTTTAAGGAGCTATTCTCAAAGGCGGCTTTACTAATCCAATCCTAATTAGGTTTGAATAATATTTCTTTAGAAACCCTTCTGTATTCACATTTGAGGCAAAATTATAAGGATTCTCAACTTTTTCCAATAACTTCATCTAAGGTTCATCGCTTTATTTAGTTTGCTTTACAAATTCATTAATTGTAATTTTTTTCTCTGTTTTTTTGTATTTTTTATTAAACTTTTCCTTCAAATTGTTATTAAATTTTAATACTCTACTGTGTTTGGGTACCTAATAGGATTAGGATTTTATACTTAATATTATTAGAATAAAACGTCTACATTATCGTAAGCTTTTATTGATCCCTTCGTTAAAATCAATGTTGATTTAGATTTCTTCATAAGATTAGTTGGTGAAGTATTACACTTTTTATGATCAATAGGTTTACTTCCTACAAGAAGTCGAATCAATTATTTTTCTAATAATCAAATTGCTACTATTACATTTATGCTACACAATAATGTGTCTTATAATTGAATTTGGGAAGAGACGTGTGAAAATCTTAAGTTTAATCTTATATAGCAAAACTTATGCTGACTTAGCAATTACAGAGTAGTAATAAGTTTAAACACTATTTTAATCCAAATCTGGATCAATTAGTAATTCATCCCCAATAATACCACTCTCCTCCATGTTAAAGACGTGTTCTTTGTTCTTCTAAAATGAAACATGCCCTTATGCTAAAAAAAAGAGATATTCTCCTATTTGATCTTCCCTTAAATAAATTAAAAGTAATTTATACTCAGTAATATAAGTGCTATGAGGAATAATAACATTTTCAAATTAATTGGACAGAGCCTCCAGTATTCGTTTAGAATTCAATTCACCCAAACCTGGTATTATTTTGCTTAAGGTTCTATGTTTGAACAAAAATATCTCTCCATAAAAGTTATAAATTTCATCACATTCTTTCTTATCAATCAATAGTATAATTGAGTCATTAAATGCTACTTTGTATAACAGTTGATTTTGCTAATATTTAACTTTATCAAACTAAAAGTCCTCCTCTAGATAAAATAATGGATTTAAGGTTGTAAGGTATTTTTCATGTTTATAGATATACCCTTCTTCCAAATAATAAACTTCAATTTGACCTTTAAGAATTAGTTAAACTGCAAACTTCTAACTTGGCTCAACTTAATCACCAAATTAATAATTTGTAAGTTCTATATAATTACAGAGCTAATCAAAATCATATCAATTTACTTTTATTTACCCTTCTTGCGATAATTGTTATTGATAGAGTTCATTTAATCTGGTGAAAATTTAAGTGACTTTTATTATTGACGCAATTGACTTAATTTAAAGAATAGAAGTACTTTAAGATCCTCATTAGTTTTTGGATAGCTTAATATTTTTTATTGTAACAACACTAAATTATCATTCTAAATTATTTATTCCATTTATAATAATAAAATTTATGATTAATATTTCAATTGTTAGATAACTTCTGTTAATCTAAGCATCCTTTTGATCGATGACTGTCTGCATGCAAACTCTTCCTTTTTGACGCTTATTCCAATATCAATTTTTAAATTAAACTGCTATTTATTAAGTTTTATTTGCTTATTCCTACAGAATAGCTTTTATTTCGACTAAAATTATCAAAATGAATTATTACTTAGATATAAGAGGTCTTTAAGTCAAGGATTTTTAAGAATCTTTATTTTTTAGTAATTCATTTAAACTATTGTTTTAAGTTTATTGCAGTTTCATATTTTAGCTATTATTGTGTTAATCTTATTTCCCTGATTCATTACCTAAATGATTTGATTTTGATGGTTATTTTTATAAAGTTTAATTTATAGTTTATGTGCTATCCCTTCTGGAATTCAATGCAGTTTGTTGTTTATAGGTTTAAGTATAATACTTCAATTATTAAATCAAATTATAATTCTCTTTTTTTAATTTCTAACTGTAAATCACATATTACTTAAATCATTTAGGTTGTTTCTTTAAGATATTCTTTTCTTATTTGTTCTGATTCTTCTAATTGTTATTAAATAGTTTCAATGAATATTTTCATCTCATGTTAAGCCTAACTAAATTTATATACCAATTAGTCATACTCTAATATGTATTCTTATTTCTTATTCGTATTTTTGAACTGCCTATTCTAATTTCTCATAATTTTGAGATTTTGGTTCGCATTTGAAAAATTTCTATTGATAATTATTCTCTTTAAATTTCTTTTTTAATGCTTAGAAGATAAACTTCATTGTTTCTGCTAACTGCTGCAAATTCTCATAATCCTAAAGTTATTCTTATATGTGATGCAACTCCTCTTCTGATCTTATATTCTATTCAAGTAATTGAAGCATCTTAATTTATACATAAAACTATTACATCAGATAAGATTTCTTTTAAAGTATTTTCGAGAATGTAGTCTGTACTACTATTTGTCAACATTTAATTGAAAAATTAGAAATTTTAGAATAAATTAATATATATTGATTATTTATTGTTACATTCATGTGAACTTATTTTGATTATTCAAATAAATTAAAGAATTTTACTATTTTTGTTATTATGAATCTGATTTATCCTGCTCTTGCAATTCTGCAATCGAATTCATTTCTTAATCAATTTCATCTACTTTTAAAATACTGTTATCATGTTATTTTAACACTTTTTTATTTTTCAAAATTTCTATTTTAAATTCCTAGAAACTATTATTTTCTTTCCTAAATTCTTAAGAGAATTTAAGTGAGCTTACTCTTTTGTAAGCTATTTAAGAATTATCGAAGACATTTTACAAAGAGCCACTCAAAATCTTCTCTTTTCTTTCTTCATATTACAAAGAAGATGACATTCCAATAAACTTTTTATTTGTTCTTTAGAATAAATTCTTGTTTGATTGAATGCTCAATCTTTATTCAAATTAATTGTCTTGCTTATCTGATGGGTCTTCAGGAATTTGGCTGCTGTTCTTATCGTTTTCTTCACTTTAGGAATGACAATCAAATTCGCATTCATTCTTACTTAAAGTTATGTTATCAAAAACATTCAATTAAATATTCTCAAATAAATAATTTGGATTTGTATGATGGCTTTATTTACTTCTAATTTCTAGAGCAGTGTTACCCCTTGACTCTTGTTCTTCATCCTAAAGTAAATGTTATTCAATTAACAATTTAGTTATCTACTCCTCCTTTTTGGGAGTACCATTATCTTCTCCTAATCTAGTCGCATTTCTTTCATCTTGGTTCATAATTAATTTTTTTTTAATATTCCATACCTTTGAAGTTTTCAATTCATTTTAAATCAATCTCAATGTGTCCGTATATGGCAAAGTGTCTTCATCCCGAGAAAGTTTCTGGTCTAAATTTTTATCAAATTAATCTATTAATCTATATAGATGGCCTATATTTTTATTTTATAACTTATATCTAGAAATGAGATAATATGCCCAAAAGGGATGATAATCATTTAAGGCATTATCAAAAATAAAAATTACCATGTTTTCTACATATATTGAGAAAATGTCTGCATTTACAAATTGATTCATCAATTAAAAAATTAATCCCATAATGTTAGACTCAGCTATTTTATCCCATATTTACAAATCCGTTATTCGAACTAAATTATCTATTATCTAATAATAGTCTTTCTCGTACTTCAACAAGTTTGATGATAAATAATCCAACTTTAATCTTCTTAGAAACTGCTTTCTGGAATATTTACCCAATTTTCGAGATATCAAAATTGGCAAAAAAAGGGGTTTGCTTAAATTGAGTTATTATATCCTGGGAATCTGGATCATCAATATTGATATTTTACATATCCATTGTGTAATAATTTGAGATTAATGAAATTATATGAGCAGCATTTTTTTATATTCTATATTTAGATAATATTATACATAGGATCTTAATTGTCTTAAACTACCACTTCAAATGTTGTTTTGAGGAATTCTCCTTTTAAGATATATTCCATCTATTAATCTATTAGGATTCTTGTCATAATTTCATGTACAATGTATGTATAATTTACAATGCTTAAAACATCCTATTTTTGGAAAAACTCTAACCCCTTCTTTAAAAAATCTATTTGCGATGAGTGGAATCCAATTTCAAAAAATGCTATCAATATTTAGGATACACTATGAATGCTTAGAAATGGTAAAAAGGAAACCAAAAAGTCCTATGATTTTAATAAGTCTTAGAGAATTGCATGGTCTCTTTCTTTGACGAGATTCATTAATTTGTATGCTAGACCCCATTAGATATCAGGGACGAATTATTTCCAACGTAATTCGAAAATGATTTACCAATGAATCTAAATATTAAAGCAATATTAACTTCAATTTATTTTAGAATGGGTTCTAAATTCAATTCAATAATCTCCCAAATATTATTGATTTATTCACTGTACTGCTATAATTATTCTTTTGGAATTAAATTATAATCAGCAAATAAAATATTTAACAACTAATCTACATTTTTACATATAAACTCTATAGCAATTGGATGAGCATTTCTGCAATAATTCATAAATGAATTATCATTTAATAACTTAAATAAGTCTGAATTATGATCTCTAATTATTTGTTCTATGACTTTTTGGGTTGGAGATTATAATATGTATTACATTATTAATATAATATTAGTAACAATCATTATTTTTAAATATATACCCACATGGAATATTAGAAATAGATATTAGACATTTATTTCAGAATAACTTTAAATTGAATCCAATTTAAGCTCATTTGAAGTTTATATTCCATAAAACATCAAAGTGTCATTTTTGCATAAATTTAATTAAAATATTTCAGGTAGGACTTTTTGTAATTAATTTATATAATATAGTCACAGCATAAAATTTATGTTTAAAATAAGGTTTCTTGGAAATTTCTTCTCTGGCTCTAAGGATAAATAAGGAGTTTCATGTGAACAGGAGACAAATCAAAATCATAATATAAATGGAAATACTTCTAAATGTATGAAACAATTAGAACAAAAATTTTAGCAGAGCCAAAATGAAATTGAATATAATTGTTCTGAAAAAGATAAATTTAGTCGCATATCTTCTTTCATTTGGAATAAGATACTACCGAATGGTGATAAGTAGAAAAAAAAATGTTATGAAAGTTGCCTACTTTAGAATGAAAATGGCTAAGAATTAAACATTAATAATCTATGTGAACATTTTTTATAAAGCAAAGATATTTGTTAAGAATAACAAAAATAATGCAATTAAGAAGTTCAGGTTTTATTAGATTGCGGCCATACAGTTATTTCTAAATGTTGTGAAAGAGAAGAATTATAAAAATCATATATTTGTAAATAAATCTGCATGAAAATAAGAAGTTGTGGTCATTCATTCAATAAATGTTAGAACTATTGTTTTTAACAGGAATGCTCTCCATGTATGTATAGAGAAAATATCAAAAAAGTTGAATTGTGATCATATAATAGAAATTAGCTGCTATTAAAAAGATGGTATTTTACTAAGCAATACCCTATGCAAGGAATGCTAAAATAAAAATAAAAATCCAAAAACTTAGCCAATTTAAAATAACCCTTTAAAAATCAAATTAAAATGTGGACATACAGTCCAAACAACTTAAGATAAATAAGAATCTATATTATAATCATTTAAATGCCAAGAAAAATGTACAAAGAAACGATTATGTTAGCATGATTAAGCGTGTGATAATCTTTGTTACTAAGAATGTACTCCTTGTAGAGAAATAATAGAAGAAGTGTTACCTTGTGGACATATAGCAAAGTTTTAATGCTTTAATGCCAAATAAGAATTATAAAACTATATATGCCATAAACCCTGCAATAAAAAAAGGCCTTGTCATCAATTGGACCCTTGTCTGGAGAATAGTGGAAATCATATTCGTACTCAATGTTAAAAAATAGTTAAAAAATAATTAAAATGTGCCTAGAATGGAGTAGATATTTGTTCGAACAAGGGCAATTAATGCAAAGAAATGTGCACAAGATTGCAATAATGTTAACATCTTTGTCTAAAATATTGTTGGGAAGAATGCAGTCCATGCGAATAAAAAAATCAAAAAGATTTTGAATCCTATATTTTTAGAAGTAAAGTTTAATGAATTAAAAAATGTTAATAATGTACCTAAAATCGTAGTTGTAGTATTCGATGAATTAGATTCCTAATAATTCATTGATTTCTAAACTTAAATATTAGATCTATTTATAGGTTGTATAGTAGTATTAGAATATTAAAGTATGAAACACGTATCTATTTAATTATAAATAAATGTTTAATTTTTCTTTACATAAAAGCACCACGTGCTAGTTATGACTTTTGTCGATCTAAATAGTTCTTTTTGATAATTTTTCAAGTTAATCTTTTCTTTATTTATTTACTTTAAAATGTATCATAAATATCATTATTTTAGAACAATATTAATCAAACAAAATTTTAATTAATGAAATGTATTATATTTAAAACATTTTTTCGATAAGAATTAAGATTTTACCATCTTTAACAATTAATTCAGACTTAAAATTAGGGTTTTAATAAATAAAAATTACTTTATTCTAAAAAATTACATCTTAGATTTTCAATAATATTGTTACTTCCAAGAATCGAATACGCACTTAATTATGTGTAATATTTTAATAGAAGATTGATATATTTAGCATTGAAATCATTCATTAAATAAATAATTTATATCTACATAAATGCATTAATAATTTATAGTTCTTTTTTGTTATTGATATAAATTTGCCCAACTTTGCAAATGTAAATAATAATCGAAAAAAAATTATGGAAATGACTATTTATTAGCTGCTTTATGCTATTCTATTCCTTATGGTTTAAAGAGAAACTTGATATAATATTGTAACATAAATGAAGAAATTATTATCTAATTTATTAATATTATCGTATCTGAAATATATTTATGATCAAAACATACAACTTTCATATGTTGGTATCATATATTTAATATTAATGTATGCATCTTCTCCTCCATTTTTTTCAAGTGTTTCTAATGTTTCTTGTATAAGATCAGAGAGATTTTCATTTTTTCTTTGTGAATAATCGATTTTGTCTCCAATGTTTACTAAAATAAATGATAATTGAATATACATCTTTTATTCTTATACATATTCATAACTGGTAATATTTATCTATAATAAGGGACTAAGGCTTCTCCTATCATTTATCCACTTTTGACTAATTTCTATATTTTCTTTAAGGTAATGCACATAATATCGTGATTCTTTGTTGCCAAGGCTTCTATTAAAGAATTTATATTTATTAAATGTACTTTTGATAGGAATGATTAATTGTGGTAACACTGATAAGATCTTAGTTTCTCCTTTTTATAATAATTCTTCACATCCATTGACAGCTAAGAATTTGTAAGGATCTTCAGTTTCTCTCAGTCCTTCAAAGAAGATTGGAAGATATAAATGATAATCTAAACATTCAGGTTCGCATTTCCAAACGATCTTTCTGACAGCTCCACTAAAATTAACTGCAATTGGAAGATCTCCTCGATCATAATATTTTTTAAATAGAGTCTATTCAATTATAGGTAAAGCTTGAAAGATTCCTGATTTTGGAACTTTTTAAGGAGCTTGAGCTTTCTTGGGAGCTAAAGATGAAGACACTAATTAATTATATAACTTATAAATTATTACTTCCACCTGTTCCTGCAAATTTGTTACTAATGTTCAATAAATTTGAACAGAATTTACCTGGTGATCTCTAAGGAGAATGTCCTTATATTGGTTTTATTCTTTTGTTTGTTACTTATTATTATTGCATTCTTATATTTATTTTATATTTAATTAT